TGCCTCCCTGGAAGCTGGCGACCTCGATCACTGTATCAATGATATCATTGCGGTTGTCATGGACGACATCTTCGGTGTCGCTGGTCAAGAGAAAGATGCCGAGGAGTATATCAGCAAGATGAAGGAAGTGAAGAGCAGCAAGAGTTATGACTCCGCTGAACTCATTGCGAAGATCACGACCACCTCTCATCTTGGTGACCTGATCAGACCTATTCAATCTTTGCTGTTGGAGAAGTTGGATCTCAAGACTGTCAAGAAGATTGATGAGCTTCTGCGTCGTATCGGTCTGGGCACCAGTCAGAACCTGTCTGTCAAAGACAGAGACATTCTCATCTTCGGTTATGAAATCATCCAAAAGGTTTATGCTGCCACTGCTGAGGCCAAGACTCGCCCTGTCATGGAGGACTACAAGATCAGAAAGTATCTCATCCAGATGCAGAGTGCCAACAAGTCTGGCAAGAAGGGAGCAACGAGCTCATACATCTTCAAGCTTACTAGGTTCGCTTTGGATCTCGTCCGCGCTGTCTTGCAGAAGCACGATGAGCTTAAGACACCAGCTAACCTTGCTGGCTTCTTGCCAATCTTGGGTGACGCTTTGATCGGTGGTCAAGAGGAAGTCCAGATGGCATCGGTCCGTCTGCTCACTTCTGTCATCAGGGTGCCATCGCCGCAGATTGTGTCGAATGGACCAGTCTACGCAGCAGAAGCAGTCAAGATCCTCAGAGCTGCGCCCTCCACTATCACCGAGTTGGCTCAATCTTCTTTGAAGCTGATCTCAGCCATACTTCGCGACAGACCAGACATCAAGATCAAGGAGAACGACATGGCATACGTGCTGAAGAGAATAAAGCCCGATCTTGAGGAGCCTGATCGTCAAGGTGTCATCTTCAACTTCTTGAAGGCTGTTGTAGCACGCAAGATCATCATCACTGAAGTTTATGAGGTCATGGACTCTGTTGCTGCTATCATGGTGACCAACCAGACCCGCAGTGCCAGAGATCTCTCTCGTGGCGTCTACTTTGCATTCATGATGGAGTATCCTCAAGCAGGCAGTCGCTTGAACAAGCAGATTGCATTCTTGGTCCAGAACCTCGAGTACAAGTATGTCGAAGGAAGACAGTCCGTCCTTGAACTGCTGCATCTGTTGCTGGCGAAGACCCAAGGAGATCTCGTGCAAGAATTGTCGAGTATGTTGTTCGTGCCATTGGTCATGATGATGGTCAACGACGATTCTCCCGAATGTCGCGAGATGGCTGGCGCATTGATCAGCAAGATCCTTGATCGCGCCGACGAAGAACGCATCAAAAACTTTGTGGCGTTGATGCGCACGTGGTTGGAGCAGGATGAACAGTTGCTGCTTCGTCGCATTGCTCTGCAGTGCTGGACCATCTACATTGGCCACGGCAAGGCAACCGCCAAGGAGACTTCCTTCATGTTCAAGCAAGTATCCAAGCTTTTGGATCCTGAAGACGTCGAGACCGAAGACTGGGAGTTGCTGTACTATGCCCTGCAGGCGTTTGCTAAGATGGCAGAGATGGCGCCTTCCACTTCGCTCGCTCCTGCCGCAAAGGCATCATGGACGAACATTTTCAAGTGTCTTGTTTTCCCGCATGCGTGGGTCAAGCTTTCTTCTGCTCGTCTTATTGGTCTGCTGTTTGCGGATATGGGCAACTGCGCCTCCAAGACTGAGGAAGGTCTTGCTGCTCTGCCTCTGTACACAAACAGCAAGATGGAAGTCACCACGAAGGAACTTCACGAACTGTGTGCTGCAGGCCTGAGAACTCTTCGTTTCAGCAATGTCAGCGAGCAATTGGTCGGTCAAACAGTGCGCAACTTGATCTTCTTGGGCCGTTGCTACAGTGCCGATAACGTGGATTGGGAACATCCAACNCCCTTTACCAGAAACGGCATTGCTGCCTCTTCTCATGCTGAAGAGGATGAAGAGCAAGAAGACGAGGAAGAAGACGAAACAGCAGATGCAGAAGACGAGGACGGAGATGAAGAAACCACCACCTCTACTCCTACCACAGCACTTCACCACCTGCTGTCCCGCCTCTCAGCACTCATCCGCCGCGACGATGGCGCCCCTACCGCCTCCGTGCTTTCCGTAAAGACCGGCGCCCTCCAAGCAATCGCCTCCCTCTGCAACATCCTACCATCCACCCACATCACCCCCTCCCTCCCCTCCATCCTCACACCCATCTACCTCCTCACCGACGCGTCCATCGCCGCCCCCCGCCTCGCAACCGAGTTCCTTCAAAAGAGCTACCAAGACCTCAAAGCCCTAGCCACAGAAGTTGCCTCCTTGCTCCAAAAGAAGCTAGGCAGCACCGACTACGTGATCGCCATGAGAGGCGTCCAAGAAAAGGTCAGAGGCAAGAGAGAAGAGAGACGTAGAAAGAGAAGGATCGAAGCTGTTAGTGCGCCTGTCAAGTATGCGGCTGACAAGAGGAGGAAACACGATATCACCAAGGCCAAGAGGAAGGAGAAGAGTGCCGAGGCTAGGGGTAAGAGGAGAGGATGGTAAAAGACGTTTCTCTACTTTTTGCTTTTCTGTTTTGCATTTGTGTTGTTTCGATATGCATATGTTTGGGAGTTTTTGTGGGGTTTCATATACGATAGTCACTAAAAGCAAGGTAGAACACAGAACCTATCATGTGTGTTTAGAACGTTCCCACCTCAGGTTGCCATGTAGCGTGCGTTACCACAAGTATTGTTCTTGGTGTCCGATCTTGACTTTAGATTGTCGACATGTATAGTATCTTTCTGCGTGGATTTACATACAAATCTCAGATGGCGTAGCGCAATACAGGCTCAATGGCTTTGGCTTGAGTTATGCCATGATCTAATCTACCTATTGGCGACAAGAGGAGCAACTAGCGACTTCGGCGCATCGCCCATATGGTCGCGTGCATCCGAGCTGGCAACAGGGCTTTCCTTAGGACCTAATGCCTTCTCCGTGTTGCGAGATTCCGAGACGGGAGTCGTCTGTAAAGACATGTCAACAGTGTTCTAGGTCTTCTGTGTAGTGGTAGCGCACAGTTTGGTTGTTGAACTCCAAGTCATGCGCTGTTGTAGCGCGAATGCTTTGGAGTGAGCTTCACTTTCATATGTACATTTCGGCTTGGACTCCAGCCATCCTCACATAGGCGTCGTCACACAGCCATCCTCACACTCACTGAGCCACACTCTCTGCTATCTACCCTTGCACAATCAATGCATCATGGCTACCGACGCGAGATTTGATCGAATCGTGGCCATCTTCAACGCCTTCAACCCGCCCTCAAAGGTCGACCAGTCAAAATCCTTGTGAATGCGAAGGGATGCGCTGGTCATGGCCTCCAGATTTGTCCTCGCATTCAACTGCAAAGGCGGTCCGGACCCAGTCCAAGCAGCAAGCACTCTGACGTTGCCAGAGAGCCAACTCGCTAGAGAAATTTGGTACATGGCCGCGTACTTGTTCCAACATCCTGGAGGTTGTGACTCGTACAATGTTTGGACATGCAAATCGGATTACAAGAGAGCTTGTGCCTGGTGGAACGCATATGAAGACGAAGAACCCACACTGGCCCGGAACGATGTTGCCCTGCTTGCTAGCGATATGGGCTCGCAATGGCTAACACACTCGGACCATTGTGCAGACGGTATGAGGTCCATTCTCTTGATGCCCATGTCTAATCATGTTCTAGATCCTCTACTTATCAACCACACACACCTATATTCGTTGCGTGTGCCCTTGGAAGCACTTTGTCTTCCTTGGAACTCGGAGGCGCGCCGAAAGGTACTCGCCAAATCCAAGATCGCCCCTTTGATCGAATATCACGACTCATACAGAGCATGGGGTCCCCTCTCCGATGCAGCCAAACAAGAAAAGAACGCGGTGATCTACGACATCTTGACAAGAGAGAAGAAGGAGATGCGAAGAATCGACAAGGGGTATCCGCATAAGTCACTTGTCTGGGACGTGGGCTCAGATGATACCAAGACTTTTTGCACATTCACAAGGTTCAGCCGCTTTGAGCAGATATACCACCTCCGTGATCACCTATCCAAGACCAGGCTGTACATGGGTATCAGGATAGAACAGGAGTCTCAAACAAGGTTCGATGCGGTCGCTCCGCGTAATTGGGCATACTATGCAACTCTTATACGTGGCCATGCTGCTCAGCTACAAGAAAGCGACCACTCAGTCGAAAAAGAAGCTGCCAGGCTAGCGGCTAGCACCGCCACTCTGAACACAAACCCACACGCCATCTCCAACCACCAGACCCCGACAGCCGCTACCAATCAAGCCTCCATTGCATCCGAGCTCGACATTGCACTGGATCTCGCCAAGAGCAACCGCATGTGGAATGTCGACCATGTCATTTACATTTTTGGCATCAAGGCGCAGAGGACTAACCAGTTATCTTTACTGAATACCGATTTCGCCAGACACGCAGTTGCCTCGATCAAACTACTACACAAACAAGAGGGTGAAGTTGGGTACGGGTGGGACAGACCAACACATGCAGCTATCTTGACTGCAGTTGTGCAGCACCATGTACGTTCAAGATTCGGTAGACGTTGGAATCGAACTGACCGCTTTTAGGACGACTGGCTGTTTCAATGAGCACTGGGGGTGTACAGGGCCATTGAGAATGGGGAGGACGGCAGGCAAGGTTTAGCGGTATCAAACGACGATAGGCCGAAAAGAAAAAAATTGGCACAAAGCACCAAGACATATATTACCACTGGTCCATTGCAAGGACTGGAGGTCTTTCCACCGAGGCTCATGCAAAGGGTTACATCCCTTAGCGCTTGGCGACGGAGACGAAAAATCAAAACCAGTCTTATCATTACAGCGGGAAACGGACAGAAAAGCAAAGGCATTTTGTGAAAGTGGAAAACATTATTTGTGATTGAAACCTCCTGTTACCTAGCTACAGCAAAAACGCCTCATAATCTTATCATCAAAACGCCGTCTTTGATAGATCCGTCATCAATCTATGATAGGAAACCTAGTAAGGCCAAGTCCAGTTGACAAAGTCATCGGGATCTTGACCAGTCTCGTAGGCGTAGTTCATGGCGGCAGTACGTGTGTTGAGCAGGTACTCGCGGGTAGACGAGCCCTTGTTGCCGAGAACAGACTTGAGACTATCGATGGCAAGGATGGCCAAGCTGTAGCGATCCGTCTCGTTTCGGATGGCCAGCTCGAGAGGGGTGTCGATGTTACCCTTTTCCTTGTAGCCGCGCACGCGCATCAAGTTCTGACCCTTGCGCTTGTAGGTCATTCTGTGGACTAGCCATGGGTAAGAATGGAAGTTAAAGACGATAGGCTTGTCGTCGGTGAAGATGGCGGCGTATTCGTCATCCTTGAGGCCGTGAGGGTGGTAGCCGTTGGGCTGGAGCTTGAACAGGTCGACGACGTTGACAAAGCGAACCTTGAGCTCAGGCAGATGCTCGCGGAGCAGAGCAGTAGCAGCGAGTGCCTCTTGTGTGCTAACATCACCACAGCTGGCCATGACAACGTCGGGCTCTTCGTGCTTGCTGTTGGAGGCCCAATCCCAAATACCGAGACCCTTGGAGCAGTGGTTGATGGCGTCTTCCATGTTCAAGTATTGCAGGTGGTTCTGCTTGTCGGCAACAATAACGTTGACATAGTTGGAAGACTTGAAGCAGTGGTTCATAGTGCTGAGCAGGCAGTTGGCGTCCGGAGGAAGGTAGATGCGAACGACTTCGGGCGACTTGTTGGCAACGACATCGAGGAAGCCGGGGTCCTGGTGAGTGAAGCCGTTGTGATCCTGGCGCCAGACGGTCGAGGTGAGTAGGATGTTGAGCGAAGCAACCTCCTGTCTCCAAGAAACCTCATGACACTTCTCGAGCCATTTTGCGTGCTGGTTGACCATGGAGTCGATAATGTGGATGAAGGGCTCGTAACTGTTGAGCAGGCCGTGGCGGCCCGTAAGCAGATATCCTTTCAAGGGGTCAGCGGTGTGTTTCTCCCTTTGTACGAGGAAAGGAAAAAGAGAAAAAAGACGAAAAAACAACATACCCTCTAGCCAACCCTCAACTGTGTGCTCACTGAGAATTTCCATGACTCTACCAGCAGGGGCGAGGTTGCCGCCATCCTTGTCTTCTTCGAAGTAGTCGGCCATCCAGACCTTCTGAGTAACATCGTAAACGGCGCCAAGCTTGTTGGATTGCGTCTCGTCGGGACCGAACAGACGGAAGTTGTTGGGGTTAGCCTTGACAATCTGGGTCAAGAAGTCTGCGAAGAGGTTCATGCTAGGTGCTTGCTCGGCGGCAGGCTTCTTCACAGTCTGGGCAAACTTCTTGAAATCAGGGATTCTGAGGTTGGCGCGCAGCAAGCCGCCGTTGGTGACAGGGTTGGCACTCATACGGCGGTTGCCAGTAGGGGCGAGCTCACGAAGCTCGTCGATAAACTTGCCGTCCTTGAACAGCTTCTCGGGCTCGTAGCTGCGCATCCACTTCTCGAGCAGAGCAAGCTGGTCGTTGTCCTTGAGGACATTGGTGAGAGGAATCTGATGAGCTCTCCAGTAGCCTTCGAGGAAGTGGCCATCCACGGTACGAGGACCAGTCCAGCCCTTGGGAGTTCTGAGAACAATCATGGGCCATCTGGGGCGCTCAGCCTTGCCAGAATCTCTGGCCTTCTTCTGGATTGCCCTGATCTCGGTGACAGCTCTTTCCATAGTAGCAGCCATTGCTTGGTGCATTGTGTCGAGGTCAGAACCCTCAACGAAGTAAGGCTCCCAACCATAGCCGACAAAAAGAGCCTTCAGCTCCTCGTGGCTGATTCTCGAGAGGATAGTGGGGTTGTTGATCTTGTATCCGTTCAAGTGGAGGACGGGGAGGACTGCACCATCGCAGATGGGATTCAGGAACTTGGTGCTGTGCCAACTGGTAGCCAGAGGACCAGTTTCGGCTTCACCATCCCCGANCCTAATGTTACAATTAGCACACTTCGTATGTGAAGAATGGTACGGACGAGTTGGTGTTTAGCCCGTTCATATTCCCCACCATTGACATATGAGGAAAGTGAATTGGTTCAAAACGCAGTTCTCCGTACGCCGAGACGAGATACGTACCATAGTCAGAGCAATTAAGTTGGGATTGTCGAACACGGCGCCGAAAGCATGCGAAATAGAGTATCCGAGTTCACCTGGGATAGATGGTTAGCACATCGGATTCTGATTCCGGTAATCCATGTTCGATCCCCCGTACTGACCTCCTTCATGGATACTGCCAGGAGTCTCGGGGGTTGCGTGGCTACCAATGCCTCCAGGGAACGAGAACTGCTTGAAATAGCGCTGCAGACCCTCAGCATCTTGGGACTTGTCGGGATAGACCTCGGAGTAGACGCCCTCGAGATACGAGTTGGAGATGACGCCAGGGGCACCGTGGCCGGGACCGGAAACGAAGAAGGCATCAAGGTCGTACTTCTTGATCAGGCGGTTCATATGGATGTAGGTGAAAGATTGGCCAGCGTCAGAGCCCCAGTGTCCGAGAAGACGAGGCTTGATGTGCTCAACCTTCAAAGGCTCCTGAAGCAGGGGGTTCTCTCTGAGGTAGAGCATGCCCAAGCACAGGTACATGCTGGCATGGAAGTAACGGTTGATCTTGTCGACTTCATCCTTGCTGAGAGGTTGGTCGGTCACAGTAGCTCTGGCAGTGCCATAGGGCGAGAGGCTCTGTGTCTCGGCCATTGTGAGAGTTGTGTATGGAGAAGAAGAGGAATTGAGAATTGAGAAGGGGGCAACCAGCTTCTTGTGTTTTGAGAGCTCCCCAACAACTTGAGCTCCACTTGTTTCGCGGAAGTCAGCGGCTCATGACTGCTTCACACGTTTGTCAACTTTGACTTTGACCTCACGTCCGATTTCCTCAGTACGTCACTCACCCCACGCCAAGCTGGAGAGCTTCCACGAGCTCGTCACGCCAGATTGAGCGGGAACCTGTCCCGTGCTTTTTTGTGCTGCCGAACGCTCCGACTTATGCACCTATGAAAGTGCTTCTCCAATACAAGCCTTTTGTCATGATTCAAGATATTTGATATATACTTGGGTTGAGTTTGATGTATCTAGGAAGATGGTCCTTCCCCTCGTTCCTCTGTAATACTACTCACAGCGCGTATGATGTTTCCCGAAAGCCATCTGAAGGATTCAGCCGTTACTCAGTGGCATGATCTGTGCCTGTGCAAGGAACAGGAAATAGGGAACACGAGTAGCAAGCACTTGCTTGGTAGTGCCTTGAGACGTAGTATTCAACCGCAGGGTCTCTGCGAATGCTTTTCACCTACAACATCTTGCCCTAGTCATGCATCGGTACGAAGAGGTAGCAGGCCGACTATCATGATCTACGACGCTGCTCTGATGAAGGGATGCAGACCATGAAGCTACTCCTGACTTCCCCGGCAGCCGCTTGTCTACCGTCGTGCAAATCATTTGCCGATCATGGACCCCTGAGCTTCCACGTTCTGGGACTGGCTGACCACGAGAAATAAGTTCTTGTTGATCATTACTGATCGAATACGAAGAGAACCCATAGACTCCAGTCATCTTGTGTTTTCTTGCGATAAGAAGATATTCTATTGGCCGAGCATCACACCACTTGTTCAAAATCATCGATTGGTGTCTCAGGCATGTGAGAAGATGGCCAACGTAGTCCATACAGGAGAATCGAGCGCCATAGCCTGAGCTTCGGTGTATCCGACGGTCGAGTCTCAGTCGAGATAAATGTCATCTTTGATGCGGCGCAGATTGTTCATAAAGCCGTAGCCGCTGCCCTGGTTGCTAGTACGGGTGGACTCGGAAGTGTTATTATACCTGTAGTCGACTGCTGCAGGCGAAGCTGTACGCTTTCTCGCCTCTGCCTTGCGAGCGAGAGCCTTTTGCTCATCCTCGACTATCTTTTCAAGGCCATCTATCTGACGAGCCCGAGCCTTCTCCTCAGCAGTGCCTTGCCAGATTGACGCAAGATCTCTCAGCTCATCTATTCTCTTGATTGCTGCAGCGATGCCCTCATCTGCTGAGACGGCACTCTGCAACAGTTGAATGATCTCGTCGCGTAGTTTTTGTGCATGCTCTTTTGCCTTCTCTTCGCGATTGCGTGTTTCTTCTGGACCTCCGGCCGAAGGAGCGGATACCGAGATGAATGAGGACGAAACAAGATCGGATGGAGCAATAGGCCAGGCCATGGCTTCGCCAAAGACTTTGATGACCGAGTCGAGGCGCTGTCGCACCATGACGAGCGTACGGAGCTTCGAGATGTAGTCTGGCTCCACAGGCTGAGTAGGAGTTGATAGGCCGGTTTGTCCAGGGAAGACATCGTCCTTGTCGAGTTTTGTGGATTGCTGTGATGATTGGGGAGCGAAGAGGGCAATTTCTGGTTGGAGGGAAGTGTTCAAAGCATCTGTGAGGCCAGCGGTCTCACCACGCAGCATCTCGACTTGGTAGGCGAGCCTGCTGCCGCTTCGTAGGATGTCATCGGTGAGCTGATTGAGAGTGTTGGTGAGGCGCGAAGTTTGCACGTTGAGTTGTGAGATGAGCGCCTGGATCTGCGTAGATAGTTCGGCGAGAGGAACGCGGTCTTTGGTAGGGTTGGAGAAGGTCAACGAAGGCAAGGTGGCATTCAGGTAGTCGGCCGGATCGAATTGAGATTGGAGGAAGGGCTGGAGAGCTTCATCCTGGACATGTGTTGACTTTGGTTCGCTCCGTACAGCGGTCTCGGACTGTACTGCCATTGTAAGTGTCCTCGAGCTGAGGGTCGGTTCGTTGCGAAAATGGTGTTGTTATGCAATATGCACTACGTCTGTCTCGCATGTGAAGCTGACGACTTGCTATCGAACGTAGACACTCTCTTGCGGAGCATATGCCAAGCACTTACAATGCGGCTCCTGTGAGGCACACTACAGACAATGGGAGATGCTCCGCAATTTGAGGACATGACTGATACATGAAGTCCTTCGTCGAGCGCTTGATGAGCACTACTTGATATGCCGTACCCATGCAAGTCTTGAGTTACGAGCATTTGGGAGACAGCAAGTAAAGCACAATGGACGGCGTTTCAGTTGACCCGAGAGGACAAAAGGCAAGGGGATAGGTTAACAATGATTTCATGCGTGCCTGCCTCTTCATGTCTGTGCCTCTTTGCAGCCAGGCAGCCATCCAATCCAGCAAACGCTGCCTGACGAGAGGCATCCATTTTCTTTTACAATTGTCTAATGGCCAAGTAATTTCTGTTCACTGTGACTGTGCTTTGGCAGGGAAGCTGCTCACACGCGCTCGAAACCAACTCGATCCATCTCTCATCTTTCACTCTTTAGCGATCGTTCCCTTTCATTCACTCCGCAACTCGCAGTGTTTGTCGCAGCCAGCGTGGTTCACATAGAAAGTGCTCTGTCTTGATCCAGCCATCAAGAAATCTTCAACCTTGCCCATCTGATCTTCAAGACTTCAACCTTCTTGATCATCTCCCCTTCCCAGTCTGCACACGACTGCCACGGCTCATGCTGTCGACTGCCATCCACCCTATCCACCCTAACCATGCCTCGTAAGCAGTTCAAGGCCGATTTGGACGATGCCATCAGAGGCAACCACGGCGTCGAATACATCGACAACTGTTGTATCCTTGAGGACGACTTTACATTTACCTTTACTCACCCAACACTCGCATCACCAGTCACAATCACCGCCAGCGTTCCAGAGCAATCCGACTATCCCACTGCTCATTACTACAGTCTCTTCTGCGAGGACAACGCATCCAAGGATGTTGCCGACATCATAGACAGCCTTGGCCAGCCAGCAAGCATGACTATCAACCAGTTCCTCTCCCATGTCTCGGGCGCTCTTTCTGGCTCAACTGACCCCGCGTCTGATGCAGAGCCATTGCAAGACCACGACTCGGATGACGACCTTGATGACGATGATGAAGACATCTATGGTGGAGGCCTTGACAACAACCCTTCACAGCCCGTCTTTGCCATGCCTACCAAGACCACCCGCGCAGACCCATCGAGTCAGTTCCAATCCCGCATCCGCAGCGATCTCAGACAGGCCAAGAATGCCGGTTTCAAGATCGCTTGCTTTGGTGGTCTTCTCGATAACTACAGCTGTGTCATTTCGGTATCCGTCTCTGCCCGCAAGCTCGGCATCTCGGAAGAGGCTATGCAGGCCTGGCGCATTGAGCCTTCCGACTACATCATCTTACTGATCCAGTACAAGGAAGGTTACAAGACCAAGGAAGAACTGCTCACTCTTGCCCCAGCCTCTGTGCCCACACATCTAGACATGCGCGTGGGCGCCTCCAAGAACTACAAACCAACACAAGAACAAGTCATCAACGCCTTCAACGCCACTGGTACACCAACCACTCCAGACAGTGGCTTGACACAATATCGTGACACTTTCATCTCCAAACCTCTCAAGGATCTCTTGTCCGAGCGACTTGTCTACGTCGTACGCTACAGAGATGCCGGCATGTCGTGGCAGGGCGCCGAGGACTCGTACAGAATGAGGCAGGCCGACCCCGACGCAGACGTGTGCGCTGTTGCTCGACATTTCGAGCAGGAAGAAGCGCCAAGTTACCCTGCTATTGTTAATGCGGACCACCTGGATGATCGCTCTGCAACGCACTCCTTCCCTCTCGCCGCTGTGCAATTCACGCTGCGCCACTTCGTTCGCTGTACGGAGTTCTGTCTCGTCTGCCACAAGAAACTTTCCACTTTGGTCGAAGCACTCAAGCCTTACGTTTGCGATGAACCCCTCTGTCTTTATCAGTACATGACTCTCGGATTTGGTCCATCGATTGAGCACGAGATCATGCATCAAGACAAGGTCGTTGACTTGCTCCTGAGCTTTTGCTACAGCAGCGCCTCTTTGGGAAGACTCAAGGACTTCCCTACTGGTCTTGCTCTGAGCTTGCCCCGTTCTATCGCCTTGCCAATACAATCACAGGCTCGCCCAAACCTCAACATATCTGTGCAACCCTCAGTGCCTTCTCCATTAGCGTCTGAGGGTCGACTCCAGGCTCGCTTTGACATGAGCAAGTCTGAGATTCTGTTCGAAGACGCAAACTCAGCTTGTCCTCTCAAGAAAGGTGATTGGATCGTTGTCGAGCTGCCGGACGAAATGGGAAGCCCCATGTTCCATTGCAGAATCCAAGACACGCTCGGGCCCTCTGCTAAAACCGGCCCTCTGATCGGACAAGGCACCCAGAAGGAGTCCAGCACTGCTAGATGGTCCACGGCCTTTATCGACAAGTACAACACCAACTTTGATGACTTGTCCGAAGCCAACAAACGCGGTGCTGTACAGCGTCTGCTGGCTTTGCTTCCATCGGTTCAAAGTATGAAGACCTACCTCCAGGAACAGAGTACACCAGACCTGTCTCGATGGGTCGATACCATTTCACCGGCTGCACTATCCATCTTACGCTGGACTTTGGCCTCGAATCGTTCCTGTATTGTCGAGGTCGAACAACACAAGGCGGTACATGGTATGTCGGGGTACGTTCAATTCCGCTTCGCTATGGGTGCACCCGACAAGGAAGCTCGTTTCTTGAAGGCTGTCAAGGAGACCGCAGCCCGACTCAAGTCCAAATATCCAACATTCTACGCCTGGCACGGTAGCGGTCTTCAGAATTCGCACAGTATCATCCGCGAGGGTTTACATTTCAACGAGACCATCAATGGCCGCGCCTTCGGGAATGGGGTTTACCACTCTCCACATTACGCTACATCACTTGGTTACTCTAGCATGCACTACCAAGGAAGTGTACCAGGACCATACATGTGGCCAAACTCGGGCTTGCAGATCTCGGGAGCCATGGCTCTCAATGAGATCGTCAATGCGCCTAACGAATTTGTCTCCATGACNCCCCACTATGTGATCAGTCAGCTAGATTGGATCCAGACTCGCTACTTGTTCGTGAAGTGTGGCACCACCGCTGATGTCAATATGCCAAAGTTTGACCAGCTGCCAGAGCACAAGCTAGAGCAGGACCCTAGCCGCATCCCGACCGGCGAGAAATCACAGATAGTCATTCCAGCACTGCGTGTCGTCAAGGCTGTGAAGCGTAAGCTGACCAGTTCCAAGTCGCCTGGTCCGAAGAAGACGAAGAAGGTCAAGAAAGGCCTGTGGAGTAAAATTACCACAAAGACGCCAGTGGTTGACTTGACAAGCGACGCCGATGATGATGTGGAGCTCTTCTTCGACGATAGTGAGCTAAGCGATAGCTTGAGCGTGGCAACCGACGATGAAGACCGCGAGATCTTTGAAGAGTCTTCGTCCTCACAGGAACTGGCTCTTAGAACAGGCCGGCCACAGACCAATTTCGTTCCAGGTACACTGAGCCATGACCAGCTTCCTAAGCTACCAACGCCCTCGTATGCCAACTCCATAGCGAACAAGAGGCTCTCACAAGATCTGAAGGCCCTGCTCGATGTCCAGAACAACACACCGCTTCATGAGCTTGGCTGGTACATTGATCCTAGCAAAACTGACAACCTGTACTGTTGGATAGTTGAACTACATTCGTTCCACATGTTCAACGAAGGAAGTCGTGTGCTGCCGCTTGTCACCGACATGAAGAATCACAACGTCATGAGCATCGTCCTTGAACTCCGCTTTCCCGGCTCCTACCCCAATAACCCGCCATTCATTAGAGTTGTCCGCCCTCGCTTCCTTCCCTTCATGAACGGCGGCGGCGGTCACGTCACTGCAGGAGGTGCTATCTGCCATGCCGTTCTCACCACTGACGGCTGGCTACCCACTAACACCATTGATTCTGTCCTGTTGCAGATCCGCCTGGCCATGGCCTCGACCGACCCCAAACCTGCACGCTTGCAGATCAGGGGCACATATGCCGATGGTGACTCCAACTCGTATGGCACTAGAGAGGCCGTCGAAGCTTACAAGCGTGCTTGCATGGCTCATGGATGGACTGTCCCTGCCGACTTTGACCAGACTGTTGCCGAAGAGCCGCAGCAGCATTAAACAACACAGATTGAGACGGAAGACAGAAGCAGTAACGGAGGTGTCATTTTTTCCGCTTTCCGGATTTCTTCTAGACGGCGTTATTATCAGACAAAGGCGTGGATCGGCGTTTCAAGAAAGAAAGGAAAGATTCGATGGGCCCTGTTTGGGGCATAGCTTAGCAAACATAGACTGCTCGCGACGACACGAATGATACCATGATACCATGATATTCAGATAGAAACACGCCTCAAAGACGTGATACCGTTCTCTCTCACTGTGCAGCTGCCTATATCATGCCACAGAAGCATTCTAGAGTGGCACGAAGGAAGAAGAAAGGAGAGCTAAGTAGCAGATTTCGGAAAAGCTTTTGATATTGTGATTCTTGTAGTCTTTTCAGATGCTATATGTAACATCTGAACAAAACCCTTCTTCTAAAAAAAATCTATACATGCACTTCCTCCAAAAGACCGGCCGCAACAGTATTACCGCCTGACCTCAGCACGATTCTACCAGGGACCTCGAGCGGGACGGCAGTATCGAGTTCCACCCTCACTCTAGCCACACTTCCTGGCTGCACGACTCTCGGCTTCTTTTTCGTAACGTTGCCAGTGCTCTTGTCCAGCACACACACCATACTGCTAATGCGGCCAGGCACATGCATACGTCCCCTATGCACATCAACAGTCATGGGCATGACATGCTCAAATGCCAAAATCTTTGTCGTAAAGGCCTTGATGTTTTGTACAGGTTTGCGTGCATCGCAGAGTAAATCTGCAATTCTCAAATGCACGGGGTCGATTTCCGTCAGGTGGAGAGTGACGATTTGACCTGCTACCGCCCAGTCCGCGGCTTCGTTGTCGACTTCGATGCCTTTGATGGAGCAGGATTCGTTGGCGGGCATGGCGATCAAGGAGTCGCCTACCTGACAACTTCCGGCTTCGATGCGGCCAGAGATAGATAGAGGATTCTGGACACCGCCACGGAAGATGTCGGAGATGGGAAGGCGGAAGGGAGAGGAGAGAGCTGCTTTTGTAGGTTCGTGGGCTTCCAAGGCTTGGACGAGCGACTGATGTGTGGGCGATTTGGTGTACCAAGCTGCTGCCTCAGGGGCGGGTGTGACGACGTTCTCGCCAGTGAGGCCAGAGCAGGGGATAAATGCAATGTTCTTCTGTTGGAAGCCTGTGGTTGTCAGGAAGGCGGAAATTTGCTGTTGGATCTCCTCGAAGCGGTCTTGGGCCCAGTTTATGCTGTCCATCTTGTTGATGGCTACGATGATGCGCTGGACACCCATGCTGCGGACGAGCTGGGCGTGCTCTCGTGTTTGGCCCTTGAGACCGGCTTCGAAGCTGTTGGTGCCGGCGTCGATGACGAGAACGGCAAAGTCTGCTTGACTTGCTCCGGCAATCATGTTGGGGATGAAGTCTCTGTGTCCAGGTGCATCCAAGATAGTAAACTTTGTTTTTTCCGTCTCGAAGTTGTTCGTAGCAATGTCCACAGTAACACCACGCTCTCTTTCCTCAGAGGTCGAGTCCATCACCCAGGCCAAGGCAAATGAAGATTTGCCAATACTTGTTGCTTCCTTGCGATATTTGTCGAGCGAGCGCTGATCTACAACCTTGAGATCGTACAGCAAGCGTCCCATGAGTGTACTCTTTCCGTGGTCGACATGGCCAATAACTACGAAGCTGGCGGCGTTCTTACGTCCAGCCTTTGCGTGTTCTGCGAGGACGTCCAAGTTTTTGCTCTTGACCCTATGACTTTGTCAGTAATGATTATGCAGAAAAGATACGCATCATGCATACTTTTGACTCGTCTGTTGCGGCTCTTCCAGACTGAGAGATGAGACACCATTGGTGACAGATTTGGAGTCTTTTTGTTGGGAAGCCTGTTTCTTTGCGCCCGAGGCTGATGAATCAGTTAGTATGACTTGAACCGTCTACCTTTTCACGACCGCGCCGAACCTTTNTGCCTGGGCTTGCATGACAATGTCATCTGGGCTCGGACCTGAGAAGGCATTGGTATTAGCAAGGTTCGCGTCGTGGCCGTAAATGGCTGGCAGAATGTTTTGAGACAGAATGGCGGAGTCTTGATGAGAATAACGCCTTCTTGAGCTGCCACCACACATTGTGCTGGCGAAAATAGATGGGCCTGCGCGCACGTGTTCGACGGGTTTCGTGGCTGGCTCTGGTGTTTCGATCTTGGTGGGTTCTGGAGCAGCAGGTCTGCGGTCCTCTACAGGTGGTGGCGGAGAAGGACTTTTGCGCTTGCGGATGGGGAAGGTGCGGGTCTCAAGTTGCTGAGCGACTTCTCCAGGCTTGTGGTTTTCCTGATTCGCAGGCTGAGCGGACCTTGCACCAAGACGGTCCATGAGCGATGCGACGCCAGCAGGCTTCTCGGACTGGGCGCCATCTTGAGCAGCTTTTTGTTCGGCTTCTTTCTTCTTTCTCGCAGCTGCCAGAGCGGCCAGCTTGGACGGCTTGCCAGTGCCGCCGAGTAGACGCAGCGGTGGTCGGACCTGTTCAGAAACTATGCATCCGACTCTTTCTTCCGGGACGTTGAACCAAGATATGCCGGTGAAGAGGTCGGCAGGATTCGTATGCGGTCGGGGCAGTGGACTGGTCGGCACNNTGTTCCAAGCCCAGTCAGAGCGTGCTCGCTTGTGTACCAGGAATCAAGTTGGCAATGGGCGCGTCCGAGTCTCGTCTCTGGCAAGGTAGTCCGACTCGGTCGTGTGTGTGGTGGCGCTCAAGGTAGAAGGAAAGGGGAGGGGACAAAAGAATCACGTACCCTTGATCTCAACTGGCTTTTGAGCAGCCGATGTGGCAGCCTGGTCAAACTTGGAGGCTTGCTTCTGCTTCTTCTCTTTGGGTTGTGCTTGCTGGGGAGCATTTTGATCNNTGGAAGCCATGAGCTCGAGGCGCGTGGGTCGGCGAGGCTTCAACATACTCTTCAAGTAGGTGACGGACTTGGCGACATCGTAGTAGTAGTGCCATAGGGCTTCTTGTATGGCCTCGTCGGTCACAAAGTCTGCAACGTCTCCTAGAGCAGCTCTCACGTTCTCGGTGCCTATGCGCATCTGCTCTTTGTCCTCGGCGCTCAGTTCGTCCTCTTGGGCGACGGCTGGTGCGTCTCCAGTGTCGGCGCCATCGTAGCCATACTCTTCTTCGCCCGAGTAATATTCGTCGTATTCATCCTCGTCGTAGTCGATCTCTTTTACTCTGCGATGGGCCATGGCGAGATTTGTGTGAGAGTAGCCGTGTCGAGGAAGTCGATGCTACGAGGGCGGTGGTAGGCTGTGTGCAGTGCTTTGGTCGTGTCGCGGGTTCAGACGTGCTCGATCTTGGAGAGGTGGAACTGTGACTGTCGAGTGCCTTTTCTACTGCGGTATGGATGCTGTTGGCAGGAGTCGAAGGACAGCTACAAGTTTGTCGCCATGGCGGGTCATGATGCGCGCGAATTTCCAACCACGTCATCGACCCTCTCCCCTCAGTGCTCTCCTCGACCTCTCTCTTTCCTTCTCCAGCAAGCAGCTTCTTGTCATCTCAGATGTCTAGTTCTTGTAGACTCGTGAACCAACAATGCACATGTTCATAGCATGTATTGATGATTCCCTGCTTGTACCCAGCTCATCTCGCACTCCCACACAATGAGCCTCATCCACAAGCCTCTTCTCAACCAAAGCTCCGATCCCGAAGGCCGCGTAAACTATATACACCGTGATCGCTATGCACACCATGACTCGATCCGCCCTTGCGACCTGTCAAAGTATAATTTCCGCTATATGTGCCTGGGTACTGTATATATCAGGGCCCGTTGACCTCTACAGCTTCTTATCAAGCTTCTTTCCCTTTTTCATCCCCAGCCACCATGCATTTGACCTCTCTTTCCTCATGCATTGTACTGGCAAGTGCAGTCGCTCCTGCCCTAGCCAGTACTCACAGTCGTTCAAACAACTCTCTTGTTGAGGACCTCGGCTTCATCTCTCAGCACTGGGGCCAGATCAGCACATACTCTGATAATCCTGCCAGCTACTTTGGCGTGAACCATGTTGGCCTACCTGCTGGTTGCCAGGTTGAACAGGTCCACACCCTTCAACGTCATGCACAACGCTTCCCTACCAGCTATATCGATGATGGTATCTTGACAGAGGGTTTTGCTCAGAAGCTCGTCGATTTCAGGGCCAATTCTTCGTCTTCTTTCTCTGGTCCCTTGTCTTTCCTCAATTCCTACAAATACCAGATGAACGAAAGTTATCTTACCGGTATCGGCGCCAATACTGAGTTTACTAGGGGTGTCGACTTCTGGAACAGATATGGCCGTATCTTGTACAATGCTTCTGCCGGTCAAGTCAGCTACAATGTCAACTACCCCAATGGCACAGCCAGACCCAAGCCAGTGCTCCGTACCACAAGCCAGTCTCGCATTCGCGAGAGTCAGATCAACTGGGCCTTGGGCTTCTTTGGACCTACTTACGAGACGGTGCCTGTCCCCAAACTGACCAACTATACCGACGGTGATTTCTTCGACCTTGTCGTCATTCCTGAAGGTGGAACAGAGAACAATACCCTCGCATCCTACGACTCGTGTTTCAATGATTTCCTTGTGGGAATTGGCGACCTCGGTGACCAAGACGTATTCACCTACATTCCGAGATACCTCCAGAATGTGACCGCTCGTCTCCAACAGTACGCTCCTGCAGGTTTCACATTGTCAAACAACAACACGTATGGCATGCAACTACTCTGCGCTTATGGTATGTAAATGATCTCATGCAATGTGATCATCGTCTAATACCCTTACCANGAAACTGGCTTCCTTGGCATGTCCGACTTCTGTGACTTCTTCACCGCAGACGAGTGGGCTGGTTTCGAAAACACTCTCGACATGGCCTACTACTACGACTATGGCTACGGTAACCCAACTGGCAGAGCCCAAGGTATTGGGTACCTGCAGGAACTTCTCGCCCGTCTCACACACCAATACATTACCGTCTCCAACAGCTCCGTGAACAGCAGCATCACCAACAACTCTCGAGACTTCCCTCTCGATCGCCCCTTCTACGCTGACTTCACCCATGACGATATCATCGTTAGTGTCTTGACAGCAATGTCCCTGGATTACTTCCGCGATCCTCCCAGTCTGACCGAGTACCCTCCCAACCCTGACCGTCACTTCATCCTCTCCAAGATGACACCTTTCGGTGGCCATCTTATCACCGAAGTCATTGGTTGCTCCGAGGCTAGCCCTGCTGCTGTAAGCAAAGAGCGTGTTCAATACTATCCTACCCAGTACGGCTACAACCCATCCAACGCAACTCACAAATTTGTTCGTATGCGTCTGAACAACGGTATCTTGCCCCTCGATACCCTGAGAGGCGGTGCTTGCAAGGGACGTACTGATGGCATGTGCGCTCTGGACAAGTTTGTCGCCAGCCAGAATGCTTCGTACGCATTGAGCAACTACGATTATGCTTGCTTCGGCAACTGGACCATTGCCAACACGACCAACGGATTTGACTACGATGGCACTGTGCACCGTGGACAGGCTGGCATCTTGGAAAATACCCAGCCCAGCAGCGATTAAGGTTGAGAGTACATGGATGGACAAGGCGATACTAGAGAACTTGAAAACTTGTACAGAACAGACATGATGATGACGTAGAACAGAAGATGTAGACAAAAGTAACATACACTCATTTAGTAAACTATTCCCAACTCCTGGTCATAAATTCATCATCCCCTACCAATTCATCCAAATACCAAAGCTCTGACCTCAATACTCTCTCTAGCCGGCCAACCCTCCTTTGTCCTCGGATCCGTAAACGCTGTATGTGGTGTCCTTCTCTTTCCCCCCCTNNGACTATCATAACACTGCAGAAACAACCTCTCCTCATTCCCCATCCCACTCCAATACCACCATCTCTGTCCCTCCTGCGCCAAAATCCCCGCAGTCTCACCCACACGATCAGGATACCTATGCTCAATCCCCACAACCGCTTCCTCGGCAACCGTCCTCGAGTCCGCCACCGCCAAAGGAAAAGAAACCACTGGCCCATTCAGCGGTCGCCAAATATTGATTATGCGAACACGGTCTTTGAGTAGAGTAGAAGCTTCATCGGGTAGATGGTGTTGCACACGTTGCAAGGCGGCTTTTTCGGTTTGGTCGACGTGGGCTCGGTGGACTGGTTGTCTGGTTGCGTTTGCATCTGCTTTTCTGATCGTGTGGTCGAAGAGGAATACGCGTTTTGCTCCGGGTACCTTGTCCAAAATCAAGGCTTCCACTTCTGGGTAGTAGAGTTTTTCGATTTGAGAGGAGGAGGAAAAATCGGAGCATGTAGAAGGGATGTTGGAGGCGGTGGTGAAGCCTTGGGTGTCGAGTTGAAAGGCAGATTCTTGGCCGCGTATGTCGGAGATGGAAACTGTGGAAGGGTGTTCGGTATAGTTTCTTTGGGGGAAGCCTGGAGGAGGTTGTTCTACGTAGTTCCAGGGTGAAGAGTTATCTGGCGGTGGAGCGTAGAAGATTAGAGTCGAGGTTACGGATCCTCTTGGTATCTCGATCTCTTGTGATTTGGTAGTGGTTGTTGATGTAGTAGCGGTCATTGTTGCGGTGGTAGACATATTGGCTTTTGGTATGTGATGGCTGATGTTCAAACTTACCTTTCCGACCTACCAGACCTTATATATATATACTGACAGCGGTCGAGCGGCAAACAGCCTCTTTCTTTGATTTCTAAACATTGTGTATTGCGACTCATCACGTCATCCATGTGCTTGGAAATGTAAAAATGTATTCCTCGGTTGTTCTCTCAAGGCGGGGGATGCGGTTCGAGACGTGAATGGCACAAAAGGCATGCAACATCCACTCGGAAAGTTGATCCGAAAATGCTTACCTAAGCATGGGCAATTGCGTGCTTTGGCTGGGTTTGCGGATTGAGTCAGATCGGCATATCAAAGAGCCTCATGTATCAAGTACTTTACTCCATCTCATCACACACGATCATTCATCTGTGTACTGTTGTTCTAGAGACAACTCGTTTTAGCGTGTCAGATGTTTTGATTATAGAAGGACCATCTAGTTGATCGCCCTCGCTGGCAATCAAGACGCTCAAGTATTACCACCATGTCTGCCAGTACGCCAAAGAAATGCAATGAACTCATCCCCGTCTCGCTCGTTCCGCCTGCAATGCTTCAGGGATATCGTCGCATGTAAAGTTAGAAAACGTGGACCTCTACTCCTCGGTAATCATGCCATCGATCACTTCGCACACCTCGATCTTGAGATGACAAACACACTGACTTCAATGCCAGATTGCCGCTCTCTTCCTTCCGGGTATGCTTTTTGAGCAACGCCGTCCAGGACTTCATGGACTAGACTGACGGGTGTCTGATCTTCCTGTGCTCTGTTGGCTTTACGGAAGAAACGCGAGATAGTTTCCCTAATGCGTGGCTTCTCCTGCTTGGCCCACCAGTCCTCCGACCAAACCTTGCGATCCAGCGTGACCTCCTCTGTGGATGAGAGAAGTAGCTCGAAACTTGTAGGTATTCTGTGGAAGCGTTCCATGCCTGGGCTTGACTGGCTCAGCGAAGAGCAGAGTGACATGATCTTTCTCTTCATCATGTCATGATCGAGAAGTTCGTCGGCAGCGATCATTTTGCCTAGCTGTTGACTCATATCTGACGAGAAGCCATTGACAACAACCATTGATCTAAGAATCGGATCGAGAATGGGCCCGAGATACTCGTTGACGAATGTCTGCGCTCCGCGCTTGGTGGGATACACGAAGATGAGCGTGCCGTTGTCCGGCGACAATTCGACCAGTCTATCTACAAGCAACGAGGGTCCCTTGGTGGTGAACATGTCGGCAAATTCGTTCTTGTTCGTAGGTGGGATATAGCGTTCGACGATAGAGACATCAACCGAGGAAGGCGGCACTACGGGTCGAGGAGACTGCGGGAGGGATTTGAGGTTGTCGGCATAGTCGAGTATGTGTACAGCCGAATCGAAGACCTTGCTGGTAAAGTAATCATCTCCACCAATAGGAGGTCCCGGGGTGCTGGGAGGGGATGTGGGAAGATCTGCGAGATTGAATCTACCCTGCAGTGTTTGTTAGCACACGATCCATGGAGGCTTGACGTCGGTAAAGCTTGAGATCGCCGCTGAGCAAGATTCTTGCGTCAGGGACCTGGTGTCTCGATGCAACAGAAGTGCAATGCTGTACAGAGCTGCTTCCTGGGTACTTACGGGTAGCGCGTGGAAAACATTGATCCAACATGTAGGTGATGTAGGAGTCTCGTCGTGTAGAGAGCTGATGATAGTGGGAAAGGCGTGGCCGTCTGTAGACGGACATGGTAGTGCGTGTGAAAGGACCTTGATCGGGTCTTGGTAGGCGTTAGACGCAGAGCGAATATTCTTGACTACGCAGATTGAGGTTAGCGAGGGTGTGGAATGCATAGGCAGACGGCACTCACGCATAATGGTTATAGCGTCGCTCAGCCATGGGCGCGTTGGTTCTCCCAATGGAGTAGAGACTTGTAGGTTGATACTCGGAATCGTTGATCCGTCTGGTATTGGTGCGGCTGAAGCCTCAACACCAGAAGCCAGACCTCCGATTGCAGCCGCAGGAGGAGCCATGGGCCCTGTCGCGAACTGCGTGAGTGGTTCCCACGTTATTCTGCCGGTATCGTCAGGAGGTGTGAGCGTCGTTACATAGTGATGCACCGGGCTCTGAAGAGGTTCTCTGGGTTGCACTGCAGGCGAAGACTCGGGGTGAATTGCGTCTACGTGTTCGAGTAAAGCATCGCCAAAGCGATGATCGGCAGGCAGTCTCGTGTTGTCTCCCAGGGCGACTGTGCCAACTCGGGGTAGAGCTGATGAGTCGTCGTCGCCAAGACAAGGATGAGGGTTGCGTACAAGCACCGGACGAACTGGCTCGGAGTGCGGGGCAGCTATTCCGAGTCGCGTGAACGACGGTAGACGAAGGTCTCTACCGTCCTTGAGAGAAGGAAGTGGCAGAGGGCTGGTTGGAGCAGGTGCTACACGCGCGCCGACAAGAGTGTCGAAGCCAAGACCAGGCTGTTCAAACTCGTGAGCTGGCGAGCAAATCGAAGGCTGCAGGTCTACTGTATCAGGAACTGCGGATATTGCAGAAGACAGGCACGTATCAGAACCCGGCCATGGATTAGAAGTCACGTTTGCTGCCAAAGACAATGAGCCAACACCGGGAGTGTAGATTTCTAGGTCGCTTGCAGGTGAGGGGAAATCCAACAGGCCGGCACTCGGTGACTGGACATCCTCAACGATGCCGTGCAAATTTCGCGCTGCGGTATCCATGAAATTGAAACCCGAGCTCTGACACCTTGATCGAACACCAAGGGACGACGCAGGAGATTGTGGCTGGAGTAAAGAAGCAACCGCCGCGTGGACTGGACGCGGATTGTGGCTGCTGCGATCAGAGAAGAAACAGGTGGAAGGAGCGGTAAATGGGAAAATCAATAAAGACCGTCGGACGAGGTGAGCATGTGAGGAAGAACAGGAGTTTGCTTTGCAAGAGCAAGAATAGTCTGCCGCCTAGCGTGCACACAGGAGCATGCGTCGTTCTAGACCTTGATAGACTTGTCTCTGTTGGGATTGACACGGTAGAGGGAAGTCCGCCCCGTGTCCGTGTTTATTTGACAACAAGGGGATGCTGGTGCTCGGCGAAAGAAAAATTCGAACCGTCCGCTTGCTTGGGCGACAGTTTGCTTCGTCAAAACTTCGACGGGTGCAAGGCTTCTGTCAACACCACCCTTGTGGCGTTTTTGAGGCGTCCCATACAATTCAAGTTCGGAGTGCGGGACCGTTTTGTGTTAACATATTTAACACTTTTGCAGACATGCCGTGACCAGCTTTAACGGCACGAGTACAGTCAGTCAAGTTGAAACACGCCGCTTGCTCCTTTCCTGCTGCAGAACTAGGGCTTGCTTGACAGCAAACATATCTTTGCGCCTCCGAATCTTTTATTATTGAGTCCTTGTCCGCTCGGGAGGCCTTGCTTGTGTGACATTCCTTCCTGGGGTAAATTGTATCCAAGCATTTGTGTTTCTCCAGATTGTCACCATCGGCAGGGCTGTCCACGAATCGCCATGTCTTTTCTCGCTTTGGGTCGGTTCAAGTCTTGAGCGCAAGATTCTGATCGCGCTGATGCACCTGGCGGTCCTGTTCGATCCACTTTCGAAATCGGCCACTGGTTTTCTGTTCTCCCTGTAGTATCCGTCGATTCCCGTGTTAGGTCGTCCGGCCGTATTCTGCTCCTCGAAAGTCCCGTCGACGCACCGGCCGATATCCTGTTACCAATCGATCGATTGTTGAAAGCTCGGCGCGGAAACCCGGGATTCTGCATCCAGAAATACGCATATTGACTTCCTATGAACTTGGTAGTGGTATCGTGTTGGTATCGTGCAGCGCACCCTGCTGTTCTTCCTCGAGTNNCCGGCTCTCTACTGTCATTCAACATCCTCGGCACGCGCAGCACTCGGTCACTGTANNAAACTCGTTCTTCCGATAATTGTCATCTGCACACGAGGCGGCGCGACAGTACGCTGGGTCTTTTGTACAGGCTGCAGCACCGTGTGAAGTATTCACGGTGAANAGGAATGGGTCCCTCTTTCAGAGGAGGTCAATTTTCATTCTTGCGACTCGCGATCTCGAAAACAGTGCGATACTCCACTTTGAGTCCAGAAATCGAACCCGGGAGAGCCAATGGGTATCCAGCGGCATCTTCTTGTACAGCGTCCAGCTGATCGACAAGGAAAACTACTGGTTTTGGATAATGGATTTATGCATCATGCCCTATCCACGACTCACCAGACAACATCACACATGGCTCCATGTGCTTATGCGGAATGTTCCACTGGAGACTGAACTTCACTTCTAGGTCCTATCCCAAACATCTGAGACTGTTCTCTTTGTCCGGACATGTCACTTCAGAGTGGTCTTGCATCCGCTCATTCACACTTGTGGTTATTTGATAGGTATATAACTCAGACTGGTTCTATCATAATACATCACCAGCCCATAATGCGTGGACCACCACCTCAGTCTGACCCTTGGTCACCCACAGTTGAGAGCGTCTACAGGAGCCCAAATCATCCCAACTCAATACATCAACCACAACATTCTCAATCGCACCACAATGTCGGAGTTACAGGCTCCAGTCATTTGATTCCTGGTACTGTGAATGGTCACTCAGAACTACCAGCGTTTGGAGACTATTTGCCACTACATGATCTCGCCTCGGTTGGTATGACTGCACCAACAAACTCAACAACTACTCCTGCTACCACCCTTACACACTTTCAATATGGTGACAATATTCACACGCACCATCCGTATGACAGCATGAGCATCCACTTCTCGGCGCCACCACTACTGTTTGAGCCTGTCTTGGCCCCCAGCTCTGCTACACAACCCATTCCACCTAAGCGAGCTTCAATGCCTGAGCAGAACACTCAAATACTTCCTGATAACGGGTCAAATCTGGAGAATATGAGACATGAGCGTAATTTGCTCTTTCAGAAAGCAGCTACGGAGCTTGATCAAGTAAAATGTGACACTGGTTCATCCACTCAGTCTAGCAAGGCCTGGGAGGATGCCTGGCAAACCCTGCAGGACCATATGACAAACATGTGATGAGAGACGGATGGCAAATTGTATACATGATGGCCATTTCTCTTGACCTTTGGATTGGCATTCTGGTTCAGCGTTAGATCATACCTTGACTTGTGTACAGGTGTGATCAGCATCGCTCAATCTCATTCTTTCGAAACGGTCCGTACAGAACGTAACCTTGTTCATCCATCCTTTCTGCATATAGGGAAGATTGGTGCAAGCATTGTGTTTGTGATTGGCACGAGTTGTTCGATCTGTTCAGTTACTCGAACACACTACATCAAATGGTACTGAGCTCCAGATTTTAGAGTTCATCAATCTCTTACTTCAACGTCTAGTCTCTTACTTCAACAACTAGCAGTCACTGCTATCAACAGATTCATGTGATGCTGACCCTTAACGTATCAAATGAATAACCGCGTGGTCCATTTTTGAAGCCATTCTATCGAAATGCTGCCACGGAGGAAGGTAGGGCTTAAGAGCAGGGTCTCACTTGTTACATGGAAAAAGCTTGGCAGTCCTTCCTCTTGCTTGAATCTTGACTGTCACACAACGACCTCGTCAAGAAAACATAACAACATCAACTACCATCGCTTGAACGACTAACCTTTTTTGCTGGTAGCAAAGAGCAGTAAATTCCGCCATCGAACAGGCCAAGAGTCCACATATCCTACTGGAGTACGACATGACATCTACAGAATCAATACCCCAACTTCACGTCGATGATGTTTGCACCTCCAACAGCAGCAACCAGCTAGCTGTCGGCTATGTTGACAGGACTCACGCCGAAGTGGAAAGCCATGTACCATACCCGATAAACACCTATGGCAAGATTTTTCGCCACAAAGCTGTCCCGCGTCAACTGTACAAAGAATTTTTGCGGGATGGCGTTCCTCCCCAGGGCTTCGTACTAATGCAATGGCAAACCGAGAGCAAGGCTGAACTGGTACCATGTAGTGATCTCGTTCTCTTGGATCGCTCGTTCATGTCTGGAGACCTTGTGCGAAGGGGAAACCGGTCAGGCACTGTTGTCAGCACAAGGACGAAGTGTACGCTTCTCTCCATGTGCGACGTCAGGGAATCTAAGAGCCGCAAGATACTGAAGTGTGCTTGGTTGCCGTTGCCTATGGAAGAAGAACCTTCTCTCGAACTGGTCAACGATGGTGGACTGCTCTACGATATACCCGCGTCTGAACTGAAGCTGGTACAGACCTTCAACGAAGGCGACATTATCATCTACAAGAACTGGATTGGCCGTATAAAGGACTGTTTTGACGAAGTCACTGTTCGGTTAACCGACAATGGCGTTGTGGCCATCGCAGACGAAGGCAAGCTTGAACCCATGAGCGGTGATCCCGAGGAGAGATTTGCTGTTGGATCATTGGTCCGAACGAAGAAGGGTGTTCTCAGGACAGGCAGGTGGATCTTTGGGACATACTCTCCAAACACACCACCCATCGGTGTCGTTGTCGATGTTCGTACCAAAGAGTGTCAGGTCGACTGGTTACATCCTCGCATGGAGCGAGCCAGTGAGTTCCCGATCTGGAGTAGTGCTCCAGAAGGTGTTCTCGGGCCCGACGAATTGGAGAGTAATGAAGTCCGCCTGTACGACATCTCGAACATGCCGAAAGAACCAAGCTCAACCAGGTCGCGTTCGGATCCAGAGCTCCAGGGTGGACTGCGTGTACGATTCAAGGACCTCCCTGCAGCCTGTACCAAGTACGACGGATCAAGTGCTCATGGAAAACTCGAGAAGCTTGACCGCACACAAAGTCTTGGATACGATCTGAACGTCTTCACCATTACCAGCACTACTACAGAAGTCGATGTTCTCTGGAGTGATGACTTGACCACGGAGACAGTAAGAACAACATCGATCATCCCAGATCCCTCAATCGATGATGAAGACGCGGTGTTTCCCGGCGAAGTCGTTTGCACGAATGAGACGAGAGATGCTCCACCCGAAGCTATGACCTCGTGGGCTACAACACCAGCTCGTGTTGGAGTTGCCAACAGAGTCAACACCAAGGATCGAATAGCTCATGTTACATGGTTTCAAGACTCCACACTATCATTCTGCGATAAGAGCATGGATCTGCTCGTCCCTAACACGAAACTCGGAAGTCTGGGTGAAGAACAAGAGGAAGTCAGTTTCTATGACATACGAGCACCAAAGAGTGTCAACCGTAACCGAGGAGACTACGTTCTACTGCTCAAGGTGCCGAGTCTTCAACAGACTGAGCCCAACAGTGTCAATTGGTTCGGCGAGGTTGTGGATATAGGCAGAAATGGCAAGTGTACAGTGAGATTAGGCGCAGCCGAGCCAGTACAAGAGGTCGAGTGTGAAATAATAGACACAGCGCCTGCCATGAATCTGGACGCAGACGACAACCCTCTTGTTGTTGGCGGCGACGAAAACGGCGAGTTCCTCAGCGATGGAAGCGAAGACGTTGACTTCGACATGGAAGACTTCTCAGGGTCAGAAGAGGAAGAGGAGGAAATCTGGTTCGAGGATGGACAAGATGTTCCAATCGACGACGCCGATGACTCTTGGAGTACAGAAGACGAAGAAAACGACGATTCGGACGCCATGTCAACACAAGATGATACGCCAGCAACAGAACCAGCACCCGCTCCAGCACCGCCCATTTCCTCAACGCAAGCAGCACAGAACGGCAGTGCTACCGAGAACATGGATCAAATAATGATTAGTGCACCTGTAGAAGATCTGCATCTCTCCTCGTTACCGAATGCGCCTGCAGCTTACGAGATCCTCGAGTCCGAGGTACCTTCAGGCCATCATTATCTACTGCAAAGTGGTCCGACATCCGCAAGCCACATGAAGGGTGTCTCAAAGGAACACAAGATTCTGAGCGCGCCTGGCGCACTTCCGGAAGGCGTCTACGTGCGAACATGGGAATCCAGAATGGACCTGATCAGAGTGCTATTTGTCGGCCCTCTTGGTACGCCATACGAGTATGCGCCCTTCATGATCGATCTGCACCTGCCCTCTCAATACCCATACGAGCCTCCGAAGGCTTTCTTCCACAGCTGGACGGCAGAGGGCGCAGGCATGTCTGGACGAGTTAACCCGAATCTGTACGAAGAGGGAAAGATTTGTCTCTCGCTACTGGGTACATGGCAAGGCGACCAGGCACGAAACGAGGCATGGACACCACACCAAAGTACTGTGCTGCAAGTACTAGTCAGCATTCTTGGGCTTGTTCTGGTCAGAGAGCCCTACTACAACGAGGCAGGATTTGAGCCGCTTCAAGGACTTTCATCCATCAACCAGAACAGCGTGGCTTACACAGAACGCACCTATCTTCGCGCGAGAGCCTTCCTCATCTCGCCGGTAAGTCGTCTAGGACGTGGCGAGACATCAGGCTTGGAAGGATTCGAAGACGTGCTGAGATGGCTGTACACCGATAGTGATGGTGCAAAATTGTTGGCCAAAGCAATCAAGGCAGCACGTACTATACTCAGGAACAGCGAGGATGGTGCCAAGGTCGAGACTCGTGACGGGCTGAGTGTGGTCAGTAGGGGAGCAGCGCTGCCTTTGAAGAGGGTCGTAGCACGCATGGAGCAGCTAGACCAGGAAGTGGCATCACAATCCAAGGATTGAAGCTAAGATATGTACATTATGTAGAACTACACCACGTCGACATTCGTTTTGTATGTCTTCACTTATGCATGGAAGACAAATATCTGTCAATTGGAAGAAGCAAGTGAAGCCGAGCCAGACAAGTCGGCAGGTGCAAGCGAAATGAGAAACGTGACTTGGTGGTCTCTTTCGTCGCGTCATCCAAGGAAAGCGCAATCCACACGACCAAAACAATTCATCATTATATTTCGTGACAGTCTAACACCAATATCAGATGCTGCCATAGCATTTTTCGGGCGTATCGCCTTGCGACAATAGCTTTACGTAGGAGCGCGACTGGCACCAACCATGTCGAATCCACACCAACTCCAACCTCCGACGAGCGCAAAGCCCAAACGCCGCTTCTTCGATCCATGGAACTCGTCATCAACCGGTCATCAAAGAGCGGACAACAGCCTTGCAGGAAGCACGAGCTGGCGCGAGTCTCGCAGTCTCAAACTCAGCAACCAGTTCGGTGGAGGGGCTTCTGGTGGCGTTCGCCTCGCAGATACTGTTGGTGCTGGCAGTGAAGACTTTGGCAAAGATGGTAGATTGGAGAATGGAGACTGGGCCAAGGGAGCACCTGGTCTGAGAGGCAAAGGCCAGCTCAGTGTGGTGGAAGCTTTTAGGATCAAAAAAGTGGGTGTCAAGGATACAAAAATCGAGAAAGAGAAGGCGAAATTGGTGGTCAATGAGGTGGAAGATAAAGAGCTGGATCTTCTGGATATACCAAGTGCACAGCCGGTACGAGAGAACTCGTCTCAGGACCACGAACAGCCGTCAAGTTATGAAGACAAGCTTCTGCGTGAGAACTCGAGTCCTGACGAGCAGACGCAAAACAACACTCAAGATCAAAATACTGCAACCGCTGCACCAAAAGCTCCTCAAATCTTTGCCGGCACATGTATATACATCAATGGCAGCACCTTCCCCACAATCTCCGATCACAAGTTGAAACACCTCCTCGTAACACACGGCGCACGTCTCAGCATCCACCTCGGCCGTCGCTCAGTCACCCACGTAATTCTCGGTCGTCCCAATGCCTCCTCTATTCCAGGTGCCGGTGGTGGTCTCTCAGCCTCGAAGATGCAAAAAGAAATAGCCAAGATCGGAGGCAAGAACGTCAAGTTTGTCACTGCCGAGTGGGCCATGGAAAGTGTTTCCAATGGCAAGAGAGCGCCTGAACAAAAGTTTGAGGCTGTAAGGTTGGCTCTAAAAGGAACGGGCAGAGTTGAGGAGATGTTTGCGAAGACTACGAAAAAGGGTTGAAAACATCAAACAACATGATGTAATCACTTACGCGTTAAGTTAATGAGCAACGGTATGTTGATGGAACGGGGATGCCAAGGTGAAAGGGCGCCCTGAATGAAGCAGGCTCACAAGTCTTATGGCTTGGTCGAGTGAAGAGCTGGTCTTCATTGTAAAAGAAGTTGTCTATCCGCTTCCTCATCACCACTTACTCAAGCTCGCTGTCGCCTCGCCAACCGCGACCTGTCCGACTCAGTCGCCCAAGATGTCTAAACCACATCCTTGTCCCCACTTCAAGGACTTCTACGACAATGGGAGTCGCTCCGATGTATAATCTGCTTCGGCGATAAGAAAGTCTTCGCCCACAAGGTTATCCTGGCCGGCGTATCAGAGTTGTTCCATACAGCCTTCAACAGCAACTTTTCGGTACATCAGCCTTCCTCTAGCACTTTCAAGATGTTGTGTTGACAGGATGCAGGTTGCGAACCAAGCCGATTACCAAATCAAGGATTACACCCATGAAGTCGTATACGCCATGATCAAGCACATCTACTGTAATCAGTATGATTCAGCCTCGAAGATCATCAATCCGACCTTAGACCAGCGTCTTGATTTCTGGATAAACATCCTACTTGTTGCGAATGAATACCAAGTAAATTCAGTTACTACGGCCGTCACCGTATCCATTTTCAGACTCCCCGAGACGGAACGCTGTCCAGAAATAGAGAGAAGATTGGAATCGACCGAGCCGCTGTGTGCACGTTTGCTTCGGGAGATGAGCGAGCAGGACCAAGTACAAGTGTTGTTCGTGTGGTCGCTCGGTGCCTAACATGCCCGATTGAACAATGGTGTACTCACACCCGCTGGGCTGTATATACCTACCAATAAATGCAAGAACGACAGTAGTGTTATCAGGTCGGTCCATATTGATTCTTCATGACTGGATGTCACAGAACAACAAACGACAATCACTGAAACATTCTTCGAATCTTTCCGAGTCCAAAGCCTAATGTGATTCCTGTATTCTTTGCTGAATGAATATTCTTTGCAACTGAATGATGAAGTACTTGTGATAACAAGATATTTCAGTCGATACACAACTTTATGCTTACTTGTGCTTGTTTTACAAACCCCACATGCAGATCGTCACCCCCGCCACGAGGGTTGTTCTCAGAAAGTGTCACCCAGCTTCCACTTGCTTCAACTTTCCACAAACCAAACACAAAAGATGGCGACTGACCAAGGAGAGACGAACAAGTTTGCGATCCATGCTGCCTGTCGCGATGGACAGAGTGAGAGTCCATGATTTGCATCACAAACAAAGGACATACCACTCACATTGCGTACAGTCAACCTCGCCGAATCGCTACTAAACGTACGCTCTCACCTTGCCTCTCTCCGATGTGCACCGATAGCCACATATCTAACACATCTTCCTGAATTCTCAGGCAAATCCCAAACTCGCCAAATTACGCGACGACGACGAAAGACTTCCCATCCACTGGGCCGCATCCTACAACCGCCTCCCCATCGTCGAGATCCTGTCTGACCGCAAAGACTTTGACCCAGACGTCCAAGTACGATACCATACCCAGCAACATTATAAATATCAGCATTGACGTGAACTACACAGGATGGCGCAGGCTGGACACCCCTCATGATAGCCTCCTCCCTCAAAGACTCGTCCGCCTCAGAAACCCTCACCACCCTCCTCCTCTCCAAAAATGCCGACCCGACCCTCACCACAAACACCGGAGCCACAGCCCTCCACTTTGCAGCCAGCAAAACAAACCTGGACACGGCCAAAAAACTCATCGAGCACAAGGCTTCTGCAAGAGTCAAGGACAAAAGAGGTCAATTGCCTTTACACAGGGCAGCTGCCGTGGGCAATGTGCCCATGGTGAAATTGATGTTGGAGAACAGGAGTCCGGTCAATGCGACTGATGGGGATGGGTGTACGGCTTTGCATCATGCGGTTGCGGAGGGGCATGGTGATACGGCCATGGTGTTGCTCAAGGCGGGTGCCGAGACGGATAAGAAGGATAATACTGGTGCTTTGGCGCTGGATCTTGCGCCTGATGCCAAGGTATGTTTTAATGTGCTTGCTCTTTTGGCGACTTGTGTTGCTGACTTTGACACAGGTCAGAGATTACATTACTCGTGCTGCAGAGGAGGAAGGCATTACACTTTAGAAGAGCACCTTTCCATCTTCTTGACTTGACGACAGGAAAACTTTGATTCAAAAAAGGCAGAGGCGGCGAATTCAAGCGTAAACACGACATGATGCATCTATTATAGATTCTCCCATTCTATCAACCGATACCCTTCGAGAATCATCAGCATCACTTCATGTTCCTATCGACAAGCTCCCGATACATCTTCTTGACCTCCACAAGATCACTTTTCAACTCCTCCACTTCCTCTTCCTTTTCTCCCAGCATCTCAAGACAGGCTTCGTATCTCTGTCTGACTTGCCCAAGCTCTTGCTCGAGTTTGTCGGTCTTGCCGTCGACACTACGTTTGGTTTCTATCTCGCGCATCATAGAAACCACCTCGTCTCTGGCTTCATCGCGCTGGGTGACCAAACGTGTGAGTTCGTCTTTGTGGGCTGACTTTTCGGCTTCGAGACGTTGGATTTTGGATGACATGTGTTGGACCAGCTGCACACTGGGGCCTGTGTGTACAGTAGAGGCACTAATAACATCGTTGATCGTTTGTTGTGGGCTCGAGCGGTTGTCAAAGTTGTCGTCGACATCGTCGTTGGTGGTGCGGATGGAGGGGTTTGTGGTGCTGCTCCGTTNTCCGCCATTGATGAGTTGAGCTAGAGAGAACATGGAGCCTTGTCTGCTGACGCTTGGCGAGGGAAAGTCGGGAGTCATGGGTGTACGTGAGGTTATCAGGCCGGGTGTGAGGGTTGATGGTCGGCGGGATACTGAGCGGTCTATCGAGAGAGTTGTTGTTTGCTCCTGGGAAGGTATACGTGAGAGTCCCCGGCGTGATTGTACAGACCCATAAGGATCCTGCGGCGGTTGCTTCCGGAAATAGCTGGTTGGAGACTGTGTTCGTGAGGCCATGACTCCGTTGCTGGGACTGGCGATGCCCAGGCCTTGCGATAGTTGCCTTGTTCTCTCTTCTTCTAGCTTTTGACTCAACTCTGTTTCGAATGTCTGCTTTTGGCGATCGAGATCTGTTCTTGCTTCATTCAGTGACATCTCTGCAGTTTCGAGACGTGATTGCAATTTCTTCAGCTCGGCCTTGCTAGCTTGAAGTTGCGAGGTCAAAAGTTGAGACTCCTCGGTCATCTCTTCGAGTTGTTCTTCAAATCGCTTGGCTTTGCTGCTAATATCGCGAGCTTTCTTGCGTACGTCAGCCTCACGCTTTGTCGCTTCGTCTCGTTCCTTTTCGATGGCAGCGATACGTCCATTTAGCGAGGTCTCAATAGACCGCCAATTCTCTGCTGCCAAAGAGTATTGAGTCTGCAGTGTTTCGATCTGACGAAGGAGTTTGGCCTGAGAGTCCCCTCCTACATCTGAAGACGCTTCTTCAGCACGAACGCGAAGTGCTTCGAGACGGCTTTCATAGTNTCTACACTGCACGTGAGCACCATACACAAGCTGACATATATCACGGCATAAACTTACCGATATTTCGTTGGTAAGCTCTGTTTCACGAAAGTTGGCCTGCTGCTTCTGCTGACGAGCTTCTTCAGTGACTCGCTTAACTTCTGCGCCCCACTTATCATCTGCTAGCTTCTTTTCCAATGTCGCGTCCTCGAGCTGTTCCTGGATGGCAGACAGCTTGTTGGTGTCTGCTTGGACTACGCTGTCTTTTGCTTTAGACTCGGCTTCCTCGGCTCTTCTCTCAGCCTCGAGCAATTGACTTCGAAGATTAACAATTGTGGCATTGCTACCCCCGAGCTCCGACTTGTGACTCTCGAGGTCTTTTTCAAGATTTGAGAATCGCTTTAGATGCTCGGTGCTCTGTTTTTCAGCTTGCTCAGTCCGCTTCAGCCTTTGCTTCAGGTCCGATTCGGAATCTTCAAGTCTAGCAAGACTTTTCCGGAGCTCGGCCATGGCCTTGTCGTCTTGTTGAGTCTTCAAGCGCATCTTCTTGATAGCGGCGCCTTGTCGCATCTCAACTTTGCTTAGCTTTTCACCCTCTTGCATCAATAGAGCAATACGCTCATCCTTTTCCGCAAGTTTGCGCTCCTGAGGAGTGGCCTGAGATGAGTTTGCCTGTTTCGCAGCAGCAACCGTCTCCTTTGCGAGATAGTGTAGTTTGGCTTGAAGAGCGTCGATACGTTCGAGGTTGGCAAGCATTTCTTCCTGCCTCTGTTTTTCGGCTTCGGCATTCTCCTGGCGCAATTGTGCAAGCTCGTTGTCTTGATCAGAGACATCTCTCGGTACTATGGCTTCGGGTTCTTCTTCCTTGAGCTCTTGAACCGACTCTCTAGTTTGAGCTTCATCGTCGAGCTCGAGCGAGGGCCTGCTTTCGCTGTCATTGGAGATGCGAGCGGGGTTTATGGGTAGACCTGAGGTCAAGAGAGTGGGAGGAGCTTCGGTGACTACGAGCGCGGGGGCGGAGTCAACAGCTGGCGGCTCAGGTATGAGTCCTGCGGAAGTGTCGTTGATTGAATCCGAGACATCAAGGACCGGAACGTCAGCGACGGGGGTTGATGTGATATCATCTTTTGTTTCCGGAAGGGGCCGCGGTATGTCAGTCGACTGTCTCGAGTCGAGACTGGACCTGGGACTAGCAGGTTGGTTCAGAGGAGTCGAGGAACGAGAAGGGTTCTGGCTGGCAACCGCCTTGGCCAGTCTTTCCTGTAGGCGGTCGTTCAGACGAGAGCGCGACGGACTACGCGAAACATCTGTAGAAGCGGTGGGGACTGCAAGAGCAGCAGGCTTCTCGGCCAATGGCTTCTCTACAGTGGCAGCCTTGTCCTGGGCTCTGCTGCGAGCAGACGCTTCGTTGTCCTCGGCTAGGATTGTGTCCAGACGCGATTCGAGACCGGCGACGGCGCCCGAGAGCAGCGAGCCCCATCGTGATGCTTTGGCCTTGTTCGGTGGCTGCGATGCCATTGCGGCGCACTGTCGTTGAGCGCAATCACGGAAACATTGATGGTTCGCGAGCCTCCGCCCATGAGCTCCGCCTTGCCGTGACACGCGGCGGCTCGGGGGTGAGCCTTGGCAAAGGGTGACGTAGCTAAATCGGCCTTCTGTCCTGCATTTTATCCACCGATTGCGCTTTCCCTAACGGGACAATTAATGACCCTATCTCACTACCAGATGCGTTCCTGGTGTCGATCGATCCGATCCCTGCAGGCCCTGCATATCTTTTCTACACTGTCCTTCTTTCCTTCTCATCCATAGTCCTCTTTTCTCTTCGTCTTAACTAATATAATTATTACAGCAGCAAACAATACCGCAACCATGGTCAAAGCAGTCAGTCCTCCACTCGCCCCTCCTTGCCAACGTACTGATATGATCCGCAGGCAATTGGTCAGATACGTTCAACATCAGATCTCTCGCACAATCTTGAGCAGTGCAAGACTCTGGTGAAGAAAGCTGTTGCCGAAGGTACAAAGGTTCTCTTCCTTCCTGAAGCCGCCGACTACATTGGAGGATCGCCCGACGAATCTTACAACCTTTGCAAGTCCGTCACCGACAGTCCATTTGTCCGAGGACTGCAAGAGGAGGCCAAGAAGAACAGCCTATGCATCAGTGTCGGCATTCACGAGCCTTCAGAGACACCCAAGAAGATCAAGAACACTTTGATTTACATTGACGAGAATGGCCACATCACCCAGCGTTATCAGAAGCTACACATGTTCGACATGGAGTTGGACGATGGTCCAAACATGAGGGAGAGCGATACTGTAGAACCTGGCAACAGCATCCTGCCTCCCTTCGATACGCCCGTTGGCAGAGTAGGCTCGTGCATCTGCTTTGACCTACGCTTCCCCGAGCTTGCTCTCGCACTGAAGCGTCAAAAGTGTGACATACTCTGCTACCCTTCAGCTTTCGCCCCTGACACTGGCAAGTACCACTGGCATGCCCTACTAAAGGCTCGTGCCATTGAGTCACAGTCGTATGTTCTTGCTCCTGCTCAAGTCGGGCCCCACAACGAGAAGAGATCAAGTTTCGGTCACTCCTTGATCGTTGATCCTTGGGGCAGAATCCTGGCAGAGCTGGGTAGCGAAGAAGACTTCAACAAGAAGGGTGATTCGTGGGAACCTGAACTTGCTACTGTCGAAATTGATCATGATCAATTAGCAAAGATCAAGAAGGGTGTACCTCTTCACAGAAGAACGTGAGTTTGACCTTCGCCGATGTCTTGATCGTTCGTCTTGCTGACTTCTCTAGCGATGTTTACGCCGAGGTATAGATGACTACATAGGGAGCAAAATACACAGAGACGATTTACGCTCCACCACAATTGTTATTCGACACTTTTCAATATTTTGTGGAATCTTGATTGGTTGCGCGGCTGATGGCTGGCTGACCTATACTAAGTTTGGACACGTGCATAGACAGGGGCACATTTGTAGAGTCTAAAGAGCAGGAGAGCCAACACCACGAGCCAGTGGAGCTTGGCGAATGGATAGACCAGCATAGAAACGACTTGACGAAGAACATGCCGAGGAAAAGCAAGGTATATATAAAGATAATCTTGTAATACCATCTGTCGACAGCGCCATGGCGTAAAGTGCTACGGTGTTTGGGCTCGTGATTGTTTGGCTGCACACGTTCGTCTTGCTGTCCTTGCTGCTCCATATCAAGGTATGATTCTGGTAGTCCAACAGGAGATGGGAAGTGTCTGAAAAGGGACGGCTTGCTGTAGATGCTCTTCTGAGAAGTAGTGGCGCCACATCAAGATCCAGAACAGGACCTGCAAGCCATTTACAGTTTGTTTCAACACGAACAATGGCAACGACAGAACAGTCGCCACGACAAGTATGCACAAAAGAACAGCCGCCATGAGAAGTAACAAACAGGCAAACCCCAGATAATACCCTGATGGTACAAAGCAAAGGCAAGCCAGTGTCACTACAGAATTTCCCAACTCCACAGAGAAGTCCCAAGACAGACTTCTCTGCACAACACGACAGTCTTCTTTCATCAGAAACAGGTGCAGCATTAGCAAAAAGATGATGATCAGAGTGGGATTCGAACCCACGCGATTTCTCACTAGTAAACTCATTCCAGGTGAGCCTGAAACTAGCGCCATAACCACTCGGCCATCTGACCAAGAACTGCTCGTTTTCGGGTGTTCCGTTGAGATTGTGGCTGACAATTAAATCAATATACTCCATTTGCAAGTGTCTAGAGACGTTGAAAGGTAGGGTAGATATCTGGACAAGCACCGAGGTGAGGGGCAGCTGTTATATCGCTGTGTAAAGACCTTCGGTGTGTTGGGTCGATCAGGTACGTCAACCCAAACCTCCAAGAGGACTCCTGACTATGCTTTGTGGTATAGCTGCTATCACTCCTGACGAGAGTCATATAAATGTTTCATAGAAGTGGATTGCATGAGACAGATTGTTGAAATGTTTGATTGAAAGCAACAGAAACTTGGAAACAAAGAGATGGAGATGGGTTGATATGCAAGAGCAATTGATGAACTCGTGTTCGCAGAGGACTGATCTGCTTTGTGGACTATCTAGCTGGGGGCAGTTTGTACCTATCGTGGGTATCGTGACGTGACATTATGGTAGACAAAGGAAAGTTGTGTGCATCTCGACGCTAAGAACATGATGAGAGTATCGAGTAGATTGATAGACTCGAACGATGTGGGTATGCTGGCCAGCAGCAGGTTGACGTGAGTTCGTGGGTAGAGTACAAGACTCCATGATTCCTCGTGTTTGTTGTGGTACGTTCAGAAGAACGGTACCCGGCCTCGAGATGGAGGCTTGCGATGTGGCCTGTGTGATACAGGCTCTAGACCGCGCTGAATGGTTGTGGCTTCCGCGGATGGCTCCTTTTCCTGTGGTACCGCGGTCGCCAGTGCCACAAAGCTCGTAGCGTGGAATCGCGAACGATTGTATCCTTTGGCGATCCTTGATACAGTGGTAGCAGAAAGATTCTGCTATGGGTGTGGCGTATGGCAGCACTTGGGCAGGTCCGATCAAGGCCATGCACCCAAGTTTGCATTGACAAGCTCCACGCGAGGCTTGACTTCAACTTTAGCATCAGGACCTTCGCCCTCGCCCCAAGCGGCAGGAACATCTTCCCAAGGTCTGGCCGTCGAGCCATAGAGATGGAAATCGTTGAGGATCTCTGGAAATTTCCAGATCACGAGATGCGAGAGGCCAACAACACTGCCGCCAATTACAGCAAAGTCTGTACATGTTTCCCATGATTCCGCTGGCATGGCCAGTCCGCAGAAGCCATAGCCCAGCATTGTTGTTGAAGAGCCAAGGAGTATTGATAGAGTTGAACTGGTGAGATCTGAAAGAGCACCTTCCAGTTTGGCAAGGTATGCTGATGACGGAAGAGGGTCGTACGCGGTGCCATTGTATGGAAATGATACCGTAGCGTTGAGACGTGGTGCATGGAAACGTGTAGGTGCTGCACTTGCTTGCAGTGCAGACATGGCCGATAGCATAATGGTTGTGGACTTCATGTTTGAGGGTGTGATGTGGATGGAACGCGTAGCAGACTAAGAACAATGGTGACAACAAGCAGGACAGGAAGTAGATATAAAGAATGGGACCATAGGATCTTCAACTCAACTATTCTCACCTTGATGCCCTAAGCACCCGTCAAAGATCGTGGTGAGGGCATCGTGGAGCGCCTAACACAAAGGTCCATTCCCACAAGAGTCCTCGAAACAGAAAAGTCTCATGCTCGTGGTCAATTTGAGGCACAAGGCTTCTGGACAGCTCTGAAAACGGATGGCCGAAACAGCGAGTCGGGGTCATTAAAGACGTCGCTCGAGATTGCAAAGGAACGCTAACCCAAAGTCATGCACCGGTGGCCTGTCCGGCACGCGGCCGCGGTCGATCTTCTTCCCGGACGTATCTTCACGCATGGCACCGGGCATACTGAGGTTTGAGCGGACTGCGGCGGCGCACACAGGTGCTCTCCGCTTTGTTGCATGCGACGGCTCAACATATCGACCTGCCGTGCCCACTATCATGAGATACGAATCTGGCCTCATGGTGGATAAAATCTCACACCAAAAGGATGACGCGCAGCAGATTGACTCGCGGTATCCTTTAGAGTGACGTCGAGTTCGAGCGGTCAAATACTGAGACTAAATGTATCAGGCCTCCCAGAATAGGCATCCATAAGGATGGAGTTTATGAAGGAGTCTTTGGAGGTCGATGCACGAGCTTCTCTGCAATTCCGAAACTTGTTTCCCCAGATTGCCCGACTCTTTCGTGTTTCAGCAGCACTCGAAGTGTTGTCCATGCTTTCTTCCGATCCCCTTTCGGCAGTTGGCGAGGCAGGGACGACTGGGACCATCGTCACTGAGCTGAGGTCACAAAGGGGATTGGGTTGTCAAAACGATTTCTGTTCGCATGAAGATGAAACAAGAAAGATGATTGAAAGATTCGGCCTTATGCGAAAAGTCAATAATGAATGTATGGTGGTCCCAGAGGCTACTTTGGCACCTGACTCGGACTGATAACAGCAAAAAAAGTCGACAACGCCTGTCCCAGCTATGTGCGCCAAATCGATTGATCCTCAGTGCAATGAATGAGCAGAGATCATGCCTATAGCGAGGCGAAAGGGTAGTTCCCAGAAAACAAGATCCGCCATACCAAATTTCCTCCACCTAACCCGAAGACTATGCCTTAACCCATCCGTCATGTCGTACGTGAATTTTTTCTTGCTGTATATTTCGAACCATCATCATTGACCTGCTAACTTCTTGAGAGCTTCGTCAACAGAGTATTGGTTGAAAAGGTAATCAAGGCCCTTTTGAGAATGCGTGGCATGATAATCATCAAGAGGAGGCTGTTTGTTCTCGCCCGACAGCTTCTTGAACGCGGCATCCACGTATTCTGATGGCACAGTGACACCAGACTCTGAGCACTTGGCCTTCGCACGAAGCTCGGCACAGAGATTGTCGAGATCGAACTTGCCCTCCTTGAAGTCCTGGTTGGATTGTAATTGCGACCTTTGAGAGGTGTTAGTGTCGATATAAGCATTGTTGTCTGGAGAATCCACGCACCAAATCGTGTTGCAGTTGAGCATCTGTTCAGCGGACTTCAAGCTCATCTCATTGATGCTCTGCTGGGTTTGCTGAGTGGGTACCTGCTGTGGCAAGTAAATGTCGTCGTCACCACCTTCGCGACACTTCTCAACCTCTGCCAGCAAGTTTGCGCTTGCGGTAGTCTGCTGGACAGTCTTGGGAGAAGAAAANNAGTCGCTCATGGCGAACGGTGTGTTCAGATCGTAAGGAANAGCGGCCTCGAAGAAGCCGCTGTTGAAGTCACCATCGCCGACAACGGCATCCTGACTCTCACGGTAGTCACCAAATAGGACAGGATCAAATTGACCACCGTTCTGTGTAGCAAGCCAGTCGAAGCCAGGCGTCGAGGCGTTGGTAGTCGCGCCGTTCTGCGCTGATTGNNTTCTAAGATCATGTCAGCCACCTGTTAGTGGTTTTGGAATCTTTCCTAGCTTACTTTGAGTGTTGTTAGAAGTGATAGGCTTAAGAGAGTATATATCGTTGAAGTCGTTGATGCCCGACTTGTTAACGTCAGACGGAGGAGAGTTTGCAGATTCAGGAGATGTTCCGCATGAAGACGTGTTGCAAGAATTGGCATTGTAGTGCGTCAAAGAGGGCACCGAAGGCGACTGGTTTGAGTTCGTGCCAGAGCCAGAACCAGAGCCACTGTTGAACCTGAAGACTCTGGAGATGCCACTAGTGCTATCGGTTCCGTTGTCGGCGTATTGAGCAAATGCATTGCCATCGTTGTTGTTGGCGTTCTGCATGAGGAAGTCGTTGCTAAGGTTACCCAGAGTAGACGGGCTGAACAAATCGGCGTAGGTGGTGCCAACAGCTGATACTTGAGCAAGAGGACTGTTTGTTCCCTTGTTCATGCTGCCACTTCTAGAGTTGTGGCCCGAGCTCGTCTGATGGTTACTGACTTGAGTTCCAGGGCTTGGGTTTCTGCCCATACTGTTCGATCTCGGCAGGCTGGCATTTGGGCCAGCAGACGGGCTGACAGTCTTCTCACGGCTAGATTGAATGTTGTTTCCAAAGAGCTGATTTCCGGGTAGGGCGCCAAATTTGGGAAAGTCGAACTGGAAGTCGGCTTGAGAATTGCTGTTGCTTCTCGAGGCAGCACGAGCGGCCGAAGGAGGTGAGTGTGCGGCAATGCCTCCACTGGCATAAGACATTCTCTTCTTGTACTCGCCGAGTTCGGATTGAAGACGCTGAACCTGTGCACGGAGGACACCGTTCTCGTGCTTGTCTTGTTCCTGAGCTTTGCTGAGAGCCTCGACCTTGGTCTCAAGGTCTTTCAGATGCTTCTCCTTGCGTTCCCTGAAAGCACGTTGGGCAGCCCTATTCTGAGCCTTGCGTTTCTTTTGCACATATCAGCTCCATAGCATGGGAGCAGCACACGATGGTTTACTTACAGTAGTAGGCTCCGAGGTCAGAGGTTTCCTGCCAGGTTTCTTGGCCTCCTTTGGTTCGCCTTCTCTTCTTTTGGCGTCGACTTCGTCCTCGAGCGAATCCTCTTCCGGGCTCTTGCGCTTGTCGGGCTTGTCGCCATCGGTCGAGTCGGACTTGTTGCTAGCAGCGCTGCCCATGTTGTCAAACATGTGTTGACCGCCCAGATCGGAAGCGTCGAAGTCGAAGCTGGTATCTCCGTCCAGATAATCGAGATAAGGGCTGGTATCCTCAAAATCGAGGGAACTCATGTCGGCAGATGGCTTTGATTTTTCGCGATTGGCAGATGGGTTGTTTGAAGCCAATGCGGCAAGAAGTAGCTCCTGTTGTGCGTTGGAGAGGTATGGGTTGAAGGGCTGGTTGCCGGTCGTCTGCCCCGCCATTTCTGACACAGTCGTACGATTGGTACCAGAGCGGAGAGGACGCTCGAATGTGACTGATTCTGGTCAAGTTTGCTTGACACAGAGTGCGACCGTGATGCGCCGAAGAAAAAGAGACAAAGGTGTGCAAGTGTTGTCGAAAACGAGCTGAGGCCGAGCGATTGACCAGTCCAGCAGCCAGGCAAACACGCTTTGAGTTTGAGATGATGCAGCTATGAAGCTACGGCGATATCGGTCGGATTGTCGTCCAGGGGTTGCGAGATGATTGTGTTTGACGTCGAATTGTTTGGAGGAAAAGATGCGAAAGTCGAGTTGCAAGGTCAGAGTCAGCAGTAAGCGTTGAGGGGCAGACTCGAGGCAGGAGCGAGAATGTGGACACCGCAGGCAGAACAGCGCCCTCCTCAATTGCCCCGGCTCTTACCGCACCAGTCTCTGAGCCCATGGTGCTTAGAAATCCGATGTCCTAGCCCTTGCCCAGACTTTTGCAACCTCGTCGTCCTCCGACCACGTCCACCTGTTTGATTGACCTCCGCCTTGTTCTGGTCAACTCTGCGCTCGCCATATATCTCCAGCCTGCATCATCTCGACAGTACCTCTTTCGCCTATCAATTTGTCGTCGCATGGCTGCTCGGACTCACTTTCCTCCATCTCATGCACGGTAGCACGTGTGGACTAGTGCCTTCCACGGCCTTCTTCTCCGCGCCGTTCCTCCGCTTGAAGGACTGCCCTAACCGTCCTTATTTTTGTTTCTTTTTGTTCTTTTTCTTTTCTTTCTGCCTGATCTCGATGCCTTGTTTCTGCCGCTGTCGCTGTTGCCACCCTGCCTTTATGTTTGTTCCCATGTATTCTTCTTCGTATATGTCCAGACCATCCGTGTCTCGGAATCTCAGGCTATCGAAAGCAAACTCCTTTCTTTTCGATGACTGGTTAACCCCCATGATCGCGTCTGATGAGAGAAAGTACAGGCTTCTAGCTGAAATACAGCAAGCACCTGACTGTTTTAGGAAACCACAGGTACATGATCCAACGTGAGACTGAGCCAGTCGATTGCTCACATGCATCGCATCACGAACTTCTGTGCCTCTTTCACCAAACGCATCACAGTATTGGTTCTTGCTTGTCAGGGATTGTCCGTCCGAGTCACAGTGACAGACGCACGAAAAGGCGTGTATTCTGTACTCTTGCGCATCTCGGACTACCGGCATATCCTTCTTCTTGATCCAAAGTTCTGGATGCCGACTTCGCTCGCTCGCAATCTCTCAGAGAGTCAGGAAAAGCGCATTGTGGTATGCTAAGTTTGATGGCCTGAAAAACTCGAGACAAAATGTGCCCCTTGCAATGTTCCTCCAAGCCTTATCCGGTGGTTGACACGAAGACCCGAGTCGTGTTTGTCCAGTCCGGTTCAACGCACGACCCCCGCACGCCGATGTTTGACCCGCTTTGGTTAAACAACCTTCTGGAGGCGGGACCCTTGAACTTTCCTTGCCGGAGCCTACAGGGCTATCTCTTATCACCGAGAGACCCGGATACCTGAATAGCGAGCTTAGGACTATCGGTGATGCGCCGCCACCAGCAAGGAGGCACTACCTGATACGGAACTCGTCGACCCTAGCCATGCTTATCGGGCATCCTTCGTATCACTTTCTAGGCATGTATCCGATTCGGCCTTCGGCTTCGTTGACCGAAGTTGAGCAGGTGATGGAGCTGATCGCTATGCATAACCCCTCTACTTCGGACCGCGCGTTGGAATTATCAACTCCAGACCCTCGTCCGGGCCATGAGTCTCATTTCCTTGCCTAGATAACGATAGCTCATCGGCGCAAGGAAGAAGCACCCTTCACCCAATGATCCCTGCCAAGAACGTCTTCGGTCATTGAGGGGAAAGTATTTTAATGCGACCGTGTGACCAGCACGATATGAGGCCTGTCCTTTCTTTTCCCCTCAGCTCCTGAATGCCCAAACGTTAGCCAACATGACCGCTGCTCCAGGAGCAGGTTACTTTGACGACGAGGGCGCGAGATACAAACGCCAGAGAATCTCCTCTCCCTCACCAGCACATACCGTTGTATCAGACCCCTTCGATGCGGTCACTACTAGCACAACAGCGGAACTGCCGCTACGACCACCTACCATCGATGAATATCCTATCCACACACAACAGCAATGTCGCATCTTCCAACTCCCCTTCGAACTTCGCGAGATGATATATGGCATGGCCTGCGTCAACGATGGCGTATCAGCAGTCATGCGCAAGAGTACAAGTCGTCATGCAAGTCAAGATTCAGCCAAGGAGCCCGCCTTCCTGCGAAGCTGCAGGCTAGCGCGCTATGAAGGCCAACCCATCTTCTACCAGAAGAACGACTTTGTTGTCAGACGCCGCGACTCGCTCAACTTCCACCCTCGCCCAATTGTCGATGCACCAACCGCATACCCGTACAGCTCTTTCAACACCGGAGTGCCCAGATGGCTGGACAACATGAGTAGCGAGAAGATTGCAAAGATCAAGACAGTGGTACTTGTGCAGATTGCACGCGGAGTGTACAAAGACGCATACAACGAATGGCATCGTGACGCGAGTGCTTGCTTCCGTCTGCGGTACTCTGCGAAACGCGACAGTGGCTACGAGATCGAATACCTCCGTGTCGACACGAGTGGACGGTCTGACAAGTATGCCGAAAGACTTCGCGAGGCGCTCGAGATGAGAATGAACAAATTGGTGAAGGATATGGGTACCAAGCAGTGGAACAGACAGTCAATTTGGGACATGGCGTATCTTTTGTGAGAAGTTCTTGAGCGATCCTTGGGTTTATGAATGGTGGCATGGCGTTGGACCTTGGGCATGACAGGCGTTGGATGGATTGTTGGGCATGGTACGCGGGTGTTGGGTTGGGACAGGAGGCATGGAATGGCGGGGCGTCAAGGCTGGGTATTCTAAGCAGATTAGCAACATACTCAACATATGCCAATATATGGATTCAAAATCATATTTGCAAGGACATGGCATGTGTTCGTGGTTGGACGAAGGGCAAAGAGATCAGGAAGGTGACAGCTTTGCAGAAGGCACACCTCAGCCGGGAAGCACAACCGAGAGGCCCGTGCGTCGAGCGTCATTGGCGCCGCTCCGCCATTCGTGCCGTCGTCCTTCAATCGTGACAAACTTTCAACTTGACCATAGTGGAGCGCATCGCAAGAGGTGAAAGTGCTGTCGAAATTCATACATCGCCGAGCCCAAAGAAAGACGCAGGGCAGATTGGTACCACCCCTAAACGACCAACGAACAGAACTCTACTGAACGCATCATGAGTCTCGCCCAGCTCCAGTCCGAACGCGCCGACTATGAGCGCAATGTGAGTCGTCGTGCTAGTGTCCGATGGACTGTACTGACTGACATTTGTAGNCTCGTCGAAGTCGAGCAAATGCTCGCCGAGGTACCCGACCTGGACGATGCCCTCGCCATGAAAGCAGAGATCGTTGCCCTGCTCCAAGACGTCGACAGCAGAATTGCCGCACTTAAGCCAGAACCGTCCGCCAGCGAGCCAGAAGTCGCCTCGTCCAGTGAGAAGTGGAGCAAGGAAAACCACCCAGCATACCGAAAGCAAGCGCCAGCTGCAGCTCCTGCAGTCGAAGAGAAGAAAGCCCCCGTTTCGTTCAAAGTCAACGACACTGTGCTGGCAAAATATGCAGGCGACAAGCAGTTCTACGAAGCCCGCATCATCTCCGTCACCGGCTCTTCAGCCGCTCCCATCTACACCGTCAACTTCAAGGGCTACACGGGCACCGAGACATTGCGTCAAGAACACCTGCGCCCTCTTCCGACAGCTTCATCTTCGACTTCTCAGAAGCGCAAGGCTGATGGCTCTCCTGCAGTCTCCGTTCCGTCTACACCTACAGTCAGCACTCCGATTCCCGGCGTCATCTCGGCCGAGGCCAACATCAATCCTGCCCTAGCAAGCGCCGCAAAGAGGGATCTGATCAAGCCGCTCGATGGTGACAGAAAGCCTCCGAAGAAGGTAAAGACCTCCAAGGCACTCGAGAGCAGTAAGAGCAACTGGAAGTCGTGGCAGTCAAAGGCTTCTACTGGTAAAGCTGCCAAGGTTGTCCAGAAGGAGAGCATGTTCCGCACAGGTGAAGCTCCTTCTGCCAGAGGTACGTTTATTCCACATATCACCATCTGATAGCTTGCTAATGTCTTATGCNNAGTGGGCTTCACTGGCTCTGGCCAGACCATGCGTAAGGATGTCGAGCGCACCCGTCATAATTACACTCTTGACTAGAGCATGCATCATCTCTCGGTCTGCCTGTAAAAGACCCATCATATTCTCTTTTGCGCTCCTTGGCCACTTCTTCAGAGGTGGTACCGTACTCACCCGCCAGTCCAGAGGCGAGTCATAATTCTTTTCTTGTTCAATATTGTCTATTGTCATGGCGTTCTTTTCGGTCCGGTCTGGGGGCGCAAGAATCATCGAGCTTTTAGAGCATGAGTAGATACCAAATCTATATCCATGAGGAGGGAGGTCGTGTGGTACTTGGACATTTCACGTGGTCCATGGTCAATATTGCTATGAACCATACCCTACATTTACCCACGTGCGTGATGCTTCCGGCTTTTGAGTATTGGCCTTCTTGATCGTGTGTTTTGCCCTGCCGATATGAATCCCGAGATTGACTGCGGGTCTGAGCCTTTCATGAGCAGTGGTTAAATCTCGTAAAGATGTGGTATACAGGCACGTGGGGCATGTGATTGGGCCGCGGCAACTTCGTCGACCTCCACATCGCCAGCCCTCCTCCTCTAACTCGACCTCACGAGAGCTTTTCGTGAACATTAACGACTTGAGACGGCAGAAAGTGGGCACGCCGTGTCTTCCGCACCATGTCATTCGCTATCATGATTGAAGTGCTCAAAGCCATCTTCTTCTTTCCCCTATCGCCAGATCAATGGCAAAGTATTTCTATCTCAGCCTGCCCCGACAGATACACAGGTAGGTTTCGATCTGCATTCTTGTTGTAATCCATAGTCAAGATGGTGTACACGTCTGTTTCTCTGGCTTCTGTTGCCATCTCTTTACTTGCACTGAGCGATGCCAAAGCCATCAGCACCACCCCCAGCTCCTCATATTCGATTGCTTCATCGACAGACTCGTCGGTACAACCTACCTCGACTCACCCTACCTGTCCTGAAGCCAACAACAACATTTTCATCGCCAAGAGCGGTGCCACCTTTGTCGTCGAATGTGGAATTGACTATGCGGGCGGTGACTTGAAGTCTGTCAACATTGCCAGTAACAGAATCGGCGACTGCATCGATGCATGCGATGCTACTGAGGGGTGTATCGATATCAGCATGTCTGGTACTGCCTGTTACATGAAGTCGAAGCTCAACAAGCCCCTCGCCAACAAGGGTATCAGAGGTGCACGCAAGATTAAGGATGCACCTCTGAGTTCGTCTACCAGTTCTTCGTCCAGCACTTCGCACAGTACATCTTTCAGCACTTCGCACAGCGTCAGCCATAGTGTGACCCAGGCTCCCACCTTTTCGGAGCCTACTGCCTCTACGGCGCCGGCAACTACTTCTCTTCCAACCGTCAACAAGGGCACCGAATACATCAACTACACCAACGTTGCCGGCTACTTCCTCCAGGATCTCGATAGCACCGTTCCCAGCACATTTGACTACGTAAGTTTTCCCCGAAACGGTTTCTTTTATTCTCATTGCTGACAACAATCANNGACTGCCACCAACTTTGGTCTCATCAACCAGACTTACTCGACCGACACAAGCTCCAATTCAGGACTCACCCAATGGCAGCGCTTCAACTCCCTCCTGAAGAACCTGAACAACGATGCTCCCAAGAACGTCGCTTACAAACTACTCTTCATAGGCCGCCACGGCGAGGGCTACCACAACGCCGCACAGACTTACTACGGCACACCCGCCTGGAACTGCTACTGGAGCCAGCAAACCGGCAACAGCACCAACAGCTGGCAAGACGCTGATCTGACTCCCAATGGTATTGCTCAAGCACTCAAGGCAAACACCTTCTGGGCCCACGAGATTTCTGCTCAAAAGATCCAGACGCCAGAGAGTTTCTATGTATCTCCTCTCACCCGCTGCTTGAAGACTGCAAACTACACTTTCAGCGGTTTGGGACTGCAGAACTTTGTGCCCGAAGTCAAGGAATTGATTCGTGAGGGAATCAGCACGCATACCTGTGATCACCGCAGCAACGAAACTTATATCAAGTCTCTCTTCCCCACCTGGAAAATCGAATCCACATTTACCGAAACCGATGAACTCTGGAATGGCATCACCGAAGAATCTTCTTCAGCCCAAGACTACAGGTCCAAGATTGCGCTTGACGACATCTTCTCTGCTGATGACGCTTCAGTGATTTCGATTACCACGCATAGTGGAGAGACGAGCAGTTTGCTCAGAGTGCTGGGACACCGATCTTTTAGTCTGGTTACTGGCGCTGTCATTCCGGTGTTTGTCAAGGCTGAGACGGTCAAGGTTGCATCTGGTGCAACTACCACTACTGTTCCTTGGGACGCCGGTGCTTGGTGTACTAATGGCCCTCCTCTGGCTAGCAATACTGCTTGTGTGTGCAGTGATGGTGTTGCTCCTGTCGCTACTACTGTTTCTGCCATCTGAGGGACTGGGTTTAGAAAGCCGTTTGTACTGTTTCTTGTTTTGTAGAAAGAAAAAAAGTTGTTCTTTTGGAGATGTAGCGGTATTGAATTCCATGATTTTCTCCTTCCGTTTTTAAAGACCTCAGTATAATGCAAACACAGTGATGGCTTTTCTTTGGCCTTCGAGTCTTTTTGTAGACGGATTCGCGGCAGTCAGGGGCTGGTGTGTATTGAGCTCTCCCGTGCAGAGCATGTGCGATATATGACTTTGAAACTTCACAGTAGCTTCCCTGATCAGGAGTGTGGTCAGTGAAATACATTAGAATAACCTTGTCTCCGTGGCCACCACTCTCTTACGGAAAACACTCTGCGTTTCTGTAGCTGCAACCTGACAGCTTCTTGCAAGGGAGATGGTAATAGATAATTGACAATACGCTCAAAGCTGCTTGTATGCAAAGGCTGAAAATTACTTTTTGATTCATCATTATACATCAATACTGCTCCAGAAAGAGTTTCGTGGGGCCCCAAGGCCACATAACGACATCCTATCTTTAACGCACAGTGACATTCGGGGTCCAACAAGGTGACGTGAGATCCTCCCAAGCCTCTCTTTTAGGCCTCGGCGACTTCGTCCTCGACCTTGGCCTTCTTGCTTGAGGCTTCCGAGGTCTCGTCTTCCAGCTTTCTTTTGCTTGCCGGACCTGCAGCAACAGGGGTAGCGGCAGGCTTCTTCTTCTTGATCAAACCACTGAGGTCGTTGGCGTTTGCTGTTGCTTCAGCAATGCGCTGTTTCTGGTCGGCAGGGGTTTCACCCAGCATGCCACCCAAGATGCCACGGAGGGGGTTCTCTGCGGCAGCTACAGGTGTCTTGAGATCGATGAGGCGTTGCTCCATCTCGGACATCATCTCCTTGACGTCCTTGATTTCCTTCTTCTTTGCATCTTGCTTGTCGGCTGAATGGGAAGCGAGAGTGGACTCTTCCTTCTCGACTCGTAGGCGGCAGGACTCGATGGCAGACTCCATGTGTGTGACAGCTTCCTTGCGCAGGTCCTCGTCGACGGTCTCCTCCTTTTGAGCACCTTGTTCGACTGCCTCTGCGTTTGTTGTGGTGACAGAGGCAAACTCCATGGCGAGTGCCAGCTTGAAGTGTGCTTCTGCGAGAAGGCTAGACTCGAGGGGGTATAGCTTCTGCTTCAACTCGAGTGCTGAGCGACCTTCGGCGACGGCTTCGGGGAAGTTTTCGTTCTCCATGGAGAGTTCGGCTTGGAGATCGTGGGTGTCGGCGAGGCGGTCCATGACTTGTCGTGCTTCAGGATGCTCGACCAGTGTGGCCTTTCCCTTGCCCTTACCGTCGAGATGATGAGGTATCGTGTCGAGCTTGCGGGTGAGAAGGACGCGAGCGATGTCGAGAATCTCATATGCGATAGCAAAATCGTCATCTTCTTCCTCTTCCTCGGCGTCCTCTTCGGCATCGTCGCCTTCGTCTTCGCTGTCTGTCCAGTTCTCGTCGCCGGTGATATGGAAGAAGGGTTTGTTTGCTGATTCATCCTCCTTCTTTGCGGCGCTGGCATCCTTCTCATCGACGACAGCCTCGACAAGCTCCTCAGCCATCTTCTGATCGCCGTCCTTGAGCGCATCGGTGTTTGCGGCGGTCGACTTTGTCTTGCGCTTCTTCTTCTGAGGCTCTCCGCTGCCAGCGACCTTGTTTCCCAGCACATCGCTCTTGCTGACAGCCAGGTGGTACAGACAGCGGCCGTATTGGTAGAGCAGATCGGCGTTGTCGAGCGACATTTCACCATTCAGCAGCTCCTGTAGCTCCGAGGCCTGCGAGTAGAATTCTGAAGCGGCGGCATAATTCTTGAGTGAGTATTCCTTGGTGGCAGCAGCTTGTAGTCTGGCCAGACTTGCTTGTGCTTCTTCTCTGTTGTCGATCTGAGGTGTCTGTTCTTCGGCGACAGAGTCGAGTGGTTGCTGTTGTTCGGGCACCGACATGATGATGTGTGATATGGTAGTGTTGATGAGGAGTTTCAGGCGAGAGACGAGTCGTCAGTGGATGAGAGATTCCAAGACAATGTTTGATGGGTTGCTCGGGCAATCACATGAAGATGGAGGTGGAAGCACGCGCGCCTTCCGCGTCGACGCGACAAGCACTTTGGGGAAGTCGCGTCCACCACAAAGCAGTCGACAAGACACAAGACAAGTCACTGTCAAAATGGCAACCACGTTCCGCCTGCAAGAGAATGCCGTTCCTTCGTCAAGTCCGGCCTTTGGAACACCCGTCCATCCCATCAGCCCACGAGATAAACGACCTCCAATCCCCCCGCCAGCATTCAAGCCTTCGATCCCTACTATTCTACCAATCCTCCTTCCACCCGCCAGTCTGAGACCTCTGGCCTTCCGAACTTTTACNAAAAAGCACAATCTTACCCTCAGCTCTCCTGCTCTACAATCATTGGCCACCTTTATCGGCAAACATTGTGGCTCTGGATGGCGTGAACGAGGCACAGCAGAGGGCGTCCTCGAAGAAGTCGCAAAGGCATGGAAGAAGAGTGGCGGTAGCTTGATTGTCAACGATGGCTCCTTGCTCAAAAACATCTTGAAAAGCATCGAGGGCTTAATGACGGGCGGCAAGGTCGCCCAAACAAAGTCGACCCTGAGCAGACAGACTAGTTTTGCCTTTGCCGGAGAGAGTCAAGACCTGTCGAGGCGACCCAGTCTCGCCGACACTTCTTTCCAATCTCAAGACATTGTAGACGACGATGATGCAGACATTCAAGACCCTCGGGCATGGATCAAAGTTGTCAATGCCAATGACCAGCCTAGGTTGAGCTACAATGTCCATAAGAAGCACTTCGAAAAGATCACCACAAAGTCCACCCTCCTTCCTTCACCAGCTCACAGGACACAACTCTTCCGCGATCGCTTCAACCTCATTCATCAGCGTCTGATGCGCAATGAAGCTTTCCAAGCTCCCGCAGTTGCCAACGCTCGCTCTCTCAAACGTCAGGATTCCACTTCTGTGCAACAGTTCTACAAGATCACCCCTATTGCAAACCTCCTGGGTAGAAATGGCAGCAATCACGTTCTACTCGGCATGCTGGTCATCACCCCTACTGGCACTCTGGCATTGAACGATCTGACTGGAAGCATCACTCTGGACTTGCAGCATGCTAAACCCCTACAAGGCCTCGACTCGTCATGGTTCTGTCCTGGCATGGTTGTCCTGATCGAAGGTGTATACGAAGAAGAGTATTCCGGAGCTGGTGCCAGTGGTCTGGGTGCTGCCACCGGTGTTGGTGGCACTATTGGAGGCAAGTTCATCGGTTTCAGCATCGGTGGCCCTCCTTCCGAAAAACGTAGCGCAACACTGGGCGTCGCCGACTCGTCCAAACAACCAGATGTCGGCCTCGGCGGTGGCTTCGGATGGACTGACTTTCTTGGCTTGGGCAGTGAGAAAGTCATGGGAGCAAAGATGCGCAAACTCGAGAAACGCCTTCTCGCACCCACAGAAGATGCTCAGCAACGCAAGATGGTCATGCTAGGTGAGGTCAATCTCGACGATCCGTCATCACTAGAGGCCCTCCGCGCTGTTCTACGCCAATATGCTGCCGAGGATGAACTCACTCCTTTGTGTTTCATCCTCTTGGGCAATTTCGTCAGTCATCCTGTCATGGCCGGAGGAGGCAGTGGTGGCAGCATCGAGTACAAAGAGTATTTCAATGACCTCGCCACCGTACTCTCAGACTTCCCTGCCCTCTTGCGTACTTCAACATGGGTCTTCGTGCCCGGCGACAACGATCCTTGGGCATCAGCCTTTAGTGCCGGAGCCAGCAATCCCGTTCCACGCCCACCCATTCCTGGCCTCTTTACAAGCCGTGTGAAGCGTGCATTTGCTGCCGCCAAATCGGAAGGACCCTTACCAAAACCAGACGATAACAACGTACCCGCCGAACCAATCTGGACGTCCAACCCAGCTCGTGTGTCGGTCTTCGGCCCAGCTCACGAAATCACAATATTCCGGGACGACATTTCCAGCCGTCTGCGCCGTAATGCGATAAACTTTGGCAAAGCTACTAGAGCTGAAGATGAAGACGACGATATGCCTGACTCTGTGCCAGCAGAGATTCCTACACCTACACAGATTGCCCGCAAACTCGTCCTCTCCTTGCTCCCGCAATCACATCTCTCACCCTTCCCACTGTCCATGCGTCCTGTGCTATGGGATCAAGGCAGTGCGATGAGTCTGTACCCTCTCCCGCATACTTTGGTCTTGGCTGATGCTGAGGCGCCGGCGTTTGCGGTCACGTTCGAGGGATGTCATGTACTAAATCCTGGACGCTTGTGCAGAGATGAGGGAAGAGGCAGACGAGTTGCTTGGATAGAGTATGATTGTTGGGCCAAGAGGGGTGAAGTGAAGGAGATTTGGTCATCGTAGATCAATGAGAGGTTATCAAGAGGTTTGTTGCATAGCGATGGAGTTCTGTTGTTGTCAAGGGAAAATTTAAGTATGTAGAAGAGAGAATGCAGTAAGATTGATCAAGTCATATCCCATCATTTTGCAGAATTGTCCTATCATTCGATGTGCTTGTGCACGACTGATGACTAGGATTACACAACAGGCCATAGATCCGACTTGTTTCTCGGTCGAGTATAGACATTGGCTCTGACAGTCTTTGACATGCTCAGGAAGTATATGCCATTGAGAGTTATCCGACATCCACGAAAAACATAGAAGCCATTGCAGATACACTGCAGCACAGAAATCGACGCAAGCAATGTCATGTGTTTCCTGGATGCATACTGCAAAAAAAAAACAGACTCAATACTGTGACCATACAAAGCTCTCTTATCTTGCCCGTATCACCCGTCAGCCACACGATTTCTCTATCATGAGACTAATGGTTCTGCAAGACTTTCTGTAAAAGCTGCTAAGTTGTCCATGCGTATCGTGTATTTTTACAGCTACACGCGTAGTCATGACATACTGCCTAACAGCCGTGACATCAACTGAACAGAATCCTCGATTTAAGCAAGTATATACCTGCCACCTGCCTTGTACCGATATTGACGATAATATGACCATGATCATCTTATATGTATTCTCTTCATGGGTTGCACAAATATACATGTTATCAGGGTAACCCTGTGCTCAATCACCCTACACGATACTCAGAAAGATAGCCGAATACGACAACGAGGGCGCCAACAAAGCCACAATACTCGTTATCGTCTAGAGATACCGCACAAGTAACAAGAGACATCCGACAGTCGTGCTGACCTACGAACCTTCCAATCTCTCGTCGCCAAAGACAACCCAAGATGGCTTGTCGTGAGAGGAGCCGAACACAAACGTTTGGGATTCATCAAACGGTCCTTTTCTCGAATCCTTCGTCGCTGACAACTGAACTTGGCTCTTGTGAGTCCCAATCTTGGATCTATGACGGAAAGGGAATCATGCGATGTGGTCATGTACTTCATCGGCAATTTCATCGAATCTCCAATCCTTCAATGGACGAGGCCCGAAGAGAAGACTTTGCTGTTTTTGTTGAACCTGCCATGAGGGACTCGTGATAAAACACTGGGTAGCGACAGAAATAGAGCTCCGAATTTGGGTAACAGGATCAATGACGTTGCTGTATTGTTCTCATCAAGCATCAGCGGGACATCGACGACCATTCCGTCAATTCTGGCCGACTGCTTTGTTTGTTCAGTTATCTGCTTTGCGCGGAGCGGACTCCCTCTCGACGCAAAGCGGCAGGCTCGACTCGCGAAGTAAATTGGGTCGAGAGGTATGAACTGCTGTTGAGCAGAAGTCACTCTGCAGTAGTGTTGTTGTGCGCGCGCCGCCTTTATTCATGTGAGTGGAGAACGCGGATGTGATATACCAAATCGATGATCTCGAGTAGAATCACACGATTGTTGTTGTCCTAGAGATGGCTGCGGTGGAAATTCATGGAGTGTGGTCCGAAGCCTCAATCCAGAAAAAAGCGGCTGTGACAATCGGTTTATGACGAGGTATCACGGAGGAAGAAACGAGCAGACAGGAAAGTGGAGAGGTCAAAGGAATAAGGCAAATAAAAACTCACTTAAAAATCGCCGATGATGTTGCATTGTCGATGCGGGCTTAGCTCCGAGCGAGAACGACAACGACGACGACATCGAAGATGGCGCAGCCATACCATAACATTGATTCAAGCTCGGTAGCCAACGGGCGTCAGCGACATCCAGGACGCTCGACCAATGGCTGCGCGAGTGCAAAACAGCCCAAATCCATCGGGGGAAGCGACCTGGTATGGTAAAGGGGATCGTAGAGGACATCGAAACCCCATCGACGACGACCATCGGACTGGTGGTGATGAGTCCGCACTTCCTCAAGCCACAATAACACACTTAGAACGGGTTTTCGGAGGCAGGCCTGTCAAAAACGATCCGTGGACGCCGACGCTGTTTGAACCGCGTGAGGCTACTCTTAGGTTGCGGCATCCGAACAGCAATCGACCGATCCAAGAAAACTAGACCGACCGTCTATGGTTGGGGTTTGTTTGTGCGGCCATTCTGTGCTGTTTGCGGGAAAGCTAGATGACTTGAGGATCGCAAATACATGGCGCATACACACTGAAATATCCTTATTGTCTTCGTTAGCGAGAGGGCCAAGAACTCAAAGAGGTAGATGTTTGGTGGGAGAAGTTTGCAGAACTCGCCAGACTCCAGATCAGCAGAGATGGTCGAAACGCCAAGGGGGAACCTGGCCGAATACGTGGTTAAATCAACACCATTACAATCAGTGAAGCTTGCCAAAGAGCTCTCGAATACCCTATCAATCGAAAACTACTTGCCTGGGAATCGCTCGATAGATCGAATCGATCGCCCATATTGAAGAGCTCTAGGTCCAGCCGGTTTCCGCATTGCGATCTGACAGCTTTCCTCGTGCACCCTAGCGCTGACATGTAAGCAGGAGTAAGTATTGTATCAGGACATCGTCTACAACACGCATGAAGGATCATGGTGAGTGATAAAACCGTGAAAGGTTCTCCAGCAATCTGAATGCGGCAGTGCGGCTGGTGGGGTTTGAAGATCGACCAACCACAGCTAGCCTTGGAGCGCAATCCGAGATCAGCAAGGCAGTCGATGGTCGTCCAAGCATGTTCTGTCCATCGCAAGAATCAACACTCGACACTTGATATTCATGTTTGGATGTTCGTAGAGCGAAAGTATGTATCGTTGTGAGTTGCGCACACTGAAGGGATACATACTGAGAATCACCAAGTGCAAAGCGGCTGGACAGCCAAAACCGAACAGCCCATAATAGAGCATGGAATCATGCGTGGCTTCGAAGATCATGCATCGAAGAGCTATTCTGCAAGGGGTGGAAACGACGGAAAGCTCCAATCAGACAGCTGATTGTTTCCTCAAAAAGTAAGCGCAAATAGGTTTATACACGGAAGATCTATTGATGCTGGGATAAGCGAGTGAGATTATGGCAGAAGAGCAGCAAGCAGGTACCGTCAATCAAGATTCGATAAAGCCATGAGACGTGCGGATGCAAAGCGCCCGGCATGATGAACGACGGGGGACAGGCAGTCGGAGATCTAAGCACGTACGAACGAGTTCATCGCCGATGTGGCTTGCTTGGTCGAGCAACAAGCAAAGACAGAAGGCGAAGTGTCACTCCACAAACAAGTCAAGAAGGACAGTCTCGCAACTGCGTTTTGCGCATCTGTCCTTGACAGATTTCTCAGCACAGAGCTTGATTAGAGATGGAGCGTCGGTTTGAGTAGGGCCTGGACGCTGGCAAAAAGATGAACGAGAACGATGCAGGAGACAAAAGCCCTGTCTCGTGTGCGGTCCAGGCCAACGGGCGTGTGTGCGCGTTTGAGGGTCTCGGTGACATAATTCACGGCGTGACGACCGAAGCTCCAATCGAGACAGGCCGATCCTCAGAGCGCCAGAAGAAGACATGAGGATCGAAGCAGCAAGGCCGCACAGAGCACGTCTGTTTGGCGCGATCTGGTTGCAACAAGAGTGATGGCTGCAAAATTGTGTCTCGTTTGCCTGCAGAGTCAATCATGGACAGTTGGGCCCTCTGATCCCCCACGACGCGAATCGGCCCTCGATACGTCTCGCGACCTGCGATGCCCAAGGCCGTCTGCTTTTTCGGAATCTGTGATTGCCCGCTGCCATCTTGCTTGATCACAGGTCCGTGTTTCGATGTCCTGATCGACCCTTGACACTCTTGCCCCATACGCCAGTCCCTGATATTCCCTACCTGGTGCACCTGTCTACTCTCTCCCACTCCAACACATCTACAAACACCTAGACGCCTATTTCGCCCACCGCACTAACCCGCTCCGTCAGCGTCTATACCGCTACCCGACCACTACACATAACCACATCGACACGCTCCAACCACATTCGCCTTCATGGCTTCTGAAGCCTACTTGCGCCCCCCTCAGCCCCGGAGGCCACCAGCTCAGCGCTCCGTCTCGCTCAAACACCACAACGGCCCCTCGCCGTCGTCCAAGAACTTCACAAGCACACAGACCGAAGCCTCCAGCGGCTCTCCTTCGAGCAACAAGCCCAATGTCAGCAAGGCCGATTCCGGCGAGAGCAGCAACGCCGACAAGTGGTTCGACGGCGCCAACAACAATGCCGATGGCAAGAACACCACACTCATCGACAGTGAGTGCCGCGCATCGCCCNNTCCTACTTGTAGCTTGCTGTTGGCTAACCCCTCTGCCAGACGACCCCCGTTTTTCCTTCAGCACTCCTCTTCGGAGGAGACTCCGAACTACGGGGCACCGGGCCCAACCATCGATCAGCGAATTCCAATGCATGCTCTGATGCACAAGGACGATACCGAGGACAGTGGTAGCTCAGACTTCCGCGCTGTCATTGACGACCTCACTGTACAGAACAAGAGGCTCAAGAAACGTCTGAAGAAGTATGAAAAGTTACACGACGCCCACCTGAAGGACGAGAAACTCTTCGAGGTCCGTGTCCACGGTCTCTCGTCAACCAAGAGGCGGGAACTGGAAGACATCCTGCGTAACTTTGCTGTCGGCGCTGCTGGTCAGACAAATGCTGCCTCTACTTCTCAAACCAGCAACCTCTACGACCGTGTCATCCCTACCCTCAAGACCCACAAGACAGCCTCTTCGTCCTCCAACTTCGCCGACTCTGCTTATGCTTCCAACTCAGCATCTGCTTCTGCTTCGGCCACTTCCAACTCCAACAGCGGTCAACAAACTAGACACCCTTACCGTCGTTCCAGCAAGGCCCGCACCAGCAACATCCAGACCTATCTCCACGATATCCCTGAAGGTCTATTGCCACAACATCCTGCAGCCATGACCGAATACTCGAGGAAGAAACTCGTCGTCCGTCGTCTGGAGCAGATTTTTGCTGGAACTGGCGCTGGCATGGGCGACCACCACCATCCTATGCAGCAGCAAGAGGTCTCGCAAATGGCTGCGAAGGCCGATAGAAGTGCTCTGGAAGCCACCGGTCAGACTGCTAAGACTGAGGGCACTAGAGAAGCCACCATCATGAAGGATGATGAGGACCGAAGCACCGAAGAAACAAGCGGACCCGAGATCGTCCAAGGAACCGACCCTGACCAGAAGATTGCCGANAAAGATTTTGCCGGCCTCTCACCTCAACAGCGACCTACAAGACCTCTAGATCTTGACCCTCATCGCGCTCAGGACCCCCGTGACAACTTCCAGTACATTCGCCATCTTGGCTTCTCACCACCTGAGCCTTACACTATGCAAGCTCACGAAGAAGGTCATGGCTGGATTTACCTAAACTTTCTTTTTAACATGGCACAGCTCCATACTCTTAATGTCACCCCCGAATTCGCCAAGAAGGCTCTGCTTGACTTCAGCACAAAATTCGAGCTCTCAGAAGATGGTCGCAAGGTTCGCTGGAAGGGTGGCAGAACCATCACGAGATCGGCCAGCGATACTGATGGAAGCTCACCCTCGACCTACGGCCACTCTCTTAGTGGCACGAGCACTCAGAAACGATCCAAATCTTCTCACCACAATCCGGGTGCCAAGTCAGCAAAGCGTAGAATGCTAGAGAAGCAGGACAACAAGTTTGCGTACACACCTCTATTCTTCCACCGCAGCAGCGAAGATGACAGCGATCTCTCTTCCGAAGAAGATGAGACCGAGTCTCAGTTCTTGGCTCCTCCTCCGGGTGGCGACTCTTCCGCTATGACTAGTTCTGGCATTCGCACCGTCTCCCTAAGACAGAAGAAGAAGACCGATAATGGCCCTATCATCTTTTACAATAACGCCAAGTTTTGTACTGATCTCAGTGGTGAGCCAAAGACAGAGGCCGCTATGATGTACAACCCTATCCTCTACCACACTACAACCGAACACGCGCTGGGTATCCCAAGACCATCTGAAGCCATCTACCAAGGTATCATGGAGTCTCGTGGCCCTCTTGATGAGGCTAAGGACCTTCCTGAGGCCATGAGTCTGGACGACAATCCAATTCCCGAAGCTCTCGAGCTCAACTTTCCCGGAACGTCTCCCTTGTCTGATGCGAGCGGAGCGTCTGGCCCGGCAAGAAACCCGGTCGACTTAGAGGTCTCTGGCATTGGTGGTACATACCCCTCGGACAACTTCTCCATCAATGTGAAAACGGAGCGTAAGCGCAACTCTGTGTTCGTGGCGCTACCTTCTCAACCCAAACCGTACAACGCCCAGATTGCAGGGCTCTTCAAGGAGAGCAAGCAGCAGCCAACAGTATTCGGAGAAAATGTCGTCGGCACTTTCCACCAGGAACTGCCCCCTTCTGAGCTCCCTCCTGCTTCCTGCTTTATGGACATTGATGAATATGATGATGAATCGGATTTCGAAGATTGCCATTCAATGATCCCTGATCTGGACCGCGTTCATGACGTCCCAGCCACAGCACCACAAACCATTGATATGCCCTACATGAGCAGTGATGAGAGCGATGACGAAGATGAGGACGAAGGAAACAAGGACGACGATGCTGCTTCCGATGGTTCCCTCGATTTGCTTGCAACTGCTCGTGAGCTTGACCCTCAATCGATCCAGGCACGCGAGCGTGAGTACGACGCTCACATGGCCGAAAGACTGGCCGAGGAGATCCCTGCTGGTAGCTCTGCCGCTACAGCAGGAGGTGGTAGTGGCTTTGCCAGCCCAGCAGCCGGCATTAGCAGACAGGAGTATGAAGAGGCACGCGCACAGCACGCTATGCGACACGCCTCCACCATCACATCCGTGGCTTCGTTCAACAGAACAGACACGAATGGTTCGATGATCGTCAACGGCAAGTCGCCTTGATGAAGTATATGTCTCACGTGGACTATGTTTATATGGTTGCATTTGCATGGTGTACAGGAGTCTTGGTTTTGGGTTGAACTCGTTCAGGACATTTGGTTTGATAAGATACCCCTACATGTAGCATGGGATTTTTGAATCATAACATTCTTTGACATCTCACTTTTCGTTTATGCAGTGCTCTTCTCGATGTGACTCAGACCGAAGTGCTGGTATCAGCCAGAGCGTTCTAGCGTGCGGTTGTTGCGGTTGACACAATTTGGTTTTTGCCAAGCCGTTTGTAACCTAGGGCATGCCCTGCACAAAGGGAAGTCGTGTTCGACACTCAAGGTTCCTACCATAATTGGAGGCCTCACTCGTCGAGTCCTCGCCAGGTTTCAAGACTCTCTCAGCTCCCGGCCCTGGCTAAACTTGACTCGTGTTGTCGTTGCCTGAGATTGTTGGGTTTCACGTCGGGCTTTCGAGGGCATCGGAGCGCAGACCGCAAGGCTGTTAACCCGGTAAGCCCGCCACCAAAAATCATCATCCATGTTTCTCATCACTCGCCCGCAGAAGAACTGGACAGAAGGAAGATACGCGCAGCAATGGAGACTGGGACGCCGAACATGACCCCAATGCCAGCAGAAGTACCTGCCAAGGCCGAGGTGGACGACTTTCTGCGCCGCAAACGAAAAGCGCGCGAGCACAAGGCGTGTTATCCGTGTCGACAACGAAAAGTTCGCTGTGATCTTGCTAGGCCATGCCGCACCTGTGTCGAGCGCGAACACCCTGAGCTATGCGACTACCACCCCCTNAATAAGAAACAGAACAACTCTTCTTCATCTGCGGCATCTCTCGCGCTTCCTACTGCGGGTACCAGCAGTGGGGTTCCTGCATTAAGCGCCAATACCGTGACGCTTTCGCGATCGGATTTTGATCATCTCTGCCGAAAACTTGACAATGTCGAGTCTGCGCTGGAAGATTTGCGCAGGGAGATGAGAAGCTCGAACAATAGACCATCTCAACACGTTTCTGGACGTTCTTCACCATCAAGTACTACGCAGAAGGCGGATGGTGCACAGCCATGGATCAATAACCAATTTACCCGTCATACCACTGTTCATGGACTTCACGCTCGAAATGATCTGACTGGCCAAACCGTTCATCTTGGAGGGTCCTCAGTACCAGCGCTGGTCATGGCCTTGGGTCAAGGCGATCGCGAACAGCCCTCTGTCCAGGAAATTCTCGGTAGATCTATTCTTCCCATGTTCGGTCTGGACAACGAAACTGCGACATACCCATTCGTGGATCTTTGNGGGTTGGCTCACGGCTCTCTCGCACGCGCTCAAGAACTGGCTAAGACGATACCTACCGACAGTCAATGCTTATCATTCTTCCGGTATTACCAAAATTTGGGAAACATCATTTTCCCGGGTGTTGCAGACATTTCAACCTTCGAGATGGACTTGACGCGATTCTTGCAGAAGAGAAATGAACAGATGGGCGTGGCTGGATCTCTGCCTGCCGACAGTCCTCTTCCTGGAGTCACTGAGCAAGCTATTTACGACAAGAATCTCGAGTGGGTTGGACTCCTGTTTGCTGTTCTGGCGAGTGGTTGCCAATGTTCTGGTCTGCCAAGGAAAGAACGTGAATTGACTTCTCAAGTTTATAGTATGTGATCAAGTATGCGAACCGAGAATGTCGAGAGATACTAACGACAAGCAGTGTGTTGTAGTTTTGAGTGTCTGCGCTTCACCAACTTCCTATCCCATGTGACATTAGAGAGTATCCAGACGCTATTGATCCTAGGAAACGTATGTTGACCTTGCGTGCGCGCACGAAACCAGGAGCTGACATATCTCTAGGTGATTTCCAATAACATGAACGCTGGCACTTCGTGGTCTCTCATGGGGCTCACACTGAGACTGGCAATGAGTCTGGGTCTACACCGCAGCTGTCCGCCTGCTGCAGACATCGAGACCAAGGCAATCCGTTCCAAGGTTTGGTGGTCTATTGTATGGCAAGATAGTCTACTATCAATCACATACGACAGAGCTGCGACCACAGCATACATCGACCCGTCAAGTATGCCAGCACCAAACGCATACACCGAGATTCCGCCCTACCACCTAGCCATGTACAGACTCTGCAGAGTAGGTCTCGAGATTGTGCGCGACCGCACAAAGACCATGAGCTCGCGCGAGCTGTTTGCCAGGATCACAAATCACAGGAACGAGATTGACGACATCATGGCAGGCACAGCCGACTACTTACGTGACTCACGCACTTGCAAATCGGTAGAGGAGTCGCTTGAGCACTGGGCTCTTTACCTGCACGTATCGTACATAGTGTCTGAGCTGTGTCGACCCGCCATCAGTCCCAGCACAGCCAGCTACGAACTCTCCAAAGCTTTCAAGCAGACCTGCATTGACAGCTTGGTCAGCACGGTTGAGGCTTTCCTCGGACTCCAAAACATCACACCTTATGCGAGACAATCTTGGGCTGCTGTGCACCGCAGTCTGAGCTCTGCACTCCTCCTCGGCATCATGGGCGAGCATGCCCACAACGAACGCGCACGCCGTCTTCTGGGCAGATTCGTCGCACTCATGTCAGACATGCAGTCAGCACTGGACCCACAAGAACTCGCTGCACCCATGGAAAGAGCCATTACTGCACTCAAGAAGCTGAATATCCAGGAATCGAGACCATCGAGGTTTATCGAGGATATCGCCATGGCGCCTTCGGGTGGTAGTGTTGCGGACAGTAGCGAGAGTCCTGGTATGGCGGGTGTGGACCATTCGAGCGTGTTTCCTTCCAACACGAGTGCGTTGGTTGATGAGGAGTATTCGCCGTATAGCGTGCTCAACTCGATCTTGTGGGGTCAAGGGCCAACCCCTTAAGTGAAGCGTGAGATGAGTGGTGGCCGGGGTGACAAGAAGTATTGCTGAAGAGGACGAAGAACTGTATATACATACGAGACGCGTTGATGCCTAGGAGTTGTGAGGGATAGCTCTTACCGAAGACCATAAACATAATTTTTTATCGCAAGACCACTTCGCAAATAGGGGTTGGAGAAGACACAGATCACTAAGTCAAGAAGATGAAAATTCAAGGCACAGATGTGGTGATCGGAACAACGACTTTATTGCAACACACTAGATAACTAGCAGAGATGAACAAAGTCATCAACACCTGCCTTCGCGACACATTTACTTAGGGTCGTCGAAAACGTAGGTGAGGTGGCAGCGACCGCAGTACTGGCGGTTGTGCATAGCAGCCATGAAGATACCGGCACCGCNACTGTGAACAGAGTCAGTATATTGACGGTGGTGAATCTGGGGAAGAGGGAAAAAACTCACGGTGTCCGAGGGGCACTCGCGACGCAGGCGCTCAATCTTGCCGTCACCGTCGACCTTGTAGTACTTGAGGACGGCAAGCTTGTTCTTCTTGCGCTTGTGCTTGATCTTCTTGGGGGTGGTGTAGACCTTCTTCTTGCGCTTCTTACCACCACCACGGAGGCGGAGGACGAGGTGAAGAGTGCTCTCCTTCTGGATGTTGTAGTCGGAGAGGGTGCGGCCATCCTCGAGCTGCTTGCCAGCGAAGATCAGGCGCTGTTGGTCTGGGGGAATACCCTCCTTGTNCTGTGATCGAGTGTGGTCAGTTCTCTGTTGCGCAGGTTGGGTGGCGATGGGGGGACGCCCGGCGGACGGAGGAGAATGCGCACCCTGGATCTTGGACTTGACATTGTCGATGGTGTCGGACGACTCCACCTCGAGGGTGATAGTCTTGCCCGTGAGGGTCTTGACGAAAATCTGCATGATGGCGACCTAGACAGCGGGGTCGTTGTCGTCCTAAGTCGTGAGGAAAAGGAAGTCGCAAGAAATGTTCGCTTGGAATTTGACATGCGGTCGGTGCGCGCGCGGTCTTCGCTTACCTAATCTCCGCGCCGAGAGCCAATCATGCTGGGGCAATCATGTGACCGGCTTCCCTCGACCATCGCTCTTTCCATCTCTAGTACGAGTACCTGAACGTTGCTCTTGCTTCACTTCGACAATCGTACCAGACGTTCACACAGATATATCCCGACGAGACTTCGAGTGATATGTCACCTCTAGCAAGTTCTTGATGCCAAACCTCAGGTTGCTCTTGCCTCGACCGTCAGTATTTCGAGTGACCATTAGGTGTGCAATAATCATGTTGCTCAACGCAGCAAGACTCAAAAGCTTACTATGGTGGTTGAGTTCTTGGCTCTATGTGAACTGTTGACTAGTAGCATGCTCCATCTTCTCCACTTCTCACCACGAACAGCAGATCATCAAAGCTTACACCCAGTAACTTGCTCGAATCAGTTTGTCGCTTAATTCTGATCGGAACGCTCTTTGCACAGGAAAGCACGATGAGGCCAATCTCTTCGAATCGTACTTATGTCGGTCAAATCCGCACTTGATTGATTCCTCATCTCAAGACTTCTCCAACAATGGCTACCAAATTTTGCAACACCACTCCTTACGGCACGACTCCCGAGCTGTCACAAGTTTACCAAGACTCGGTACACCTTGTGGCTCTCAACTTCCTTTGTACCCAGCACCATACAGTTCCTGCTTGGAATAGGCCCAGATGCCACCCTCAAAACCTCGTTGCCGTCGAAGCCCACCTCACTAGATTCTACGAGCACGGTTATCACTTCAACGAGGCTCAAATTCTGCTGGCAATGATGCGACTATTTGGACAGGAAAGCGACAGCGATGTTATTCTTGACTGGCTATATTGCGAGTCTCTGCTTCGTGTCCAGGAAGACGCACGTCATATCTCATCGACAACCACAGAAGTTGCACTGCTTTGTGAAAAGATCACCAGACTCGCTCAAGAGCTCGAGAAGACCGTCCTTCCTCCTGGTCCCATTCGCTGTACGACCGGATCTACCGCGGGACTTCAAGTTGCATCAAACACTTCGCTCGTGGACGATGATCTGAAGAAAGTGACCAATCGTGTACAAGAGTTGGAACGTGTAGTCAAGGAGAATCGCGACGGTATGAAATGTTATCAGACAGCCGTCCAGAGAGAAGAGCACGCAGCTCGCGTTGATGCGCTGGAGTACAAAGTCATGCGAATGATGCTGTGTGATGCTTCGACCTCCTCAATTGACACGATTGCCCCTACACGACAACAACACAAGCAGGAGCCTTCGAGCAGTCCGGTTCGGACCTCGGAGGCGTCCACTGCGGGATGCTCACGCCTACATCCGTAAGGTGCAGTATGAACAATGATGAGTATCAAAACTGATACAGATATACTANNGACTGCCAGGAGTATATCTCCTCCCTCCATTGTCGGGCGACCAAAGTCAATGATATCCTTGAATCTCAAAGGCCCTGTGCCATTCAATGGAGTAATAGTAAACACGGGTCGTAATGTACCTTTCGGGCGCGTGAGACAGACTCTTCAAAAACTAGCTCCGCGTCACGCGGAACTGTGGCATGGAAACACTGAAATCATGGACGAGGATACGCCAAACAGTGTGAGTCGACAAAATCCCATTCCTTTATCACACTAGTTACTCCAGGGCTAATTTGAGAATTTTCCANNGCTGGGCCTCGAAGATGATTCGATGATCAATGTCGTGGAGAACCTCCATCGAAAGGATTGGATATATGTTTCTCGATGGAGCTCTGACGATTTTTTGTTACTTGAATAAATCACCTGTGTCTCAGATCACGGTGTGCCTATACAGCAGTATTGGAAGCAAGTCAAAATAGTGTACGACCTGAGCATATTCCATTATCCGAGACCCGGCTCGCTATGGAGTCTTGTTAGATATGACGACAACCAGTTCTCGATATCTGAGCATGAGAAACGGGTAAGTTTCAGCAAGCAGACGTCGTAAGACATGGGCGCGATGCGAACACAAAGCCATGATCCCATCTGTCTCGAATATGCTCGAAGTGCACTGTGGTTTGACCCCCATCAAAACTCAATGCATTGACAGAAAGGTTCGTCTCCGCAGACTACTTGAGCCCAGACATAACCCTCACCTGGTTCAGTAATAGTTCATCAAGAGACTACGCACGACTATCACAACGCGAGGTCCGAACTCACCATGCCAGAATCGTACTGGAATGAAGACCTACAGTTGATGATGGCAGAGGCCATCGTAGATCTCATCGATGATACCGAGCAACAAACACCGATCTGGAAACTGGTACGCAGTGTTGCTGTAACATGTCAAAGCCTGCCGGAGTTCCTTCAGCTGTTCGATCAACTTGGACATTCCTTAGATGAGTCCAAGGCTGTTCAGGCACTGCTTGTCAACCAAGTTGATGTTGAGCACACCAACAAAGTCATCATGCCATGGTTGGTATTCGACTATCTGCCTCGACTGCAGGAATATTGTGTTCAGTCCCAGCCTCTAGAACCCAGGATCGATCTGCTCTCAAGCAGGCTCTCCGCGTTCATTGATGACCTAGTATGAGCTCTGCCTGAAAGCTATGGAATGCCCTTTGCTAGCACGAACCAAGCACGGCTCAACCGCTTGAGCGCCGTTTTGCAACAGTACAAAAACGAGTCGGTGTCTGACAGCGATATGAGTTGGTCACAGTCCACCAGCAAAGGCCAAGGTTCTTCGGAATGTCTGAACGTGGACGGTCGCTACGAGGTGCTCGCGAAGCGAATTCAAGCTCTGGAAGAGGGGGGTCAGAGAGAGTCCAGACAGCATGCAGCCCACCACAGCGGTAGAGGGATCACATACTGCACGCCAGCAAGACATGAGAAGTGTAATGCAAGAGCTGCGATCCTCGTTTGCAGCCTTGTCCGAGGCTTCGATACTTTCGACGCGTACCCTCACGCCCGCTCCTGTAAATGCTCCAAATAGACTGTCATATTTAGAGGACTCACCACTAGCAGACTGTGACAGATGACTCGATCGACGAAAGAAGCAATGTAGGACATCAAGAGGAATTCACGGCCGCGCCTTTGGAACTACACGTCCTGATATACACTAGAAGCGAAGTCTTCACCAGTCCTGACAGCATCAAATACTGCCGCTCTCATCCTTACAGCTTCGTAACCGTCAGAGTGCACTCATACACTGGGTTCAAGTGCCTCAAAGACAAGCTACGCGCGAAATATGGCGAGTTTGAGCTGCGACAGAGAATTCGTCCCCACGAACTCATGTTCGACAGTGACACGCCTGCTTCTGTAGGTGGAACATATCGAGTGCCTACCACCTCATGACTGACGTTGTATACCTCACGCAGTCTCACGCAGTTCAAGCTGGAGCAAGATGCCGAGTTGGTGTATGCCAATTTCAATGGTGGAAACAAGACTATCGATCTGACCATATAAGATCTAGAGCATCGACGGAGGTCTAGAGGCTCACCGCTCGAGCAAAGTAATGTAGTAATTGATAAGATACCAGATAGTCACAAGCAATGGATCTGCGAACAGTTGCTCGACCTGGTCAGGAGCGAGACAGCATTACGGTTCCTGCCTGATGTTTTTGCCTAGATCTAACTTGATCCTTCATGTAATCATCGTCATTAATGCCTGTCAGATAAGCCCGGGCATCTTTTCCATTCTCAGAAACGTGACTGTCTCGCAACACCTAGCCGCGTTCATCAGGGCCGCAAAACAACCCGATGACATCGTAATCCTACAAGTAATGAAAGGAGCCGATTCTCAGGAGAGGTTCCTAGTTCGAGTGCACAAGACGACTCCATTCGTGCATCTCAAGAACGAGTTGAGGAAGGAGGGTGACACTGTCTGCGAGTTGATGACCGACGATCCCGAGAACGATCTTCCTATGTTCAATAACGACACACCGCTCGCTGTAAATTCGTCCGTTGCAAACGATAATGCAAGTCCGAGAAGCTGGAAAGCTAACAATTTGTGCTCCGCGACGAAAGCTCGATCTACAGCCCCTGTCTGTTTTGTTTTGGGGACATGTATCGGATATGCCGAGATCACTCGATCTGACTGGAAAACTCCATTAGAGAGTGGATCGTGAACGCCCTAGGAAGAAGCCTAGGTGGTATGAACTGAGCCGTAATGCTGGAAGGTACTGATGTCAGATGTGTGTTCTGTAGGTATGCAACAAAGACAATACGAGCAGGAACAGTTCCACGGCTTTGAGGATCTGATATCGATCAAATGGTGCCAAATTCTTGCAGATGTCTCGGTGTTGTGTTGGCAATGTCAGAACAATATGTGTCTCTCGCTCAAGGTGGTCTTCAAGTTATCTTCCCTATTTCTTCGGACCGTTCCTTCCGCGCTTCTTCTCTCTTTTCTGGTCCTCCTTCTTCCTGATAGGCTCGGACCTTGTATGCAAGTTTTGCAGGAAGTCTTTCAACCAATTGGCGTCTTCGTCATGTCCCTGCTGACGCAACACTGCCTCAGCATGTTTGCCTCGTCCAATCCAAGGCGTTACTGATGATCTTTTCGCCAGGCGTTGTACGAGAATGGTATCCTTTGCCAGCTTCCGACAGTGTTTGAGGTAGGGAACCGGGTTGGGGCCTTCTGGGTGATATAGTGGTAGCTGCACCTGGAAAGGCTCACTGATATCCTGTCTGGCATCGACATTCTCGAGAAAGTCTTCCCACAACTTGACACTGGTGTTTGGCCATCGTGGTGTCTCGATCTTAGCGTCGGAATTCGTAGACATGCCGGCCTTCTCCGCCGGCATCATAAGCAATGTAGCACAATTCATTCTGGCTGGCGAAAGCGGGATAGAGTATGTGCTGCTCTTCGCACGAAAGAATGTTTCCAAAGCTCCGTCGAGACTGTCGCGGTCCGAGGCGAATGCTTTTGCGCCGATGAGCGCTTTTACAGTGTCGGCTCGCCAAACGAATCGCTCAGTGGGACCGAGATTGCCGGATTTCCGACTCTTCTGTTCAATCCATTTCCATACCAGCTCCTCTTTGCCCTCCCTTACGAGGTGTCTGACCATGTGGTCTAGAAGACTGGTGTCTCTTGGAAACTCGTAGCTGTCGTGTTCATTCCACATCCATTTGATGGTAGCTTCACCCAATCCGCCATCATAGCGTTCCTGTCTAGTTACTGTTTTAAGGTATGACTGAGCCATTGGTTTGGTGAGAGTTCCATCTTGAAGGTGGGTATTGAATAGCTCGACCGGATCTCGATCATCATTGGCTCCAGATTGCTTGTGCTTGTTGGCATTTTTACCAATTGCTGTACTTGCAAATCGACTAGTAACATGATAGTAACAAGCAGAAGAAGCCAACCATGGCTGGCTGGCTGGTCTGTTGTAGGAAACACTGCTTCCAGAAGTTCGAAGTGTCTTCTGCAATCGCAAGCCACGAAGTGCTTGCGTAAAACTGATACGTACACTCATGATGATCGAAATTGAAGTGTTATGTCTAGAGAAGTAGAGAAGGCGGCGAGGACAAAGTGAAGTTTGCATGCTTGCCAAGACTTATATTTTAGCTTGGCAGGTATTGGAAGAAGATACCATACAATCTGCTCCTTCTTCTACTCCTAGATTTACATTCGCGTTTCGATCCTTGAGTGCGTTAGACGCCAAGATTGTTCACAAGGAAGGGTCTCACAGAAACGTACATTCAAAGTATAGTCGCCGTCGCCGTCGCCGTTCAAACAAACACACAACTCTTCTATCAGTTCAATAAGGATATGCTCTACAGTCATCTTCTCTACTCAAATCCAGTCCATTGGCCACTTGCTCCTCATGTTTCTTATCCAGATAAGACAACAGCACATCCCCGTACTTTGCCTTGCCCTTGTACTTACTAACATCATCACCCCAACTCCTGACCGCACTAGCCAATCTTCCAGGCACATAATCCTCGTTCGCGATATCGGTGATCGGATGGAAGTATGTGCGAATGGTAAACAATACACCTCCAGATCTAGGTAGGCGACGTAAGGACTGGCGTTCGGAGCGGAAATGATGATGTTCGATGGCGCGATTGGCAGCGGCAGTGTCCCAAGAGGGTTCAGCGTTATCCTCATCTCCAATACTGTAGGACCAAGCAAGATCCTCGTCAACTTGTAGGAAATAGTTGTTGCGGTTCACTGGAGCTTCGGGCTTTAGACGGCGGAAGAAGTTGTTCATGCCTTTGCGGAGCTTGTCGTGGTAGCCAGGGACATCACCGCNTAGGTTCAAGTTAGCACGGGAGAGGTCTCGTACGACATCTCAGAAAGGTACTAACCTATAGTGAAGTTCATCGAGAGACATGCCCAACTTGTCCTGCAACCGCCAGAAACCCGGCAGCAAGATCGCACCAGCAAGAAAATACATCTGGCCGTCTTCCTTTTCGAACATGATTGCCAGGTCATCTTGCACCATCCGCGCAGCCATCTGCATGGGATCCTCGCGATTGCCATTCATGGTCAAGACATCCTTCCTGATATCAAAGGTCTCGTCCGCAAACAAGTTGACCATTCCATGTTCAGTCTTGCGGAACATGCTTGGGTAACGCTCAGGTAGATAACCACAAAGCTCTTCAAGAAGTTCTACTGCGCCATCGAAGACTTGTGGGCTAGGGTCTGTATGAAAACACTTGCTACCTCGTTCTTCGATGCGGCGCTTCTTATCGGCGTGGAATCTAGGATAGTGGTTGTCCAATTCAATCCATTCGTCCCAGTGCATGGTACGCAGGCCCATGGTGATGTTGTACTTAGGTCCATAACGGAAAGGACGATAGGGAAGTGGCTTGGTCTTTTCGAGAGACCAGTCCGGGTATGGCGCGGCGATTGGCCTCTTGAAATCTGATGGGAACCATACNNTGCCATTGTTGTCAGGTACAGTAGATGTGGGACATTCTCAACACTCACCACCATTGGGTCTCTCTGGTGCCTTGGGTCTCGTTCCTGTAGGCTTTTCTGGGTCCGGTGACCGTGAGGGCAGTCTAGTTTTTGTCTTGGNGCCAGCGAGAACACGCTGTATGAGACAGACTACAGCTACGAGAGCTAGTCCAAGATATATGAGAGGCTTTGCCTGTTGTAGTGATGAGATGTTCCGGATGTCACTGAGGCTGTTCTGCAGCATCGTATGTATATTGCTCATGGNTATCGGGGCAGTAAAGGGTTGATTTAGAAGATGACGATGATGCGAACACAGGCGAAATTCATATGCTCGAGCAGANNCAGAATGTTCAATATATACATTGCTCGTCCTAGATTTNNATCTTGGTTGTGACGATAAGCCTGCTGGACCCCGCTATGTCCAACTTATCAACCCCGGACTGAACGTCCAAAAAGGGACACNTGATATGGCCATAGTGGGGCTGGCGCATAGCCAACGTCTAGTGGAGATCGAGCAACTAAACTCGGTCAACACTACACGCCTGGAATCGCTCTGACTTGCCAAAACGGGTAGAGTTAGATCAGGTGACTGGTATCACAGAATGCGAATAAATGAGCAGCCTTAGCTCGAGGACTTTTTGCGGCCCAGAAGACAGTACTCGCCCCATTGACGGCGGTACTTGAGCGGAATGAACTCCCAATCAGGGACCCATCCAATGCGACCGAGGGTTCCGGTTCGCGAAGCATCGAGGAAGGGCTTGCACGACAGCTTTTCCCATGTGTTTGTCTGGTTGATGTAATCCGGTTCCAGAGGAGACGGCTCAGTGCCAGGGAAGGACGAGTCGACCATGAAAGAGCAAAGTGATAGGTCAGTNNCTGGAAGGAAGTTAGCCTGCATCAGCACATCGTCAAGAAGCCAACTTACATATTTGCTGGGATCCTCTTTGTTCTCGTCGTTCATGCCACTTGGAGTGAGCCATGCGCCTGGATACAGTCCGAATCCCTTGCCAGCCTGACTGAAGTCGCCAGGAAGCAGGCCACTAAACTCGCTCTTTACGAACTTGGCACTAACGCCAATAGGAAGATGGTAGGAAGAAGGGAACCGATACCATTCTTTGCCCAGACAAACGTTATCGCCAGGTTGAGTGACACCAGGAAGGCGCAGAGGTTTGTACACACTCAAAGGAGCGTTGTAAGCGGTGATCATACCAAGAGTTCTCCAAGCTCCGAAGTCGACGGCAGCAATGAAACAGAGAGCAGCGAAGAAGAGTCTCAACTTGGCAGGAATCATGGCGATGAGAGAACGAGGGTTCGAAGTACCGAGCCAAGTGAGAAGAATATGAGAGCCTAACGCGGCGTTAAAGCCCAGGGCAGGGTAAATGGGATACATGAAACGCTCTTCCTTGTGAGGCTGCAGGGTGAAGATGGCCAGCCAGAGGTAAAAAGGGGTGAGGAAGAAGACACCGCGCAGGTACGACTGCTTGAAAACAGGTTGACGAAGAACAAAGGTGTGGATGAAGTAGAGAGGCATAGCGGCCAAGGCGATGATGAACCAGATATTGAAGTTGAGCAAAAGATTGCGTGCGTAGAAATGCCAGGGCTCGGTGCCATAGATATCCGGACCTTTACCGTCACGAGCAGCAATCACGTTGTACCAGACAATGTTCCAGGGTACGATAGCAACCCTTCTATAGAAGAAAGCGTCAAACAAGAATTGCAGAACGAGGACGATGGTGGAGCGGACGGAACCATCAAGGATACGGTAGCAGAAGTCAATAAACTCTTGCTTGTCGGTAAAGTAGGCGGTCATGAACTCCTCGACCATAAAGGGGGCGACGAGGGCAGCTGCAAAAGGCCAGCCGAGGAAGGCACCTCCAATCATGCACATCATTCCTTGGGCAGTACGCATACCTCCACGCCAGTCCATGAAAGCAGCCATGCCCAGTGCAGTGGTATACATGGAGAAGGACGAGGGCAAGAACGAGACAGATGCGTGGAACATGCCAGGACTTGTAAGCATGATGAGAAAGAAGAGCATGCCGAGTCTAGGATTGAGGGTGCGTGAGATTTTGGAGTATAATCTGGCTTCGGAGGCGGCACAGATGGCACCCAGCGCAGTGCGCAAGAAGTAGAACTTCCACACTTTGGGCAGACCCCAGACAGGGATTATGCGACGCAGCCCAATGACAAAAGCATGGAGAGACACATAGCCCCAACTGCGGATGGCGTACTCGGGCGAGTACTCCCAGGTCTGCTTGCCGTAGCCATCGGTCAAGTAGTGGGTGGGCTCGTAGTAGTTGTAGACCTCGTCGCAGTCTTGTATAGGAAAGTAGAAGGCGGCTACGGCGTGGGCAGCAGCGAGAATGTAGAAGGCGATCAGGGGATCAAGAAAGATGGGGTCGGCGACTGCGTCGAGAGGTTTTGTGAGTTCGGCGGGAAACATGTGAATAGGGCGAGCTTCTGCTGGCGCCGTCGGCGTCACGGGCAGCGCCTTGTTACGCTGCTGGTAGGCCGCCTTTTCTGCTGTCATGGTCGTCATGAATTGGCGACGCGCCGGACGCGACGGCGGTGGAGGGGACGGCATCGCTGCTGCTGCTGCTGTTGACGATTGACAGAGGAAGCAAGAAGGAAAGAGTCCAATATTCCCTAGCAAGTTGCAATATTGAATCGAAGCCTTGACCACCGGCTTCAGCTTCAGCTCGCAGCTCGCGGGAGTGGCTTGCCCTTCCCGGCGCTAGCTTACCCCAGATGACGCTAGATTGGCATTAAGTCCGGCAGGCCCGAGCAAAACTGATTTTCTTCGCGCAGCCAGCGCAAACATTCACATCATCATACCAATGTTTGAGACGAGTCCTAGACCGAACAAACGTGCCCGTCTGTCTGCCTCGCCCACCATGTCCGCTTCTGTTCCCGTCGACGATATGGACGACATCTACGGCACCCCGTCCGCCAACACCACCCCCGCCCTCCACACTGCCCAAGCAACCAGTTACGTCGACGCAAAGCAGCTCCCGTCGAATCAGTCGCACATTGCTGGCATCCCTGGTCTGGGTTCATTTCCCCCTGCCGCTTCGTCCAGTCTGTCTCAACCACGGTCTGAACAACCTCAAGAAGCCGTTCAGCCAGAGATCGTCAACGGTCAAGAAGAGACCATTGTGAACCCTCTTCCCGATAACCAATCCGTCCAAGTCCTCGTTGAGCAGCCCGTTGCTGCCGCCATCCCTACCGAAGCTGCCGTCGAGACCGTGACCGAGCATGTTCCTGCGCAAACCGCTCGCCCCGATGCCACCTCCGCTCTATTCGATGCTCTCGGTAACAACGACGAGCTGAACAAGAACCTCCCCACACCCGTCAAGAACGAGCCTGAATCCACTTCGACATCCGCAACTGCTACCGAATCCGAGACCGCCTCGGCGTTTACAAAGCCCCCTGTCGACCCCGAGTTCCTCGAAGCCGCCGCAGCACAGAAGGGCGCTGAAGGTGCCGAATGGCAGTACGACTCATCCGATGCCGAGTCTTCCGACGATTCCTCTAGCAGTGACGACTCTTCGAGCGATGAAGACAGTGATGAGGAGGGATATGAATTGCTCGACCCAGCCACGGCTGCACGCATGCTTATGGAAGAAGGTGGCATGGACGATGAAGAAGGTGGTAGCAAGGCTGCCAGCGGAAGCCAACTTCGCACTAAGAACGAGGTGCCAGAAGAGATCATCCCCAAGCCGGATGTCACGGTCACTTCCGACATGAAGATCACACCCCTGGGTGCCGTTCAGCACGTCGTCGACACGCTGATTCTCATCAAAGCTTTCACTTCTGGAGAGTATCAAGTCCTGGAGTCTGGTTCTGTCTTGTGTCTGGAGAACCGCGAGGTCATTGGAGCCGTTCAGGACACCATTGGAAAGGTCGAAGAGCCCTTGTACTCGGTCGCCTTCACCAGACCCTCCGACATCTCGGATCTCAACATCGCTACGGACACCAAGATCTTCTACGTCGATTCCCACTCCACATATGTCTTCACACAGCCCCTGAAGAATCTCAAGGGTACCGACGCCTCGAACCTCCATGACGAGGAAGTCGCAGATGAGGAGATGGAATTCTCTGACGACGAGGCCGAGGCTGCCTACAAGAGAGCTAAGAAGGAAGCCAAGAAGGGCGCAAGAGCTGCTCGCGACCAGACCAACCAGGCGCCTGCCCCCAAGCCCTACACTGGTGGAGCCATGAACTACGACGACGAGCCTGAAGCTGAGGAAATGTACACCCCTCTTGCCCGTCCTGACAATCTGCAAGACATGATGACCAATGGAGCACCCCCAGCTCGTCGTCAATTTGCCGAACGTGGCGGCAGAGGCCGTGGTAGAGGTCGCGGCGGTGACAGAGGCCGTGGCGATCGTGGCAGAGGCGGTCGTGGTGGTGGCCGTGGTGGTGCCGACAGCGCAAACCAGCGCAAGGGTCCCTCCAACTCATACCCTGATACACACAACGCTGGTGCGCAAGCCTACGCCCAGCAGCTCCCACAAAAGCCTGCAGCGCCCCAGCAAATGCAGCAGATGCCTCAAATGCCACAGATGCAGCAGATGTGGAACCAGGCCCAACCTCAGATGAACGCGCAATTCGCTTTCCCTCAATTCAACCAGCAGCAGTTCCCTCCCCACCACCTCCTCCCCAGGGTCAATCGCCTTTCCCTAACATGCAGTTTGCATGGCCACCCAACCCTCAGTTCTTCAACCAAGGTCAGCAACAGCAGTCCTACAATCAGGGTCAGCAGCAGCAGCAGCAGCAGCAGCAGCAGCAGCAGCAGCAGCAGCCTTACCAGTTCCCTGGAGCACCTGCAGGTGCATTCGTCAACCCTGCTTTCTTCCAACAGCAGCAGCAGCAGCAGCAGCAGCAGGCCCCCGCAGCATCAGCTCAGAGTGGTGGCCCTTCGCCCGAGGCAATCCAGGCAGCCGCCGACCTCTGGCGTAGACTTCAGCAGCAGCAACAGTAGGATGGGCTGTAGTGCAAGTCCACGTAGTTATAAATGGTTCACCTGTGTGCAAAACATGTCCCCTACATCTCTTCTTCCCCGCCTGTCTGTCTTGTCGGCGCGCAGGTTAGGCTCTTGTCGTGCTGAGTAGCCCAGCTTGGAACCCAGGAACCTACACGTCCATAGTACCAAGAAGTTTACGATATTGTCCATGATCACCTCCTATCCCAAACGGCAGCCTGAATAGTGGTTCCAATTCTTCCGTCGACACAGGATTTTGTTGAGGGCTTGGAAGAACGGTAAGTCAAGAGCCATGGGTGAGGCAGAAAGGGGTAGTAAACAAGAAATGGAAAACAGTTTGGCGAGACATTCCGAGGGATCTGCAACTCTGATAGACAAGTGAGAGGCCTGACAAGACAACTCTTTTTACCAAACCAAACGTGTAAGGCGCCATCTCTTGATCAGGGGCCAGGGCACATCTCGGGGTGCGGTCTCGGAAGCATACAAAGTATGGGATCTCGCCGCGAGTTCACCCCAGACCTCGTGGTCGTGGCGCACTTTTGACACGAGTCGTCGAGTAGGCTGTTTCCTTTAACAGATCCCGACAGAGCGGCTGAAGTCGGGGCACGACCCTTGGACTCGGTTTTGGCTTTCTCCATGGCTGTGTTTCCTTATCTTCGCAGTCGAATCATGGCGTTTTCACATTCAGCGCGCCACAAAATAACGAGGTCTTATATATCAAGTACAGCTGTGTCTCTTGTAAGAGGGCTTTACTGTACCTTGACGCCAACCCCTTGGCAATGTGCTCCGCCCCATGGATGAAGAACACGGCAGCTCGTCAAGAGATTCACATGTCACAAAAGCGACTGCTGGTCAGTTTTGGCTCACAAGCCGTTGCGAGTGCTTTTTTGGCACAGAGATAAGAAGTGGATACAGCCAATGAGAGGTGACGAAATCTCGTCTGTCGTCAAGCTTCTCGAATCCGCAGGGCGCATCACTACGCTCAAACAGGCAAGGACTGTCCAACAGATAAGAGCACCGACGTCGGCTGTTCTCTGACTGGACGACGTTCACTGATAACGAGCACCATTGTTGAGATGGACACACAGTGTGAATAACAATCGTCTACAGCCCTCTATTTGCAAAACCAAGCACAGCTTCCAAGAAGCGCCATCCCGTCATGTATTATGCATGTGCTTTCTCGAGGGAATTCTCCGACGGAGAGCCAGCACGAGAGAAGTCATAGCTAGCAAGCGATTGAGCGCAATGATGGTCGTCCCAGGCTTCGATTCGGGCCTGCAGTGGCGAAAAAAGAAGAATGCTTGCTGCCGGCTTTTGTTGAATCATGACCGCAAAAAGTTACACTGCTTCTTAACGCGTTGCGAGGGCTGTCTGGTTCTGGTAAGCAAGGTTTCTCTGGCTGTCACCCGCGTGAGGAATCCATGGCACAAAAAAGCAGTGGTTTGGCTGCATCGCAAAATGGACCGTTGCGCGCGGGTGTCGCTGATAAGGCCAGCCCGCTGCTGCCGCTGCTGCAAACGATTTCAATTTCGATGGGCAGATCGTTTGACGTACAATAAACCCTTCGATTGTCCTCCCCAAGTGTGGCCCGTTTCCCTCCGCTAGTTGAGACTCTTCAAGAGAGCCAGATCCGACCCTCGGGCCCCATTATTTTATCCTCATCCCATCAGTCCGTCAGTGCACATCGCCGTTGTTGCCGCGTGCTGAGCCAGTGACGGCCTTTAGAAGCCCTCTTTATATATCTCTTGCTTCCCCCAACCTTCCCCAGCAGTCATTTGCATACCGTGTGTCCATTTTTCATCCTCCAACCTGTCCACGCTCGTCCTGCTTTGCCTGGAGTATTACCTAACCCTCTGGAGCAACAACATCACTGGCTTTGACACACAAAGGCCCTTTCCTATCCTTTCCTGAGCGCAATAGACGCTCGACGCACATCAACCATGTCTTACTCCTGGGTCGGCGCACCTACTGTATTCAATGGCACGGACCCTTTGGGTGGTGACTCCAGTAAGTTCAGACCACTTGGTCATGGGCTTCAATCCGTGGCATCCAGTGATAGACCTCGTCTGACATTGTCGTAGGCNACCGAGAACTTGAACCAATGGTATCAATCTGGTGACCAGGCCTTCATTCTGATCGCATCAGCGATGGTGTTGATCATGATTCCGGGTCTTGGTTTTCTCTATTCTGGTCTGGCACGCAGAAAGTCGGCTCTTAGTATGATCTGGGCCTGTATGGCGTCCTGTTCGATCATCACTTTCCAATGGTACTTTTGGGGATACTCTCTGGCTTTCTCTGGAGGTGCAACCAATGGCTTCATCGGCAACCTACAAAAGTTTGGTCTCAAGGAGACTCTCGGTGCACCTTCTCCTGGCTCCCCTCTTATCCCTGAGCTCCTCTATGCTTTCTATCAGGTATGCATTCTTCGTGTTGACTCTAGATACTGTCAGTCCTCTAACAACAACAACACANNGATGCAATTCTGTGCCGTCACCGCCGCCATCGTCGTTGGTGCAGTCGCCGAGCGTGGTCGCCTGATTCCTTGCATGGTATTCATCTTCTTCTGGGCTACTCTTGTCTACTGCCCAATCGCTTGCTGGGTTTGGGGAGCAAACGGATGGGCATTCAAATGGGGTGTCCTCGACTACGCTGGAGGCGGTCCCGTCGAGATTGGCTCTGGTATGTCCGCTCTTGCCTACTCGATGATCCTCGGAAGACGTCAGGAAAAGATGATGCTCAACTTCCGTCCCCACAACGTCTCTCTCATTACCCTTGGTACTGTCTTCCTCTGGTTCGGCTGGTTGGGCTTCAACGGTGGTTCGGCCTTCGGTGCCAACCTTCGCGCTACCATGGCTTGCTGGAACTCCAACTTGACTGCCATGTTCGCTGCCATTGCCTGGGTTGTTCTCGATTGGAGACTTGCCCGTAAGTGGTCCATGGTCGGTTGGTGCTCTGGTACCATTTCTGGCCTTGTCGCTGCCACTCCCGCTTCCGGTTTCATCACTCCCTGGGCATCCGTCGTTCTCGGCATCACCACCGGCATCGTATGCAACTTTGCAACCAAGGTCAAGTTCTGGATTCGCATCGACGATGCTATGGATGTGTTCGCTGAGCACGGTGTCGCTGGCATGATCGGTCTTTTCTTCAACGGCATCTTCGCTGCTTCCTACATTATTGGTCTCGACGGTGTCAACAACGGTATTGACGGTGGATGGATTCAGCACAACTGGAAGCAGCTGTACATGCAAATTGCCTACATCGCTGCCGTCACCGCCTACTCCTTCGTCATTAGTGCCGCTATTGCCTGGATCATCAACAAGATTCCTGGCCTCCACCTTCGCGCGTCCGAGGAGGCTGAACTTCTCGGTATGGATGACGACCAGCTCGGTGAATTCGCCTACGACTATGTCGAGGTTCGCCGTGATTACCTCGCCTGGACTCCCGCTCGCGATTTGCCCGAGACTGCCGAGCACCAAATCCCTCAGGGTGACCGCCATGGTATCCCCCAACACTCGCAAATGCTCGAGGGCAAGGCCCCCAGCGAAAGCGACAGCCAAGGAAACGAGCACACCGGTATCGGTGGTGACCGTCACGCCGTTGCCTACGAGAAGGCGGAACGCGAACAGCGCACCTTGGACGGTTAAACTTGGTTGTCCCTTTTAACGAACACATCCGGAGTTTTTATTGTTTTTCCACCAAAGTCTTGTTGTTCGGGGTTTGAACAAAAGTCTGCGATTACTAGACCGACGCTGGTCCTCGGTGCACATGTTTATTTTTACGAACTACTTTTTGGGAGCGGGAAGAGAGGGGATATTGCGCGATACCACCACCACTATTTTTGTTGTTTTCTTTCTATCTGTAAACTTTCTATATATCGATCTACTATACCCTATGGTAATATGTCATGTTTCTGAGCAAATCTGCTGTGTCACTCTTGGTCTGTAAATTTATCTGCTTCTCTTACTTTCAAGACCGAGCAGGTATGCATTCTTTGCGAATACCTGTTTAGCAGTTTCACAACTTCGAAACCTGCCAACATAGCGGTTTGTTGGCGGTCTTTCCAGTTGCAATATCATGTGTCTCCATCCGTATGACGCGAGACTCACATACCACCACGACATTACTGATCTTTCTTCCTTTGTATTTCGCATTAGACAGATGCGATACAAGTCCTCCAACATCTCTACCACACGATCGAGACCCCAAACAAAGCGGTGATGCGATCATCGGTATACAAGGTGGATCGTGCATCTGCCGAACCATGTTTTATCAATATGGAGGCGTTGATTGGACAGACATGTCAGCCACAGAGCCGCAAGCCCCGCTTACAGAAAGGCTAGCTCAAGACCGAATAGGGTAGGTACAGTGGTTAGGGTGCTATCAAGGTCATCAAGATCGTGATAGCACGCAAAAGCTCGCGTCTGATATGTAAGCCGGGCGTCTTTCTCTGCCATCAAGGCTTTCCTGTTTCCTCATTCTCCGAGACACCCTTACCTATTGTCATCCTTTTCCTTTGCCTTCGGACTTTCGAGGTTACACGACGCAAGAAGGCATTGTACAAGGATGTCGGAACAAGAGAATCAGAGAGCTGGTGTGGGCGAACAGGAGCCTTTGCTTGGAAGGCCTGGTGATGCGTCGCTGGAGGATGGGCTTCCGCTGTACCACAACCTTGTCATCGGTATGGATTTCTTCAGGATTGTGTAAGACTACAGTACTTATGTGAATCTCACAGGCACTGGAGCGATCGCACAGGCTGGGTCCTGGATTCTTGTAGCTATTGTCTGGGGCGCAGTGTTCTCCAACCCTGTGATCCTGTTTTCGGCACATCCTGTAAGCCTTGCCGGCCGGTATGCGTAGAGGCCATGCTAATGCGAATGTTCTACANNGTTGCTCAATTCGGCAGCAATCCTGCTCTTCACCCAGGGCGTCCTCATCCTCCAACCTACGCATACACCCAAGCAGAAGAAGCACGGCACTTGGGCTCACGCCGGCCTCAACGACCTCGCCCTCTCGTGCGGCATCGCCGGGCTCGTCGTGATCGAGTACAACAAGATTGCCCACAATGGCACACACTTTGTATCACCCCATGCAATCCTGGGTCTGATCACCTACATCCTCATCCTCATCCAGGGACTTGTTGGCTTCACTCAATACTTTGTGCCGCAGATCTACGGCGGCGAGGAGAACGCGAAGAAGCTGTACAAGTACCACCGTGTGAGCGGATACTTCATCTTCTTGATGCTGCTTGCGACCGTAGCAGCTGCGACGCAGACGGACTACAACAAGAATGTTCTTGAAATCAAGCTGTGGGCTGTGCTTGTCGCGGCTGCCATCACATTGATTGGAGTGTTGCCCAGGGTCAAGAAGCAAAAGTTCGGCTGGTTGGCCGGACAGTAGAGAGCAGGCACAGAGTTAGCATACTGTTGAATAAGAACGAGAAGGGTCCTTCGATGGAACCAAAGATAGTTTCGGAATACGATCAGGGGAACAGGTGTGGAGAAGCACGCACAGAGGAAGGATAGGCTTAAGTGGAGCTTGGGACCAGGAGAAGGAGAGCCGAGAAAAAGGGCAGTCCTGGTGGAGCTCTATGGGCGATGCACGATGGCGCCAGGCTGGCTCACGATTGAGCAACTCTTCTTTGTTACATATAATCTCGCGCATTGCATACAAATTGATGATAGCATTGATAGGATGTCCGTATGACCGATGATCTGACGGACATGCAGAAAATCAGCAGTCAGCAGGCGACCGTTGCGAGTAACGACAGAACTAGAGATGCATTTGCATGGTAAGTGCAGACAACGGGGGTTGGTGGCTCTGTTAGGTTGCACAGCGGCTTTCGCTCAGGGGTATTGGATCTACGGTAAGCGTCGGGCGGGAGAGAGGGTCGCTGCACATATAAACCCCAAGACCCGGGATAGGCGAAGACGGCGAGAACAAATTGATCACCATCATCCGCGTCTGAGCAGAGATTTGAAGAAGTCGTTGTTGAGGAAAAAGCAGGTTGTTGCAGTCGGGCAATTTCAGGCGCAGGCTTCTCCAGACGACGGGGCTCTCCAAACGGCCAGTGCTTCACCAAGGGACTGTGTTGTTGATCTCTCGCGAGCGGCGCATACGTACTGGGTGCTCGCCTTGCCAATTTTCCTTTGCTCAGCACTTTTCCCTGCCTGGGTCTTAAGGAGACGCATGAGCAGCAGAGGCGCATGCAATTGAGGACCGGAGCATCGAGTGGGCTCGATTGATTGCGGCGCCAGCAAAAGCATTATATCTACGAAACAAGCCGGTTGGCAGGAGCAGCCATAAATACGACGACTGCCATGGATGAAACACCACCACTCCACACGTCTGCCTCTAGCAGCGACCTCAAGCGCGACTCTGCCATCGCAAAACCCACCACTGCCTCGACCAACCCCCAAGCCCCTACCCTGACTCTTTCGCCGAGTGCAAGCGTGCCGTCCATCATTGTCCACGATGCCATCGCCGCTGCTCCCAAATCATCCCGAAATTCTCCTTCCTTTCTGCGACGCAAGTCGAAGCCTCTCGACGAAGACAGCGACCAAGACCTCGCCGAATCCCCTCGTTCCAATCTAAGTCACTCTCGCATCCGCTCTTTCCACCCCATCGACATGGACATCCCCACGACGGCCTTCGACGACCTCACGTCGCCCGACTCGCTCAAGTTCTCGACCCGCGGTAGCATCATGGTGAACTCGAAGAAGCTGGCAAAGATGATGCGACAACACGACGGCGACTACACCGATGGCGATGCTACTGACACCGACTTCCACACGGCTCCCAATTCGCCCACCTTCTCCCCTCGCATCCAGGCTCCGCTGTCACCTCCACTATCTCCCATCCCCTCGTCACCGCCGAACCCAAAGCGTCTGACAACTGGCCCTCGCACGCCGAGCATGCACATGCTGAATGCCGTTCTCGATGGTCGTCGAGTGCTATCGGCTGAAGAGAGGACTTTCTCACAGAAAGTGCGGTCCATGTACAAGTACGGCGATGAGAGGGCTGCCGATTGGACCACTCCTGCCGAAATGGACCGAGAAGACACGCCCGAACCACCAACTCCTTCACGTTCCCTTACCAACCCTCGTCGGAGACCCGTCACAAGTCGAAGCGCGAGACCCAGGGATTTCCACGACCGCTTCAGCTTTATTCAGAATGAGTTCGAATGTGCTGGCGGTGTCGAGGATTGGGAAGACCTTTCTGGCAAAGACGTCGATCGCTATGGCTTCATCAACCCGACCAAATTCATACCCACCGAAGGCCCGCAAGGCACATCCGTGAAGCCTAGTCTTCAGCGTGTGACGACGTCACTACAACTCTTGTCCAGCAGTCCGCGCAGGCGCAGAGGCTTGATTAGAGGTCCCTCCACAGCCAGATATTCGCGCTCTCTTCCCGCTCCCACACGCACCAACACCCGTACTACCGTCGCTTCATCTCCCTCCGGCCACGCTGCCTCCGTGTACTCGTTTCAATCCAGCCACTCACAAAATCGCTCGCACAATCCCTTCCGATCTCGCGATCGTCGTATTCTCGATGACGCGAGCGACATGCTCACACTGCCTGTCTGTCTCGATAATCTCGCAGAAGAGGATGCGCATGAAGGCTTCTTGAGACGCCGCGAAGTCTTGCGCGAAGAGAAATGGCGCAAGATGGCTCGTTTGATGCCGGAAGGCCCTAAAGGCGGCGGCATGAACTTCGAGTTTGATGTGACAGACCCAAAGCTTGTAGCGCGTACTTGGAAGGGTGTGCCTGACAAGTGGCGCGCCACCGCATGGCACGCTTTCCTGTCCGCCTCGGCCAAGCGTCGCGGAGGATGCCAGTCTGATGAAGAGCTTATCGAGATCTTCCATGAACTGCAGGAGGAAAGCTCTGCCGATGATGTACAGATTGATGTCGATGTTCCTAGAACGATCAGCATGCACATCATGTTCCGTCGCAGATACCGAGGAGGCCAGCGTCTCCTCTTCCGCGTGCTCCATGCCATATCCGTACACTTCCCTTCTACTGGATACGTTCAAGGCATGGCTTCTTTAGCAGCCACTCTACTGTGCTATTACGATGAAGAACACACGTTCATCATGCTCGTACGCATGTGGGAGCTGCGTGGACTCAAGGTGCTCTACGAACATGGCTTCTCAGGACTCATGACAACGCTCAAGGAGTTTGAGACGGACTGGCTGGCTAACGACCAAGACCTCAAGTCGAAACTGGACGATTTTGGCATCGACGCCATGACCTATGGTACCAAATGGTACCTTACACTCTTCAACCTCAGCATGCCTTTTCCAGCTCAACTACGCGTCTGGGATGTGTTTATGCTGCTGGGCGATGCTAACTTCCCTGGGAACCCACCACCCACTCAGGAAAGCAAATCTACCTTTGACGGCGCTGATTTGAGCGTGCTGCACGCAACCAGTGCTGCGTTAGTCGACGCTACCAAGTCTCTCATCGTCGAAGGTGATTTTGAGAACGCCATGAAGGTGCTCACCAGTTGGGTTCCTGTGCGTGACGAAGACATGCTGATGCGTGTCGCAAAAGCTGAATGGAAGATTCATATGAAGAACCGCAGACATGCTTCTCCTTGATCTCTCCTTCTTACACCACTTTTTCGGAAAAGTCCTTCTGTTTTGCTTTTTCTGTTTGTTCCCTTCCTTTATATACCCCCTTCGCGACTCATTGAGAGCGTCGCTTTTTGTTATCTCTTTCCCGCTGTCATCACCTACAGATACCTACGCATCCCGCGCATCTCTTTGCATCAACCTTTTCCTTTGTCTGGAATCATGTTCTATATGGATAGGACCCTGTCTTTCGTCTTTTGTCTTTTCTCATTAGTGACCACCTCATGGCGGTGCATTGTCTCTTGACTTTCTATTCTGTAATGTTAGCCTTTTGGGCCTGGTTGAGGAGGACTTTGGCGGTTAGTGATTGATTTGGGTCTTTTTGGAGATATACCCCTGAGTGTTTGAATCTTAGAATTTGTATCGATTATTGAACTGGCCAATCTTCCTATCTGCACAGTGTCCTTCTAGGATTATCTTGTGTCTCTGTGCGATTGCACGTCACGATCTGTTTTGTAGCCAGAGAAGTGCCAGTCCCTGGAGTTTTGCAAACCGGCCAAGCGAGACCAGACTCCCAACCTCCTCTCCCTTGGCTCCACTCCCATTGATTAACAAACCGACATAGCAAAAGCCGTTACCGTGTATTATCAAGGATGAAAAAATGCTTGGAATACGTCCTTGATATCCTGGCCATCAACACGCAAGACAACAACACAAGGTAGAATGGACAACAAGCTCGGTGACAGTGATGCGCATCCTTCCCTGTAAGTTGGTGTGTTCTCGCCCAACCACCTCAACTTTTTACCTTGATTTTCTTTGTTGGCAAGCACCAGTAGGTCTGTGATTACCTCAGAGTGCATCTTTCCTGCATTTCTCATTCCTTCCATCTACAACTTTTTTCTTGAATTTACGTTTCTGGTAATCGTCGGGGCTGCACTGCATTGTTATTCGGGCATCATTATCTGGACATCGCTAGACATTGTCGAGACTTTACCTCGCGGATTTTGCACGTTCGACTTAATACGGAAGCGACGGACGACATTTCGCAACCTGAGAAACCTTGTTTCGGTGGAACCTAACTCGGAGTGACTTGAATTGTTTGCGCCTTCCATCTTCAACTTTGACATCAGAAAATCTGCAACGCAAAGTCACATCAACCAATATCTTCATCAAACAAACAATGGCTCGTCACTTCCTCCTCATCACACTCTTCATCACAACCTCTCTCGCCTCTGGCATACCTCCTCGACCTCAACCCACCATCAACATCACCTCCTCGGAACCCCTCACCCCTCGCTCCAACTACGGCTGGTCCCCCGCCGTCCTCCTCCAAGACAGCAGTGGTATCTGCCCTCAATACGCATACATCAACTGCCAATCCATCAGCGGGCCAGACTACTGCTGTGGCGCTCACACTTATTGCGCCTACGGTGGCCCAGAAAACCATATCGGTTGTTGCGCAGACAATGCCGTTTGTGATGGCGAGCCCGGCGTGCCGTATACCACTGTCTACGTGCCTAGTGCGACTGCAACGACGTGGTGGACGCGTAAGTGCAACTTCTATGGATCGCGGAAGTGGGGAGGAGTGCTAATGGAGAAATTTAGANNTTCGGGAACCACGGCGACGGGCTTGATTGGGCCGGCGTACACGGTCACGACGACTACGACAGCCACGCAGTATGTCACTGGTCCCGCGCCGACTATTTGCAGTACGTTGTATGCCAAGGGCGATGATTTGCCCACGACGGCTGCTGCACAGTGTGGTCTTGTGCTTGTGTTGAATGCTGCGCCTGGCAGAGACGTAAATGGTCTGGGTCTTGCTGCTGGACTTGCTGCGATGAATGGGTTAGCGGCTGCTCTGGGATGGATGAGATTGGTATAATGAGGTGCACGGTGAGGGTGGAAGTTTGCGACTGAGATTTTTTTTTCGTAGAGTGTCATTACAATAATCCGTCAACATCTCGACTCAACGGAGTTCATGGTATCTGATTCGCATCTTTGCGGTGAGAGTACTTCGACAATCGATGCGATGGATGTTCTAGGAAAGCCGGTAAAGTAGGGTCGCGGTTCTTGTACAATAAAAGGCATGCATTAGGGAAAGCAGACTCAATTCCTGGTTATGTGGCAATCAAAAAGATACTAACAGTAAACCTTACACATTCCCACTCATCTCATTTCAGCACCCTTCCAAGGTTTTGCTGGGTCAGGTCCAGGATATCTACATGCAGCCCACTCTAGGATGGGTGTGAATTTGATCGCCCCCAAGCCGAATCTCGGTANCCCAGTCCCCCACATGTCCTTGGAGAAAGCATTGTACACTTCCCTTTGGTGGATGGGATAGGTGATGATCGGAGTAGTTCTGTCTTCGACTTCGCCTGCCTGTAAGCTCATGGGCTTATTTTTCTTCTTCGATCTATTATTGGCCCACTGGCCCCACTGGTCCCACTTGGACGTGAAACAAAGCCCGAATAGTGTAGAGGCATCCTGTGACAGCCACTTGGAATCTTGTGTAGCTTTGCCGTCGAACCTGAACTTGGGACAAGATACCACACCCCCAAAAGGTGAATNCACCATGGCGTGGCCCAGTTCGTTGTTTCGGTTATTTCCCACCCACGGCTCCGGTGGTGTACTGTAGTGTGGCCACTGGTGTTGCGCCATGAAGAAGGCATGAGCAAACTCGTGCAACAACTCCACTGCGAAGAGAAGAGCAGTGCGCAACGCGGCGGATTGAGAGTCCGCAGTAGAAGGCCTGTGAGTCTCGGGGACACCTGCCAAGTCTAACGCTTGGCCGAAAAACGTCTTATAGATGTCGTCGTTCTCTTTCTGCCAATGCATGTTCAGGGCATGGTAGAATGCTTTGTTCAATGCAATTTTAGTCCGGCGAGTGTGACTNNGAATGATGGTCAGTAGACTCAAGTGAGGCTTTGGAGCAGCATTTACTTACGGAAGTCCGGCAGGGATGAACTTGCCGTCGTCCTGCAGAAGAGGTATAGTGCATGCGAGTAGGCCTCTAGCTCGCAGTATTGTATCACCAGAATCCCAGAAAAAGCTGGTGTACTCCCGCATAGAACTGATCTTGCGGAAGGTTATCAACTGTTCGACTTCCGTCAAAGTTTCGGGAACTCGAAGTCTCCTGCACGTCTTCAAAACCGGATCCTCAAAGGTGATCATCTCACTCGACTGAGCTGACATGGCATGGAAAAGACAAAGTGTACTAGGCTCATCGAGCATTGCACTTGCTAGGAGGAGAGCTGGCTTGATCATGTCGTACTCCTCATCAGTGATTACTTGCCAGCAATCCTGTCTGAAGACCGGATGTATACGATAGTCCTCCCGATTCGCGGGATTCCTTTTGGCGGCAAAACGACCAATAGGTTCCATATATGCGCTGGCGATGTCCAGATTGAAGTTGATGAATCCAGCTTTGTCCAGGAGTTGCAATCCCCATTTTGAAATCGGATCATTCCATTTTATTGAGGGGTTCGGAGGCCCCAGTCTGTATTGGGGATCCCAATCGTCTGGAAACCACTTCAATTCTCCTGTTGGATCATTGAAATTGAGAATCCGGACCTCAAAACCCTCTCCCAGGGGGTCGTCTCGCGCGCCGTAATATGTCGCGTCTCTATCCCAGTTCAAACGCTCCGTAGTTTCAGCATTATTATTGGCCGGATCTCGTAAAGTTTGGAATAAATCCAATTCTGGTGGATATGGAACGCCATATGGAAGTGATGGTCTTTCTGGTCTTTCGGGTCCGACACCGCCCATGTCGACATCTATACTGCCCATCCTGTCGTCGTTGTCGTAGTGTGCTCGTAGTCGTATCGAAAAGTCTAGATATAGAACCGATGAATCTGTTCGTGAGAACAATGGAGGGAAAGCTTACTCTTGTATAGAGATAGCTCGACCGGATGCGGAACGAGAACGACACAAAGAAACACGACTCGAGAATCGGCCTCATGAATGCGGCTGTCAGCATATCGAACAAAGAAGATACAGATCGTGCTGTCCACGAACAGAACTTTGTGTAAAGGTGCTCAAGCATTGGTTGGTTTCGAGAGCGAAGTTCTTGTGAAGGCGTTGATTGGTCACAAGAAGTAGACATCGTGGATTGTAGTCGCGGTTATCGGGCAATCCTCATTGTCTGTTGTGATCTCGTGCTATTCCAGTAAAGGATGTTTGTTTGATGGAAGTGGTTGTCAACAAATTCGATGCTGTAGACGAAGTTCTACGTTCCTTCCAGGAAGCTTGCGCGTCGCACTGATAAAAGGTTGTTGCACACGCCAAGAAGGCGCTTCTAAGGTAAGAGTAGCTTATGCATCTTCCGTGGCTTTTGTTTTAGTTGTGATTTGCTTCCCATTGCAGATTTGCGCTGCGACATCACTGCTCGCACTCAACCAAGGGCCCAGTATTCTGGAGTACGCATTAAACTCGAAATTCTATTGATCTGTAGTCGTCTAGGAGTAGCAACGTTCAAGATGGAAAAGGGGTATGTAGTGAAGAAACCAAAGAGCCTTTCCTGTGAGGCCCAGATATGTACAATTCAAGAAATAAGAACGCTAAAACTCCGGTAATGCAAGAGATCATGGTCGTCTAGAAGCGAGGGTTCGAAAATGTATGACGCTTAGGAGATACTGAAAGACTCTCCGCAACCACACTGCTCAGCTGAAATATGTTGTTAGCAGTCCGGTGATTAGCGGACGAATTTGTAGGCGGACTTACTGATATTAGGGTTCTTGAAAATGAAACGCTCGTTCAGCTTGTCCTCGAGCCAGTCCATTTCTGAACCGATGATGCTGAATAGAGCCTTGGAGTCGATCAAAACCTTGACGCCGTCTTGCTCAACAGTCTCGTCGAATGCTCCAGCTTTGTCCACGTATTCAAGGTGGTATGCCAATCCCGAGCAGCCTCTGTTACGTACGCCGACACGGACCAGCTTCGCCTCGGGCTGCTCGAGTAGCTCGCGCAAGTGCGATACAGCGGAAGATGATAGTGTGATGGCGGCCTTACGGGGGCGCAGCTTGCTCTTTCTTTGGGGCTTGGTGGAAGCAGATGTGGTTGCTGACGATGACGTGTTTACGGGCGAGGACTTTTGGGCCTCTTGTTCAGGGACGCTGACAGGCTGATCGGCTGCAGGAGATGGCTTTGATGGGCGCGACGAGGTAGACGGAAGTGGAGGAAGGCCGGCAATAGAAGTCTCGGGGACACCAGCGTTGCGGGGCGAGGGCATGGGATCCAGCGAGTAAGGGCGGTAGGCAGTGGCGGTTTGCAGGTTTCGTCGCGAAGAGAAGCGGAGAGCAGGTTGTGTGGTACCAAAGGCAGGACGCAAACATTGTTGGCATTGGACACGAGGGGCACCGCCGGCGGCGAATCGGAACATGCTTGTCGAGACCGACAATGTGGCGCGAGGCAGAGACATGGCTGCTGCGATGTGTATGTGTGGATTATTGCGGCCAAAGAGTATGCAAAGTGAGAGTCGAGTTGTAGTCGTAGGGGTAGGTGATGTCCTGTGCAGAGTCGAAGGGTGATGATTGCGTCTTTGTCAGAACGGCAAGCACAGGCAAAGCAGACTCTCGAAAAGCTATGATCGCATCCACCGACTCCACCAATCACAGACGTCGCTTTGTAACTCATGCCGAGCCTCGGACTTGACTATGCCGACTTCTTCACACATCACTCACTTTGCAATCTGCTTTCAGGAAATCACTATATTATCATCTACTCTACTCGAGTACAATCATCACAGATCCACTATGTCTGCCCCGAAGGCACTTGGTAAGGGCCATAGCCAGGCTTCGGGAATTTCGGGGATCCGTCAGCATTCCACGTGAACTGCTGCGTTCTAATCGTTCTCGCACTCCATCCATTCGTGGGATCTCTCATGCCATGATAAACAATCCAGTCTTCGGTACCATCAGGACTCTTGGTAAAACTGGCGTGTCCTACTCCATACGCTTCTTCCTTGGGATTCTGATAGAAGACACAGCCTTGGTTATTCTTGCGCCAGTCTGAAGGGTTCATCGGATCATCACCAACGAGTTCAAGTTGACCCAAGCAGTAGTTGCGGTTGTCAGAGCGAGCAGCGCTGTAGATGACGAACTGTTGACCCGTGGTTGGATTGGTGAGTTGTTGCGGTCCTTCGTTCGACGAAAGACGGTAGTTGAAAGGTCGTCCATATGGTGTCTTCTCCCAAGGGTTATCTGGGACACTGATGATTTGACGCTCTGTGAAATTGCTCTCTACAGTCCAAGGGTCGGACATCTTGGTAATGCAGAGATTCGATGGCCAGGCATCATATTGACGATACCAACAGCTGTAGATGTGATAGAGCCCAGAGTCATGTTGGAAGTAGGTACCATCAATGGCGAATTGATCATAAGTGTTGAGCTGAGACTTGAGAGTGTAGGTCGAGGTCCATGGATCAGAAGACGAGCCTTCAAGGACGTACATGCGGTGGTGAACTGCAGGGCAGTTGTAGTCACACCACATGTCAACCTCTGGTGAGGGTGTATCAAAATTTGGGTCGGCGGTAAAAATCACATACCAGGAGTTGTCAATCTGATGCAACTCAGGTGCCCACAGGTCAGTCGAGTAATTCATGCCCGGAGGTGGGTCAAAGGCTAGTTTGACGTCCGCATTGTCCCAATTGGTCAAGACAGAGCTACGAAGCATGGTTATGTTGGTGTTCGTGGTGTAAACCATGTAGTAGTAGTCCCCATGATGGATAACCCATGGGTCAGCGCCTACTTCGTTGAGGATAGGATTGGCATATGTTGATGCATTGGCTCCAGAAGTGCCATTGGTGGCATTTGTATACTGAGCAGAGACAAGAGAAGTTAACAAGCCCAGTAAAGGGAGTGCGGAGAGGAAGAACATGGTGCGTCTCGAAGGTTGAAGAGAGAAGCGATTGAGAGGGACATGGCGAAGACTTTATTTGAACCTACATTTGAAGATCGACAAGAGGGAAGGAGCGATGGCAGGGTTGCATGCATCTTGGCCTCCATCATCCCCGCCTTTCCTTCGAACTCCCCGCAAACTAGAAGGCAGCCACGCGATTTCGGCTTGTTGTTCGCCGAATTTAGCCGCCGACTTTTGACAATTGCGTCTCTGCAACTGTCACTGCGACGACAAGATCAGGATGAATAACGACCAGTTCAGGAAGCTCCTCAACACTCCGGCGCGACAGGATGGCGACAGCAGCAGCCCACGGCCCAGTGCCGTACCCTCATCACTTGGATCGAAACGCTCCTCTTTCATGCCCATGACGCCACGTTCAGTCCGAGGTGTCTCTGGAAATGATTTTGCCCGTCAGGTCGCCGAGCGCAATGCCGCAAACCAGACGGCAAAGAAGTTCAAGGGTTCCGCTGCGCCCAAAGGATCTCGTCTAGGCTCAGGCTTCACCGACCGTACGCAGAACCGATACGATGATGAGGCCGACGAACGAGCTGCTCGCATCAAGGCTCTCGAGGAACAAGTCAAACTCGGACAACTGGACAACGCGACTTTCGAGGCTCTTCGCGATCAGATCACAGGCGGTGATGTCGGTGCTACACATCTGGTCAAGGGTCTGGATCGCAAATTACTCGAGCGCGTCAGGAAAGGTGAAGATGTACTTGGGTCGTCAAAGCCCGCAGATGAGGAAGATCTGGAAGACGAGTTTGAGAAATTCGAAGAGAAGGAGATTGCTCGTGTCGAGCGAGAGAAGGTTGCCAAGAAGGGAGAGATGGCACCTCCACCGCCTGTTGCTGGCGCAAAGAGATCTAGAGATCAGATTCTGGCTGAGCTGAAGGCACAGCGGAAAGCACAGACCGACGCAAGGCTGGCTGCGAGACCTGAGCTAGGCGACAGATTCCGTGACGTTGGTTTCTCGCGCGCAAGTTCTCGTATCGAAGTTGATGCNAAAGGGCGTGAAGTCCTCATCACAACTGACGAGCACGGAAACGTCAAGAAGAAGGTCAGAAAGGTCCAGGTACCGACCGAAGAGTCGTCTCAACAAGCTCAATCGCATAAGTTCCTCGATGAAGGCGTCACAGTGCCGGCGCCCAAAGCAATTGAGAAACTTGTAGAGGCACCGAAGGACGATTCAGACGACGACATCTTCGATGGTGTGGGCGACGCCTACGATCCGCTAGGTGGAATGGATGATGACGACTCTGCTGACGACGAAGATGGAGAGGTAACCGAGAAGTTGCCCAAGTCAGCCACAGCATCAGTACCACTGGAGTCAAAATCACCATCCTCCGAATCGAATTTGATCAAAAAGCCTGTGGAAGTCACAACAACATCAATGCCACCACCTCCACTACCAACACAACCCACAGCACCACGCAATTACTTCAAATCCACCTCAACCACTACCGACCAAACGGCAGAACCACAAGCACCTCAAAACCCCTTCAACGACGCCGCATTCCTCGCCGCGATCAANAAAGCCGGCGCCCTCTCAAACATCTCTTTATCTCTCAACGCATCCTCCGAAGATCCCTCAGCGCACGAATCGGCCGAAGCCAAAGAGTTGCGTTTGCAGAAACGAGCACAAATGCTTGCAGCCAGTGACCGTGACATGGAAGACATGGATCTCGGCTTTGGTTCTTCAAGATTTGGAGACGAAGAAGAGGGAGACGACGGAAAGAGGATTAAACTGTCGACTTGGAAGGGCACTGGAGATGACGATGACGATGATGGCGACGATGGAGGTAGCAAGGAGAAGAAGAAGAGAGGAAGGAGAAGAAAGGGTGACAAGAACAATGCTCAAGATGTGTTGGGCGTGATGGAGAGGAGGAAGGAAGCTGGAAAGTAGAGGTGAGAGTAGCGACTACCGCATTGACATATCGAGGCCACTGCCTTTCTTGTGCTGCTCTTATCTGTTCCGCACTTGCCATTTGCGCGTGTCACCTGCTCCACCATTATCAAGACCAAGACCAGCTTTGCACCTTTATAATCAATCAACCTTCTTCCCATCAACAATAGCGGCGGTGGTCTAGTGGTCAAGACGCTGCGTCAATGTGTCTTGCAAACACAAGCTCTCTCATACAGCAAATTCGCTAGGTTGGCGAGGCTGTAATGGAAGACGCAGAGATCGTGAGTTCGAACCTCACTCGCCGCATCTCATTTTTTGCTTTCTGTGAATTCAGTATCGAATGCAGATGTATACACTATTGCTCGTCACTAGAATGTCGAATCAAAAACGCAGAATGGTCGAAGCAAGAAAGTCTGCTTCTTCTAGGTCCAGCAGCAAGGTCTCCCAACTTCAACAACAGAGCCGAACAACCCTTGTACAAAATCCGCAAAAAACCAGGCTGCAATGGCAGCTAGGGAAACCCCTTCCGCCTTGAGAGACAGTTGATTTGGCTGGAATATATGGCATGAGGGATAAGTGAAGCTGGGCGAGCTGAATGGGAGAGATGGTGTTTGCTGATTGCCTTGAGAAAGTGAGTGTCTGTTATCAGGATCATAGATGTATCGCTTCAATCTCGATATTGCTCCATATTCGCAGCTCGTTAACCAAATTCTACTTCTGGCAATCCTCTAGCAACAATGGCATCCTGGACTCCCTTCTGGACATCCATGCACGCCTGGCCCCAGCCCTCCTTGACATCATCCCCAACCTCCTTCTCCAAAACATCTTGCTCGACAACCAGAGTCAACCATCTAGCCACCTTGACGGCCTTGGCTACATCCCTCTCCTGCTTGACAACAGCAACCAGATACGTGGCCAAAGACCCTGTATCTTCCGGGTACGGCGCCTCATCCCAAAACTCCGTGACCCACTCCCTTACCGCTTTTCTCAAGTCCGGAAGCTCAGTCAACTTGTTGGATGTGAAACTAGGCTTTTGCGGTCGAGGAGGTAGCTGAAAGAATCGTTCGATGGTGTTGGCAGGGATCTCCTGTCGTTTACTCCCTGTTCGTGATCTTGTGGCTTCGATGCCGCCAGAGCGGCGCAGTTGTGCAGATCTTCGTTCATCCAAGACTTCCTGGCGGATTTCTGGTGGGAGGGCGGCCAGAAAGTCTTCGTCAATCTCCTCTGCTGCGCTGACGTCTTCGGTATCGGTCTCTCGGGCAACAAAATTGGCTTGGGTTAATGTCGAGTTGCCGTTGCTGGCTCTAGCTCTGGCGAATAATCCTCCACCGCGAGGTTTCCTACCACCCAGTTTCTTGACTGGAGCAATGATACGGTTCTTTCGTGGCGACTGAGGAAGGATAGTTTGGTCTTGTCCTTTTCGTGGGGACGTTGTGGTGGTTTGATACATTGCCATGACATCTCGGCGGACATCTTCAGGGAGCGAGTTCAAGATCTCGGGGTCGAGCTGCGATTGGTTGGGCATAGTTATTGCTGCTGATCGTAATGGCTTCTTTGCTGGAGTAGGGCTTTTACGACCGTTGGCTTGATCAGCGAGGTTCTGATTCGAACGTGACTGTTTGATGAGTCTGGCTCGAATCTCCTCTGGTAGTTCGGCTAGTACCTTCGGGTCAACCTGAGTCGGAAGTGCAAATTGCGTGCCGAAGATGTTCAAGGGTCGTTTGCTAGGAGACTGATTGTTGACGATGTTATCCAAGAAGCTTGAGCCACCAACATCGCGTACTTTGTTCCTCTTTGGGGTCTTGATATCGTCTGTGATGGGATCTTCGGTTGGCTCGGTCTCAACAATAGTACTCGACTTTGTCCTTGTGGTTTGAGCTGATCTGAACTGCAACCGCGGTTGGCTGCTACCAGCGCGGCCATCTGTACCAGGTTTCAATGGTTCCAGCTTGGTCATCTGGATTCCTATTCCACGAAGTTCTCCAGGACTGAAACCAAAACTCCGCATCACGGTCAAAACTTCTTTGGTCATGATGGCACTCTCGTTGGTTGCGACCCCTAGTTGAATGCTCTTGTTGTAAGTATCGCACTTGCCGTGCCCAAGATGCTTGGGAGGATCGAGAGGAGCATCAGGAGATCGTCGCATGACTTTGACGGTCAGTTGTTTGCCCTTGACATTTTCCTTGATCAGTCTCTTCTGCAGTTCTCCGCAGAGACTGACCATGAACTCGTCAACCTGTTCTTGATTCTCGAAGCGCACGCCCCAGTTAACATCAGCGGAGACCGATTTGCGAACAACTTGATCGCCAACTTCAGCTTTATCGATACCTCGGCTGTACTCCCAGATCTTCTCGCCCGTCTTCGGACCAAGTGTATTGACTAGCTTCTCCTTCGAGAGCTCGCGGATGTCTTTGACGTATTTGACACCGATCTCCTCCAATTTACCGCCAATACTATAGGCGACGCCAGGAAGGCTTTGTACCTCGAGAGCACCTATGAAGTCGAGAACATCTTCAGGTTTAAGCTGAAATTGACCTGCCGGCTTTGCTTTACGAAGAGCAATTTTGGCGAGCAGGATGTTACCTCCGATGCCGACCGATACATTGCAACCGGTGCGTTTCAATACTTCGTTTCGAAGATCTCGACCGATTCGATCAGCCTCTGACTGCTCGCGATAGTTGCTTCCCTCGGACCGTCGGATACCATCAGTGCCACCAACGGCTATGCACTGCGTGCTGATATCGATGAGCGCTTCATCGACACTGACACTTTGTACTAGACCTCCCGTTTCCAGGATAGCGGAGTAAAATTGCCTACTCGACTCTTCGTAGGCTGGAAAGTCGTATGGAAGGACTTTGAGGTCAGGGCACAATTCTTGAGCTCTTTTCATCCACCTGCAAATTTGTCAGCTCTACCATTCAGTACTCAAGCAACGTGCAACTTGCATTCCATTCTTGACACCAAATTCCCTTGCGGGATAGTTGCAAGACGCGATCTCAGACCCGTTGCCACCAGCTGAGCCAGTACCGTGAGCAACTACACAGGGCTTGTCTTTGAGTTGTGGATGCTTCTTCAATGATACAGCAGCAAAGAAACTGTCGAAATCGACATGCATAATATATCGACGAGCTCCAAGGGGACGCTTCTGGCGGGTTTTCTGTGAAGCAGACTTTTCGGCTGTGAGCGCCTGAAGTTGCGACTTGAGGTCTGCTTTCCAGGTTGATAGATGATGCAACCGTGATTCTCGGTAATACTGTTGAAGAAACTCTGGATTGACTACGGTTGATTTGCGAAGACGTGGATCCGCCAGGAGAATGGCGTTGTGCTCTTCTGCAGTCATCACGGTAGTCTTCTGCTGTGGTTCTGTGTCCAGATTATCTGTCTGTTTCGAGCTGCTTAGATCTGAAGCATCTTGGCCGTACGGTGATGTGGAGTAAGATGGCACTGAATCTGGCTCGGCATCCTGTTCAGCAGAGCTGGTGCGAGGGGGGGTCTGTGGAACTTGGTCGAGCGGCTCTTGCGCTTCTGTGGCGGGTTCTAGTTGGTCTGGCTCATCTTCGTCTTCTTCTTCCAGTGCCTCGAAATCAATATCATGAATGTCGTCGTATTCAGGGGTTAATGTCGGGGGCTTCATGGATGCCGNGGGACCTTGTAAGAACGAGGGTTTAGGCGAAGACACCCGACTGGGACCGTCTAGTCGTACGCCCTTGAGCTGGCTAGTATACCAGCTATTGTCGCTCTGATCCTTGTAGCCTCTGATGTGTCTGTTGACCTGACTCGCAATCTGACCATTGTTAAAGGTCAGCACTTTTTGGCCGACGCCTTCATCCACGACGCGGTAGTTGTCCCACGGAAGGCACTTTGCAGCAGCGATACTATCAACAATCCAGGCAGGCTTGACAATCCTATATCGTTTGAACTCGACGGCTTTCTTGGGAGTGAGGCTGCTCGCGACGATATGTGTCACAAAAGTCTTGCCGTCCAAATATTGTGCAAAGCCACCGCCATGGGCGACAATCATGGTATGAAGGTCATTGAGCGAAGGTTGGGTGTAGCCATTAACGTAAACCACGATGCCTTTGAAGATAGGTGGGTTATCGGATCGAGCGCGTATCTCAGAATCCAGGTTCTGCAACTTGATTCTCTTCCGGCGCATGTACTCTCTATGACCACCGAATTTGGAACTTTCATACTCGTCGCCGGCTTCATCTTCGAAAGTATGGTTCTCGATGCGCTTACGCGTCTGCGCAGATCTTGATTCAAGGCGGGAATTCATGCCGCATGTTCAATGTGTTATGACGGTCGTTGCATTGTATGTTGTGGCTCAAGTATCGATGCGATGCAGCATCTCGTCAAGAAGGGCATTGTCCATGGTGGTTTCACTGAAGACAAAGAATAAAGTGGAACGCGAAGAGACGCGCCGAGGCCAACGCCACCTGTGGAGAATTGATGTCAGGCGTGCCAAGTAATTACCCTTCAGCAGCGATCAAAGTACAGAGCGAAGTCTTCAGTTCGGGGCTCGATGGTCAAGAATAGGGAGATATAGAGGCTTGAATGCATACTACTTGAATAATGCAGTGTTGCCGAGTCTGTAGAGTGCAAGTGAAGGTTCGAGTTGTGGTAAGAAATGGATACGAACGACCGACTTCTTGCAGCTTCGATTCGAGAAGTTCTCGTTGCCCTGGAAGTCGTTCATGGCCCAAGCTCAAGTTTTTTCGAACCTCTTAGAGCAGTCTCAGCGCAACTTTCTATCTTCATTCTCATCACTCTTTCTTCTCCCAATCAATTCATATCAAATCTATCACAATGGGTGTCCTTCCTATGGCTGTTTTCGGACTCGAGGTCCCTGCCGGCGGCATGCCCGTCGCTGCCAGCGGTGAAATCCCCGCTGCTGTAAGTTTTCACGAGCTACCATCACCTATCAAGGCAGCAATGCTTATGCGCATCTTANNGTTCCGCCTGACCATGGCTGCCATCGACCCCAGCGCTGAGCCCGAGTTCGACGAGGACACCAAGGGCAAGAAGCCCCGTGCCACCCTCAAGATCATCCGCGCTCCTCTCCAGATGGAGGACGACGAGGACGACTCTGACTTCGACCCCGAGGAGATGGACATGATGCTCGCCTCTGACGATGAAGAGGACGAGTCCGACGACGATGCCGGTCCCAGCGACCCCGCCAAGTCCAAGAAGGCCCGCAAGGCTGCCGCCGCTAAGCAGCTCCTGGAGGAGCTCGAGAGCATGGATGTTGACTCGCCCAAGGTCAAGGGCAAGGGCAAGGTCCAGGCTGACGATGAGGAGGAGTCCGATGAGGACGACGAGGATGACGAGGAGTTCGAGCCCGAGGAGTTCGTTCTCTGCACTCTCGACCCCGAGAACGTAAGCCGCCATTGCTGTCACCCCCTGATCGCGAGCATTACTGACAAGATTCAAACANNGCACTACCAGCAGACTCTTGACATTACTGTCGGTGATGACGAGCGCGTCTGGTTCATGGTCACCGGTACCCACGACGTCTACCTTACTGGTAACTACGTCGAGCCCGACCACACCCATGGCGACGAGGAGGAATACGACTCTGAGGATGAGGATGAGGACGAGTACGACCTCTCCCCTGATGAGGATGAGCTTTACGGCGACGAGGACGACTCCGAGGACGAGCTCGACGACCTTGAGAACCCCCGTATCACCGAGGTCGACGATGAGGCTCCCGCTCTCGTCCCTGCTAAGGCCGAGAAGAAGGCCGACAAGAAGGGCAAGAAGCGTGCCGCCGAGGACGAGGCCGAGACTCTCGACGACCTGATCTCCAAGGCTAAGCCCGCAGAGAAGAAGAACGCAAAGAAGGTCAAGACCAACGAGGGCAAGGCCGTTCCTGCCGACGAGGCCGCTAAGAAGCTCGAGACTCCCGCTGCCGCCAAGTCAGACAAGAAGGTACAATTCTCCAAGAACCTCGAGCTGGGTCCCACCGGCTCGAGCTCCCCTGCTGTCGCAAAGGGTGCTGAGAAGTCCAAGGCTGCCCCCGCTGTCAAGACCGTCAACGGCGTTACCATCGACGACAAGAAGATCGGCTCCGGCCCCGCCGCAAAGAAGGGTGACCGCATCGGCATGCGCTACATCGGCAAGCTCCAGAACGGTAAGGTCTTCGACTCCAACAAGAAGGGCAAGCCTTTCAGCTTCAAGCTCGGTACCGGTGAGGTCATCAAGGGCTGGGACATCGGTATTGCCGGCATGCAGGTTGGTGGTGAGAGACGTGTTACCGTCCCTGCCCACCACGCCTACGGTTCGCAGTCCCTCCCCGGTATCCCCAAGAACTCCACCTTGATCTTCGACGTCAAGTGTGTCGAGATCAAGTAAACTCGGAACCACCGCAACGACACAACAACAAGAATACCCGGACCCACTGTGGTCCAACCTTAGAAGATACCCAACTTGCATCTCCTCGACATAGAGGTGACAATCACGAACGAGACCTATAGGGGCGAAAGAACGCGCGAAGAAATGTACAGCGTGTGGCAGGAATGAAGGGTCATCTCTGATCTGGAAGCAACATCTCCATTCTCAGAAAAGAGGAAAGGAAGAGACGTGCTTTGATACAAAAAGTTTTCTTATGTCCATGTTTTAGCGAGAGCGTGTTGATTATCACCAACCTTACTATTGAACAAAACATTTTTATGAACCCAATCATGCTTGTCGTCCTTGCTCCTCTTACTTTTGTATTCCTTTGCTTCGAGTGTATGTTTGTGGATCTTGTTTGTGACTGAGAAGGCGGGACTGCCAGTGCATTCATTTCTCATCCATTCTTGAAAGTCTAGTCATTCTAACCGTTGAATTACTCTACACCAACCAGAACGCCATGCATCGATACTATCTCGCCACTATACATGCAAGTAACCATCGAGTGTCTATAGAAAGTGTGGTATTCGTGTCTGAGCTCGCTGTGGATGAGTCATTGATTAAATGTTGCCCTGATTTATTGTCCATGGTATCACCCTGTCATGAAGGAGCAATTGATCTTCGTGATCCACGCTGACAGAGGCAAGAGTTGCGAAGCTGTCTTCCACAACAACGGTCGTGAGAGTCGGTATTATCAGAAGGGTCGGAACGTGGTGGAACATCTTTTGTGCTATCGACTGAGCACTGCTGTAAAGCTCAAAGTGTTCCAAAGGCCAGCCAGTTGTCGTTCATAAAGTCCATGTTGGTATCCATCCAAGTCTGAAAGTCTTCCGGGAACGCCACGTCGTTCAACGATTGATTAAAGTTGGTCGTCTGCATGGTGTTCATGACGAGTTCTGTACTGCTTGAAGCTTGATGCTCATGATCTGCACGCAGTCGAGCGGCGACAAAGTGTTTGGCGAGGTTGTAGAAGGCGTGGCAGAGCTGCTGAAAACGCTGGAGGGGCTCACGCTGGTTCATGTCATTGAGCCATTCGATTGACGCCACAAAGTCTTCAAGGAGTTTCAAGTCGTCGATGTTCAGATCTGTAACGACATTTCGGAAGAGTACGATGAAGGATGTGAAGGGACACAACATGATGGANNCCTGAAAACGATTGTTAGGTCCTTGTCAATTTCAACATCGGCTGACTCACCAGGTCATGTATTCGAGCTTAAACTCCGAACCCATAGACTCTGCCTTCTTACTGCAACTGTAATGTACTTGCATGGTCGATCTTGCCGCTTGTAAAGAAAGTTGTTGGGCGTTCGAGAATTCAGGCATGGCTCGATAGACAAGAGTAAACAAGCTGTAGAGAATAACGTCGCTGCACTCCTTGTAGAAAGAAGTGTACTCTTGAAGCCAACCTGGCTCTTCAAAGCACTAGAAACATGGCATGGTCAGCATGTGCAAGAGCATGGGTTCAGAACACTGACCTTNTTGATTCATGGACAGAATTTCATGTATTTTGATTATAAATTCTTGACCTTGTTTTTGTCGTTCACATAGAGCCTTAATACTCCCAGGAGCGTAGAGCTTGTCGTAGATTGCGCNCCTATAGTAGTGAGCAACTGTAAGTCTCTGTCTCCCTTGTCAACCCACCTGAATCTTTGCCATCTCAAGCGAAAGATGCATCCAATCCGTCAACTTGACGTGCTTGTAATCAAATTGATCTTGACTGCGCCAGATGTCGATGATGTCTGTCGCAGAGGTTGAGGTATCGAAGTCTTGGATTGCAGATGCTCGACCAAGTCGAAGCGACAAGGACTTGTCCATAAAGTACACCGACCAGAATAACATAGCCCGCTTCTCATACAGGGTGGTATCACTAGTCTTGTCAATAGTCAAGCGGTGGTAACCCAAAGACTGGCACAATCGCGCTGCAGTGCTTGATAGCGTCCAGGCAGCATTTATATCGGCGGTGTAAATAGCGTAAGCGGNCCTGGGTTGAGTCAACAATTGTATGATTCCAGTCAAGAATAGCACAAGATCACTCACAGCAGATGATAGAGCTGCTATGTTGAGGTCCGACGGTTCGAGGAATAAATTGTAAGAAGAGATGCAAGTTGCCAGATGTCTGTGGCAAACTGGAACATAAGCAGCATACTTCGACATGTCCTGTCCTGCCCTTTGCATCACTGGGTTGCCCTCTAGGAGCCAGCAGAGCGCGCAATACACAAGTATAGATATTGCAAGGGGGCATGTTGACGAATGACAAAATTTGTCATACATATCGTAAAAGTCCTGGACAGTATCGAAGAGCCACCAGGTAAACATATCGTTCAGATCGTCCGCTAGAACAGGTCTCAGTATCAGGTACATTTCTTCAGATTATAATTCCATACCCTCGACATAAGCAAAAAGTCTCAAGATTTCGTCGCGCGGGGGCAATTCCGAGTGCTGCAGTTCATCTGGCGATCCGATCAGAGACAGAAGGTTGAGGCTTGGAGGTTCGGAACGATGCTTCTCCAGGAGATTTCGTAAAGCTGCGAGAGCGTTGACTGTATTGGGATCATTGCGAATAGTTGTTGGTGCTGCTTCCAGTAGGCGTTGCAAAGCTTCGTGAGCTTGTCTTGAATGTACTACCAGAGAAGATTCTCCCTCGAACTGCTCGACCCGAGGAGTAGGTGCCGATACAGAAGCGCTTGGTGCAGGTGTAAAGGTCACAGATGGTGNGCCCAGACTGTACAGAGTCAGGGGTCTTTGTGGTCGATGCTAATACCTGCAACAACTTTTCTATATTTTCAAGGCGCTGTTCCATACGATCAATCTTCTGCTCACTAGATCGACGAGTTAGATGCAGCTGCCAGATAATCTTGCATCGCTAAGCCTAGCTTAGAACGATCACTTAACTTACTATTGATTCGAGATGAGCACTCTAGATCGTGGTTTGGTTATGTCATTATTTCGGCTAGTGATCTTGCATATCACTCCAGCAGTTTTGCAGTTGGAGCAAGGTATAGTCTTATCGCAGCGTATTTTACGGGCTCGACAAGTATCACNACTGTTACTTGTTAGTGCAAGAACAGCACATAAGGCCATTGGACATACAGCTCGTGGCAATGACTTGCTGAAAGCAGTAGACCCCTCCTCAGAATCCGACATTCTGTATTACCACGCATCCAATATCACCAGCAATCAGTAGTCCTGAGATGTCCTCGGATACCGAGAAGGGGCGCGGAACCCGAGGTTGGTCTGATAGGGAGCTCTCGAATGCTCCTCTTGCCCAGAAACGCCTTTGTGAAACCACTCAAACAGCGTGCCCAGGGATTATATTTCGTGAGCCAAGACTGGGCGCGCGGCAGCCTGCAATTCTCGTAGGCAGAAGGATTGAACTCGGCATTATTAGACGATGTGGTGGGCAATGCGAGGAAATGGAAAGAGTGTTTTGCTCGCTCGGGCGTCCGCGGACAGCGAGCTTTCTACAGACATCGATGTATTCGGTAGTGAACACGATCGCTAGTTTCGTATGCTAGTGGGAATGCCAAGTTCTGATATAGAACGTCTAATCTTCCGCGACGTTCTGCAAGTCCTCTCGGTGCGACACGCGACCCGCGCGCCGCGAACGAGCAACTTCGATCGACGGACGGCGACATCAAACGATTTTCGCTGGCCGCAGCAAGGAGCGCATTCACATTCAAAATATAATATGGCGATTGCTGCTGGACATTCGCGATGCAATTTTACGTCTCCAAGTCAGATCGCTCAAGATGCCAGATAGTGAGAAGGCATCGGTCTCCAGCTCAACTGGAGCATCTGCGAAGACACAAGGATGGTCTGCCTANTTTTGTGTGTGACATTGAAATTGTCGATAAGCATTTACTGATTTACTCAAGCGAATGTTTCGGTATGCCGACCCACTAGGCATTCTGTTGTATGTCATTGGTGTGATCTGTATGGCGGCTTCAGGAACAGTATTGCCTTTACTCGACCTTATNTTTTGGTATTTCGACGCAAGCAATTCCGGAGTGATAGTACCTAATCGATGACAAGGTCAATTCGTCAATACTTTCAACGACTTTGCTCAAGGCAATATTACTGTCAGCCACTTTCGCTCTGAGATTGCACAAGCCAGGTATGCATGCCCCCAAAAGATAATCAACGCGGCCTCATACTGACTGTCTNNCAGTCTGTACCTTCTCTACCTGGCAGTCGCAAAGTTGGTTGTATTCTATGTCGGCACCGTCGCTTTCTCGTTCGCTGCAATGCGAACAGTCAGAGCATTGCGCATCGATTGCGTCAACAAGACGTTAAGGCAAGAAATTGCTTTCTTTGACAGCGGCAACACTGGTGCCATTGCAGTCAAGCTAAATACCTGTGCTAGTCATATACAGCAAGGCCTCGCGGAAAAGGCAGGATTGATAGTGCAAGCCATCAGTGCATTGATTACGGCCTTTATCGTGGCTCTTGCAGTACAGTGGAAGCTCGCTCTCATCACGATCTGTATCATACCTGCTATCGTAATCACCACTGGTATAGGTATTGCTATCGATGCCTCGCAAGAGAACAGATGTATGAAGTTGTATGGCAGAGCAGGTTCTCTTGCAACGGAAGCATTTTCGAGCATTCGTGTGGTCCACGCCGATTGGTCTCAACCTAGAATGATCGAAAGGCATAACCAAATCTTAGACGACGCCAAAAGAGAGGGTATGCGAAAGTCGCTGAACTGGGGCTTACTTTACGCCAACGAGTTCTTCTTCGTCTTTGCTGGTTATGGTTTGGCCTTTTGGCAAGGCATTCACATGTATGCCAGAGGCGAAATCGAAGCCCCTGGCAAGATCATAACGTATGTTGAGCTGTCCTTTCTGAGACCGGACTTACGCTGACGAAACATAGANGTGATCTTCGCTGTTCTTGTTGCCGCCCAGTCTGTAACTCAAGTCGCTCCTCAAATGCAAATAGTCGGTACGTATGATCACTCCCTTCGTAGGTTTCCTTGAGATGGCGTAAAGCGGCGATGGAATCATGTAAACGCGCACAAATTGCTTCCAATCCGGGTTATCATAGCTATGCTGATTTTGACCATAGCCAAAGCAGCCAGTAGCGCCGAGGAAATTCTTGAGATAATCGACAGAAAGTCGCTTTTGGATCCTCTGGAGAATAGGGGAGAGCGTCCTGAATCAATTCAAGGAGAAATTGAGCTTGGTGCCATCAACTTTGCTTACCCCTCCCGACCAGATGTTCGAGTTCTCGATAACTTCTCATTGAAAGTTCCTGCGAAAACTACGATTGCTCTGGTCGGTGCATCGGGATCTGGAAAGTCTACTATCGTGGGCTTGATGGAGCGTTGGTATGAGCCGGATTCGGGCACCATCAAGATTGACGGGCGAGATATTCGCGACCTTGACGTCCAATGGCTTCGTACCCAGGTCAGGTTTGTCCAGCAAGAGCCCGTGCTCTTCAACACAACGATTTATCAAAATGTACGACTCGGCCTCGTAGGTGCAGCAGATCTTCCAGAGAATGAGATCGAAGCGAGGGTAGTAGAGGCCTGTCGAGACGCAAACGCAGATAGCTTCATCAGAAGCCTTCCCGAAGGATATCAGACTGTTGTTGGGGAGCGAGCCAGCAGGCTCTCAGGCGGTCAGAAGCAGCGAATCGCCATTGCCCGAAGCATCATATCGAACCCCAAGATCCTTCTCCTGGACGAAGCCACCAGCGCTCTAGACCCACAAGCGGAAGATATTGTTACAAGCGCCTTGAATCGACTACAAGGCTCAAGGACCACAATCGTCATCGCACACAAACTCTCAACCGTCAAGAATGCTGACAGGATTGTCGTACTTGACCAAGGCGTCATCAAGGAGCAAGGCACACACGCCGAACTCTTAGACCAAAAAGGCGTATATTATCGTCTGGTGATGGCACAAGATCTGGGGAATGACGACGATTCCCTCGAGAAGAAAGAGGCTGAGATCGTGGATACGGAAACTACCCAAAGTCTGTCACGCAAAGAGTCCAAAGGCATTGGGCAAGAACTTCTCGGACCATCAGACGGACGCAGTCATACATTGGATTACAATCTGTTGAAGTGTTTCACCATTTTCCTCAAGGAGCGCCGGGATTGCTGGATGAATCTGTTCATCATCGCGGTAGCATGCGTTATTGGGGGTCTAACCTATCCAGCGCTTGCTATTCTGATAAGCAGACTCATCACCACCTTCCAACTGCAAGGATCTCGGCTGACAGACCGCGGAGACTTCTACGCACTTATGCTGTTTATTGTGGCCATAATAAACGGTATATTGTACTTTGTTGCAGGTTACGTCTCAAATGTCGTGTGCCAGATTATCTCGAGGCAGTATCGCGAAGACATGTTTAAAAACATCATCTACCAAGACATGGACTACTTCGACCAACCCGAGAACGGTACTGGCGCCATTGTATCTCGCCTGTCCCAGGCGCCTGCTAATCTGCTCGAGTTCATTGGACTCAACTCTGCACTGCTTCTCATTGTCTTGATCATGCTGGTATCTTCTGCCATCACTGCCACCATCTTCGGATGGAAGCTGGCGCTCGTTGCCGTCTTTACCATCATGGTGCCGGTAGTTGGCATGGGATATTGCCGTCTCAGAATGGAAATTCGGCTCGAAGAAGCCACGGAAAGGCTCTTTTCCGACAGCGCAGCTACTGCTTCCGAGGCAGTCTCAGCAATCCGGACTGTGGCCTCACTGGCACTAGAACAGCACATAGTTGACCGGTATCAATCGCAGCTCAGGAACATCACCAAGAGGTCCAGCAAGATGTTGCTCACCGCGAACCTGTTTTTCGCTGTTGCTCAGGCTGTCGAGTTCGCTGCTATGGCATTGACATTATGGTACGGCGCACGTCTGATGTCGTATGGCGAGTACAGCACGAACCAGTTCTTCACCGTGTTCATCGCAGTCGTATTCGCTGCCGAAGGCTCGGTCCAGATGATTGCATACAGCACATCGCTCTCTAAAGCACGCGCTGGTGCGAATGAGATTCTCTGGCTTCGATCGCAAAATCCACGCATAGGCATGCACGACCGATGCCGTCAGGTACTTGACAATGAGAAGGGGCCAGGGGGCTCAGCGACTTTCGAACTGGAAAAGGTCGAATTCGCGTACAGTACCCGACCTGATAACACTATCATCAAGGGGTTGGACATTGACATCCACCCGGGCGAATTTGTCGCATTTGTTGGAGCATCAGGATGTGGTAAATCGACTGTGGTGTCACTCTTGGAGCGATTCTACGAGCCATCTGCTGGAAGGATCAAGCACCACGACAGAGAGCTCAGAGGATACTGTCCTCGGAGGTACAGAGACGGCATCGCGTACGTACAACAAGAGCCGAGTCTGTTCGATACAAGTCTTCGCGACAACATCCTCCTTGGAACAGTCGGCACGACTACGGCCGCTGAAGTCGAGGCTGCCTGCCGTCAAGCCAACATCTGGGACTTTGTTTCCTCTCTACCTGAAGGTCTAGAGACCGGTTGCGGAGCTGGAGGTACACGCTTGTCCGGTGGCCAACGACAACGAATCTCGATTGCACGAGCACTCATTCGCCAACCTCGAGTACTGTTGCTCGATGAAGCAACGTCTGCATTAGACACTAACTCTGAAAAGTACGTCCAAGCCTCGATCGCCCAAGCATCCGTTGGTCGTACTACGATTGCGATTGCTCATCGACTCTCCACGATCAAGGACGCAGACAGGATCTTTGTTTTGGGCCAGGGGACTGTGGTCGAGCAAGGTACTCATACTGACTTGATCAAGCAAAAAGGCATCTACTACAAATTGTGCCAGTCGCAGTCGTTGTAGGCGGTACGAAACACCACTCTCATGTATTAGTAATTGGAAGTCCAAGTCCGGGACAACATTCATCCTCTTCCATCTCTCACCCTTCTCAATCCTCCTGATGCATTTGCTTCGGATTTTGATACTTCCTAATGGAGGAGGTCGAGTCCTATCGATTGCTCCGAAGCCGTATATAGGCTAGATTGATAACCCCGCTTAAGTCCATTGATGACGAAATAATCACCAATCACGCCAAATCACGAAACATTGAAATACATTGAAACACACCGCGCCAGACCTTGAACACCATACCGACTTCGATATAACACAGCAACTATGGCAAGCTACACGAACGGCGAAAGCAACAACGGCGAGACCAAGGGCATTCAGCCCAAGATCACTCTCTACACCAACCACCTTTGTCCCTACGCCCACCGCGCCCACATCACACTCGAAGAGCTGGGTCTGGACTTTGAAGAAGTCATTATTGACCTGGACAAGCCTCGCGAGCAATGGTATCTGGACATCAANCCCCGTGGCCTCGTGCCTACGATCAAGTACACCGTCCCCGGCCTCTACGATGAGGAGATCATCACCGAGTCGAGCATTGTCGCACAGTTCCTCGCAGACGCCCGTCCTTCGCACTTGCTGCCCGGCAGCTTGCACGACCCCTTTGCACCGCTTTTTAGAGCCAGATTGGCTTTCTTCGTCGACACATGGAACACAAAGGTTCAGGGCAACCTTTATCCTCTGATGAAGGCCGAGGGTGAAGAGAAGGAGAAGTTGGCCAAGGAGACCATTGCTGCTATCGAGAAGGAGATTGAGCCTCTTTTGGCAAATGCTGCTCCTTTCTTTGGCGGCAAGGACAAGCCCACGCTTGCCGAGGTATGTCGTGTCTGAAGCTCACGTCTACGGAGCTTCATACTAACTGACCAACTGCAGGCCATCATTGCGCCTTTCCTGATCCGCTTCTTTGCTTTCTCCAAGGACGGCAACCTTCTCCCTTCTTCGCTGAAGAAGTCCATCGAGGCTTTGCCCAATACTGGCAAGTGGGCCAAGGCTGTTGTCGAGCTTCCGAGTGCTCTGACTATCTGGAACGAGGAGGATGTTATCAAGAGAACATCGGCTCGTATAGCTAAGATGAAGGAGGCTGCTAAGTAAGCGCTTCTTCTTGGTTGACATCGGAAGGGGAGGCTGAAGGAAGCAGACTATAGCATGCATAATGTGAAACGACCACTAGGCATATAGCAACGGCAGAATACATGATTTGATCGAGCAACAATGTCTTGTAGATTCAAAGAATTTATCTTCTCCAACCGAAGAGTTAGTAAATTCATGGTTGAACGACGTCTTGAACAGCGAATTGGTTGTGGTAGTCTTGGAGTGATTAGTGCTAAGCGTGTTGCCTGGATTTATGTATAGGTGGAGCGGTAAACACCCTCAAAGCACTCGACAAATGCTATCGAGACAGCCTTGACTTTACTTTTCTTGTATTCGACTTGTGTTTTATTCAGACGAGCATTCCAACAAAGTGAAGAGGGTCCAAAATGCTGCTCAAGTGGTTCGGTCGGTTGGTGGCGGCTTGGCGTTGCGCCAAGAATGTCGCGCACAGAAGTTGCAAAATCACCAGGCTTGCGCGCTGCAAAGATTCTCTCCTCTTCGTCCGCGACCAACGATCACTAACGACCCAGCTTCCCCAATACCGTAACAGTACGTCGAATCTCTGCATCGATAAACGATTGATCGCAGCTGCCTGGAAAAGAGTCGCATTCGCTGACAGTTGCAAAAGATGGGTGCCCTCAAATACGTCGAAGAGCTCCAGAAGAAGAAGCAGTCTGATGTCCTGCGCTTCCTTCTCCGTGTTCGCTGCTGGGAGGTACGCGCTACATGAGAATTGATGCTACTCGTTGAACTTTGCTGAGAGTGCATCAATATANNGCTCCGCCAGTTGAACGTCATCCACCGCGCCTCGCGCCCTTCGCGCCCCGACAAGGCCCGCCGTCTGGGATACAAGGCCAAGCAGGGATACGTTATCTACCGTGTCCGCGTCCGCCGCGGTGGTCGCAAGCGCCCCGTGCCCAAGGGTGCCACCTACGGTACGATTGAAGAATCTGCAATGCGAAGGAGGATCTGGGTCTAATCATCTCTGCANGGCAAGCCCACCAACCAGGGTGTCAACCAGCTCAAGTTCCAGCGCTCCCTCCGCTCCGTCGCCGAGGAGCGTGTCGGCCGCCGCTGCGCCAACTTGCGCGTCCTCAACTCGTACTGGATCAACCAGGACTCGACCTACAAGTACTTCGAGATCATCCTTGTCGACCCCCAGCACAAGGCCATCCGCAAGGACGCCCGCATCAACTGGATCGTCAACCCCGTCCACAAGCACCGCGAACTCCGTGGCCTTACCTCCACCGGCAAGCACAACCGTGGTATCAACAAGGGTCACCGCTACAACAACACCTCTGCCGGTCGCAGAAAGACCTGGAAGAGACAGAACACCCTCTCTCTCTGGCGCTACCGATAAACGTCTCGCCCCTGCCGGCGTTGACGTGGTTGTTAAAAGGGATTTGGGCAAGGGTCTTCGTTTCGTGTCGTTGCGATGTTGGGACGAAGGCATCCACAAAATTGATGGGATTAGCGGGCATTTACATGAACTAGCCAAACTGTTGTCATTCACAATCACAACGCTACCCGCTCACTTGGTCATGTTTTCTGTGCAATGTGAAAGTGACTTGTCTCGAGAGCCAAGAGTGTATGATTTGTAGCGCTTACGAAGCGCGAAAGCTACAGACAGGGGTAGGGTGAAACAAAATGGAATTGGAGCAAATTTGCAAATCAAGACGGCGGAGAAGGAGCAAGTTGGCGATGGCATTGGCGAGCGGCAGGTGTTAGGTTTAGAGGTTCCGAGTAGATTATTACTAGGTTCGGCGCAGGGCGACCCCAGAAATAGGAGCGGTGGTGAGGGGGACGGCGCCGGGCTCGAGAGAGTCATGTCAGGGAGAGGTTCCAGGAGCTGAGCACAGTCGAATTGCGGTCGACACGAGCTCAACCGCTTGGTGCTTCGTATTGGCTTCTCTCGACAATCTCTGCCCTCGTCGTCGTCTAGCCCAGGACATGACTGTCGTGCTTTCCCCCGGCACGCCCAGCGTCCGTCTCAGCTGCTGCCCGCCTGCATCAACAAGACATTCTTCACTCTTCACTTGTCGCCACGTCGAGCCAGGAGCCACCTGAAGCATCGGCATCAGGGAAAGCATGTCTCTCTGGCCACCGCGATTCACATCTCTAACTTCGGCCTCTTCGGGAAACGCAAACAGGCCGCCTCCTGCATCCCCTCCACGCGCTTCGAGAGATCAACAACCGCCGCTCTCCCCCCGACCTACCCAATCCTCGAGTCCACGACAGCAGCCACACACGCGTGCCGTCAGCCACCCGTTACCCAGGATTTTCGGAAAGAAGAAAAGTGCCCCCGTCTTGAGAAGTATTCCTCTCGATGAACACTTGGTACCTGTGCTGGACGCTGGGCCTTCCGGAGCGTCTGCAACCGACAAGCCCATCGGAGGTCGCAAGAGAGATGAAGAGTTGATTACACGCCAATGCATGTGCTGCGATAACAAAGTTCGCTTCCCTCGCCATCTCCACGTCTTTCGCTGCACCAATTGCTTGACCATCAACGACCTTGAGCCCTATGTCAAGGAGGCCCGCGATCCCAAGTCTGCTACATACCCAGGTCAGCAGCAGGGTCCGCGACGTAAGTCCGATCGCTCAGCTAGAAGAGTCGCACAATGGACTGACCAGAACAANGCGATACTTCCTCTCTCAGTCGAACGTAGTCGAGCCATCATCGATCGCTGTCTGATCACGTACCTTGAAGCACGATGCCGAAGAGGGGATGCTCCTACCCTGCGTAGTGCTTCGGGTCTTTCGGATCCTTTTGTTGGTGGTGACTCGACAACAGAACATGCAACTCTGCATCCACCTCCACGCTTCGAGCAATCGCCTCCTGACACGCCTGAGCCCGCGTCGGCAACCTTGAAGACTCCCGATGATTTCCAATATTTCTCATACAAGGCTTCGCCTTCACCGAACAAGAGTCCTTCGAGACCCAAGACTGCTGCCTCGTCATACACTGCTCCACATATGCCTCCACTACCACCAATGCCTCCTCTGCCGCCGAACAGAAGACCTCCTCCACCACCTGGCTTCCATTCCGCCCCACTTCCTTTGCGTCCTACACCTCCTGTTTCCGACGGCCCCAATCCTCAGCGTTACGATCGTGTCAAGGTCATCTTTAAGCCTCTTGAGGATTACATGCTCAGCAGCTTTGGGGATTATAATTGTCTCAACACTTGTTTTAGTACTGTACGGCAACCGGTTGCTACACGCAGGAGGAGTGAGAGTGCCATCAAGACTCCTCCTAGTGAAGCGGTCGAGGCTCTTACTCAAAACATTATAGATTCGTTTTCCCAGCTCGATGCAAAGACGCTGCTTCTTGGTGATTTCGCTGAGAACGGCGATTGGTGGACAGGTCGAGTCGCTCGCGATTGTTCGGACAAACCTGACAAACGTGGACACCATAGCTCAGAGGGCAGGCGCTTGACCACTTCAAGGTCTCCTCACATCGATTGGGAACAGCTTTTCCACTGGTACGATGTTATTCACACTGCCGGGTCTAGGTGGCGCGACAGAGTTGCAAACATCAGGCATGTTGAACAGGAGAAGGTTCACGAACACATCCGCGGTTCTGTCAATGCTAAGGAGATTGATGAAGATATCGCAGAAGCCCGACTACATGCCGAACGAGCTTTGCTGAAGATTACCGAAAACATTTTAAAACGACCCACGCGACCTCTGGTTGAACCAGACAATATACGTCTCCTGCTTATCATCTTGGCAAACCCTTCATTGTACCCTCTAACGCGGACGCCCTGCAATCGACCACCAATGCCACGCACTCCTTCTGGGCTCAAGAGCTCAACTCTGGCTCCACCATCTACGTTGAGGCTTCCATCTCCACAGAAGCCGCTAGGTACTCCTATCGGGAACGAGCCAGGGCAGCATGCTGGCATACTCAAGCGTATCTTCGGACTGATCGCCAATTCTTCAGAGAATTGTCATCGTTGCCTGACCAATTGGTTTAGTAGATTACCAGAGCAACAATTCGTCAAGATGGTTGATCTGGTCGCGAGGTTCGTCACCTATCGACTTTCGAGACGAAAGAGTCGACCTCGCAGTATCATTCCTCAAGACGGTGGCCTCATTCCTGATTTGTCTGGATCTGCGAGGAACACTTTCGCTCAACTCCAGTCGGCAACTGGACTGAGTGGTAGCGGAAGTGGAGCTGGAAGAAACAAGATGCCACAGATGGAGACTATAAGCGTGATCGACTATAGCGAAGATTGGCAACTCAAGGCTGCTGCCAAAATTATGGCAATGTTGTTTGCTGCAAACAACACCTGGCAGACGAAAAGAGCTGGCCTCACTCCTGCTCAGACAAGCCTGAACTCTCTCTCTAAACCACGTACAAAGATGCACGGACAATTGCTGCCTACCTCGGACTTCTATAATACGCTGCTCGATTATTACGATCTGGTCGCAGACTTCAAGGCTTGGGAGTCGAAGAAAGCGAAGTTCACCTTTTGTCAATACCCACTCTTCCTCTCTATGGGCGCCAAGATTCGACTAATGGAGTACGACGCTCGTCGACAGATGGAAATCATGGCTCGTGAAGCTTATTTTGACTCTGTCACCACGCGCAGATCCATCGATGGTTACTTCCACCTTCGTGTGAGACGTGAGTGCATGGTTGATGACAGTCTGAAGCAAATCAGCGGTGCTGTAGGGTCGGGTCCAGAGGAACTAAAGAAAGGCCTCAAAGTTCACTTCACGGATGAAGAAGGTGTTGACGCAGGTGGTCTGAGAAAAGAGTGGTTTTTGACCGTAGTCAGGGATATCTTCGACCCTAATCATGGTACGTCTCAATTTCAACGATCCTGACTTGGCAGATAAGAACTAACATCTCGGCTAGGCATGTTTCTATATGATGATGACTCGGGCTTCTGTTACTTTAACCCATCATCTTTCGAGACCAGCGATCAATACTACCTCGTGGGAGCTCTGCTCGGACTCGCAATTTACAACTCAACCATCTTGGATGTAGCGCTTCCGCCTTTCGCCTTTCGCAAACTGCTCGCTTCGGCCCCTCCTTCGACTCAGAATGTTGCGCTTCCTTCGAGTGGTAGGACTCAAGTAACCTATACTCTCGAAGATTTGGCAGAATGGCGGCCTATGCTGGCGAAGGGATTGCGCGATCTACTTGAATTCGACGGCGATGTCGAAACAACCTACTGCAGAGACTTTGTCGCAAGTATCGAGCGGTATGGTGCAGTAACGGATGTTCCACTCATCTCTGGCGGTGAAGCGATACCGGTGACCAACGAGAACCGCCGTGAGTATGTCGACGCCTACGTACGCTACCTGCTCGACACATCCGTGGCTAGGCAGTTTGAGCCCTTCAAGCGTGGCTTCTTCACCGTATGTGCTGGCAACGCTCTTTCCCTTTTCCGGGCTGAGGAGATTGAGCTCATGGTTCGCGGTTCTGATGAGGCTCTTGATGTTGACTCGCTTAAGGCGGTTGCTGTGTACGATAACTGGCGCGAGGTTTCTACACCGCACAAGCCTCTCCCTAACCCCGCCGATCAAGTGCCGGTTATATCCTGGTTTTGGGACTGTTTTCGAAGTGCCACGCCCGAAGCACAGCGAAAGCTACTTGGTTTTATTACTGGCTCCGATCGCATACCTGCTGTCGGTGCCACAAATCTTGTTCTTCGCATTGTCTGCGGTGGTGATGGAACTGCTGGCCAAGGACAGAGCGAAGGCAAGGATAAAGAGCGGTTTCCCATCGCGCGAACGTGCTTCAATATGCTGGTACTTTGGGGCTACGAGAGCAAAGAGAAGCTCGAAGAGAAGCTTTGGCGTGCTGTGTCTGAGAGCGAAGGTTTTGGATTGAAGTGATTGATGAGGAAACGGGTCCTGGTAGCGTATATTCTTCTATCCTGTTGTATTCCTGTACGACTTCTTTCTTCATTGCACCTTCCCCTGTTGACCTGTTCATCCATCGCTAGTTGATCCCAGTAGTGTGCTTGGCATGCATACTAGTCGCTCTTGCCTACTCGATCGCTCCTACAACCCCTCTCAGCTTCAAGGTCCAGGTATCTTTTACTATCTCTCCTCCTCCATCAACCCATCGGCATCTGTATGTGTTCTCGTCTGCCGTCCAGGCGCTCGTAGTCAGCCACAATCGCTTTTATATGCTAGGATGAATCCTTCGAAGGAATCACTCCGCGATCTCGGCAACCTTCCGCATATCTTTTGCGACGATCCCCCACAACTCTATCCTCGGATATTGTACATGAGGATGCTGCAGAGGTACGTAGATATATCCGCCGGTCTTCTTCCCCTCGACATATATAACAACCATGTATGGAGCCGTCCAGAGTTCCTCTGCCTACTCTCTCTCCAGAGCTACCAACCATCATGGACGACACATTGAAGAAACACTCCATCGAACACTTCGAGCTTGCCGTGGACCCAGGCTCGGATACTGCNACCTTTATCGATCCCATTGCTGAGAAGAAGCTGTTGCGAAAAATTGATCTGAGGATTCTACCGCCGTTAGTCTGACCACTGCGTATGAAGAGGAATACATCCTGACTTGTTTCTAGGTTGACCGTGTTGTTCCTTCTTGCCTTTTTGGATCGCACCAATATTGGAAATGCAAAGATTCAGGGTATGACTAGCGAGTTGAAGATGGGTGGACATGATTACAATATTGCATTGTTCGTGTTCTTCATACCTGTGAGTATCTGTCGTCGTTGCTGTCGTGATTGGAACATGCTGACATCTTGACAGTATATCTTGTTAGAAGTGCCGAGCAATATTGTGCTGAAAAAGATCTCGCCCTCGCTTTGGTTGAGTTGTATCATGGTTCTCTGGGGTAGGTTTATACCCCTTTTAATAGTCAGGGTCAGTTGTGCTAATGTTCGTCCTATAGGTGTTGCAACTATTGGGCAAGGTTTGGTCAAGACGTTTGAGGGACTCGTTGCCATGAGAGTCCTTGTCGGTATCTTCGAGGCTGGGCTGTTNCCCGTAAGTTGCAAGTAACAATCTGCGAGAACATGAATAACCGGTTTCCAATGCAGTGGCTGCGTATATCTGATCAGCATGTACTACCAACGCTACGAGCTCCAGTGGCGCCTCTCTCTATTCTTCTCTGCCAGCATTCTTGCTGGTGGTTTTGGTGGTGTAAGTTCAGAATGGCTTTCTGATATTCTAGTGCTGACATGAATTAGNCTTCTGGCTTATGCTCTTGCCAAAATGGATGGTATGTCTTAATGAACTGGAGTAAGTGTCACAATATTGACGTGTCTTGCGCANGGTATAGGTGGATATTCGGGTTGGAGATGGTAGTCCTCCCTTCTTTGATTAATCATTAAGAGATGCTAACTTCTAGACACAGGNATCTTTATCATCGAAGGCCTCTTGACCGTCGTTGTTGGCATCGCTTCTAGATTCTGGGTCTGTGATTGGCCCGAAACAGCCAAATTCCTCACCGAAGAAGAACGTCTGCTCTTGATCTCACGGCTCCAAACCGATTCTGGGGAAGCGGTGATGAACAGATTGGACAAAGCTGCGAGTATGTGTTTCTCCTTTCTGTTTATTGATACCATCATTGTTTGACGTACACATGATGGCTAACAGAAATCGAAATTAGCTCGCCGTATCTTTAAGGATTGGAAAATCTGGTGCGGTGTAGTCATGTATATGGGCATAGTAAACACCGGCTACTCAGGCTCTTTCTTCGTACCCACCATTATCCGTGAGATGGGCTACACGTCTGCCTCGGCTCAAATCCGCTCCATACCCATATTCGTCGTTGCCGCGATCTGCTCGGTTGCTGCTGCTTGGTTGACCGATCGTCTTCGCCATCGCTTCGCATTCTGCATCTTCGGTCTCGTGGTAGCGTCCATCGGGTACATTATCCTGCTTTGTCAGACTGGCCTTTCTGTTGGCGTCAAGTACTTTGCACTCTTCCTTATCGTTCCTGGCGGCTACATCACTCAACCCATTGTTTTGGCATGGGTACAAAACTGTATGTCTGGCCACTACAAACGCTCCGTCGCCGCCGCCATGACAGTCGGTGTTGGCAATCTGGGCGGAATCGTTGCATCAAACGTCTTTTTCGTCCAAGAGGCTCCTCTCTATCGCACAGGATATGGTGTCGGGTTGGGCTTCTTGTGGATCTGTGGGCTAGGCTGTGTGGTGCTTTTTGCTGGTGTTATCCGGGAGAACAAGAAGAGAGATAGAGGAGAAAGAGATGATAGATTGGGATGGCCTGATGTTGATAACCTTGGTGACGATCATCCTAGTTTTAGATTCACTACTTAGGCAATGTGTTGGGAGGTCAAGAGGAAAAGAAGTGCTCACGCATGCATACGGATGTTAATTAACATCGCTGTTCCCATCGTCCGAGCGGTCGCTGTTGCCTTCGCTGCAAATCAGATGCCATCGTCCCCGCAGATGCCATCCTATGGCATTGGTTTCGAACAACTCCATCCCAACATCACACCATCATTAATTATCGCCCTCCACACTAAACAAACCCATATACTTGATTGTTATATTGATCTCGATACGAGTTATGCTTTCTATCCATGCAGTCACCATATCTACACGCTATTGTTCCTCATTTCTCCGAAACCACTCGGTGAGAATGCTCAGACATCCTCTGATCTTCTTGATTTCGGACTCGGGAAAACGTAATTCAGGGGGAATCCGCCTCTAATCATTCTTATCATGGCTCAAGACCTAAAAGGCCACTAGGAATACTACTTGGCTATCTCTACAACATGTTTCGAGGACTGTAGGACCAAAGGTGGGTGTGTGGTCGTCGATTGTCATGATTGCTCGCTTGAGAATGGTATGACCCTGTCACAGAAGGAGCAGGGTCACCATGATGAGACAGCAAGTTCAAGGACATCGACAACGTCGGACACCGGTCGCGTCGAAACAAATTAGCAATCACATCGAGTAATGACGGTGAAACAGGAGCATGCAGAAGTATAGTGAAATAGAAAATGATTGCTCGCTGATTCGAAAACAACAAAGGGTCCCTAGGTATCAATCTGTGTGTTCCCTTAGGCGCATCCCTTTTCAACAAACTAAGACTACATTATCGACCTTTTGGTTTTCAGCTTTTGCGTGCCATGTGCTATGTGAAAGTGTCATCATTGATATTCGTTGGATCCATCATTACGACCGTATCAGATGCGATGATGTTATTCCTTTACAGAAGGGAGCCTCGGCTCTGACCTTCTCAGGTGCAGAGTTCTCGTGGTAGACGTTCTCATCAGGGAGAATGGGCTGAGTGTGTGCGGCAGCGCTGGGCTCGGTGGTGGGAGCGCTGGGGGCGTCGAATTCGGTCAAGGGCTCAGTGGAGCGGTCGAAGCTCTCAGAGGCATGGCTCTTGGAGCCGAAAGAGTTGTAAGAGTTACCAGCAGCTTGCGAGGTCTTGTCGGCAGCAGACTGGGCAGTAGCGGAGGTCTTGTTGGCAGCGTCTTGAGCAGTGGCAGAGGTCTTGTTTGCAGCATCCTGAGCGGTGGCAGAGGTCTTGCTGGCGGCGTTCTGGGCAGTGGTGGCGGCAGAGTCATAGGCGTTCTGGGCGGAGGCAGAAGTCTTGTTGGCGGCGTCTTGGGCGGTGGCAGCAGCCTTGTTGGTAAGGTCGTTGGCGGCGTTCTGGATATCCTCCTTCTTGATTTCTCTCTCAGGCTCGTTCTTGGCGGGGTTCAGGTTGGCAGGGTTGGGGGCATCAGCCTGACCGGCACGCTGCTTGGCCTGGCCGATGAGCTCGGAGGCGCGGTTGGAGAGGTCAGTGGCGGTGCTCTTTGCAATGTCGGTGGCGTGCTGAGTCTGCTCGGCAGCAATGGTGCGAACCTGCTGGGTCTGCTCGTTGATGATGGTGCTAGCGTTCTCAAGCTGGGCGTCAATGACCTCGCGGTTGTTGATGTAGACAAGAGGAACGGTGTAGATCAGAGTGGTAAAGAGAAGAGCAAGGCCCCAGGTGGGCATGATCTTGACGAGGAAGTAAGAGATGAAGGTGATGAAGAAGGCACCGACGGTGACAAAGACGTTCTCGCCGAACATGATGCGCTGGAACTCAATGACGAAGAAGTTGATGAGCTGCTCAACATCGTCCAGAGAGGCCTCGAGGGTCTCGCGGGGGATGGTGTAGTACTTGCGAGGGCGCATACGCGAAGCAAAGCCGCGGTCCATGACAAGCTTGCCGACGACTTCAGCAGCAGCAGTAACTGAGGATTCGTCAGACACAAAATCATCAGATGGGGGCAAGATTGGCTACTTACTACCGAGGACGATGTAGAGAGCCTTGAACAGGTACTTGAGGATGGGGACATAGCGGGTGAAGAAGATGAAGGTGAGGATGGATGCGAAGGAGATGGTGGTGACACGGGGGTTTTCCCAGCTGAGGAGGTTGTAGAAGAACGAGTGGTAGTGAGTCAGGGGCTGGCCAGTGGCAGCGGGCTCGTCAGGCACTCTCTTGGAGTCCATCAGGTTGGAGTACTCTTGCGAGGTCTTCTGGCCCTCGATCTTGGCCTTCTCGGCTGCGGGGCCGTTGGCAAGGTTCTGGTAGGCAGCGTTGGCATCTGGGAGAATGGTGAGTTGGAGCTCTGATTTGCTCAAAAGAGTGGAATCACTGTAGAAAGACAAGTCAGCAAAGATGGAATCAAGCTTAAGGGGGCTCCAGCTTTGAAAGAAGCGTGCTCCAAGAGCAAAGCTGCAAACGCCCGCCAGAGAGAGCGGCAGCTGTGGACTGATGTGCCACACAGCGAGCTCCTCCCAACGAACGGATGCCGACAGAGCTCTGGCTGGAGCGAAGTGGCCACGTACCTTACTGTTGACGACAGCGTCCTTAGCGTTGATGGCCGAAGCCTTTGCGTTTTGCAGCTGGGGGTTGAGGTTGGGGTAGTTTGTGTTCGACATGGCGGCGGCTGGTCTGTGATGTGTTCAGAAAGGAGCCCAAGAAGCAAGGGAGACAGGGTGCAGAAGAGGCTTACCGATCAATTGGATAGGAAATGGGAGAGTGGTGAAGATGGGAAACAAGGATGTTTTGAGGAAGAGCACGCGACAGAAGAGAAGGCAGCGAGCAGCTTCCCAAACCTGCGCCCTGATTTTTGGTGCAAACGTCATCCGCGCGAAACAATCAGAGCTCCGTGCGCTTTCACATGCGTCCGCGAGCTCCACCAGCCACATCCGAAAGCTCGTCATTGATTGGGGAAGCCGCTGTCTCCTTTCCACGCTCCTGCTCCTGCCGTCTGCCAGCCAATCTTGATTTCACAGCCCACGCAATCTTGTTTAACGCATGAATTGACAAAGTAGCCGTTCCATTGCTTGCCAGAACCGTCTCTTCGATTCCCCGTCCTATCTCGACGCTGTATCGTTTCATCCATCCTCGTGGGATCCGCTCCCATCGCAAACAAACAAAGATCGTCCACTAAAACCCACAAGACCCGCTATCCAAAACACCCTCCAAAAGAGCCTCATGCTACAAAAAGAAACAAAGAGACCAAAGAAATACGAAATTCTGTGTTTTCTACACAGTTCATGTCCATCACCTTTAAGCGTCCTGTCCAAATCTCCACCCACCTTCCTTGACAACTCGTGCACGCATCTCGCGGTCCTTGACCTTTTCTTCCTTCGTCACTGCGTCTCCCGTGTCGACCCAGCGAGCAGATGATCCACGCTCGCGGAACTTCTTCAGTCGTTCTGGGTTCTTGCTGTTGCGGAACACCTCTTCCATCTGCAGTGGTGCGATGGGTCCGAAGATGCTCTCAGGGTCCACGAGCTGTTGCTGTGTAAGCAGATCGCGGAGTGCCGGCGACGCGACCCAAGAAGGTGCTCTGAATCCACCAGTCTGATCATCGTCCGAATCCTCATCTTCGCTGTCTGTAGCAATTTCTGGCAGGTTGATGTTGTCTCCATTAGGGTACAGAGGTGAAGATTTGGCAGACTTGGGTACCGATTTCTTAGAAACAACTTGAGCCGCCGGTCGTCCAGGTGTCTTGAATGCCGATGGAGGTGGTCCTTTGCTCGAAGATGCTCCAGGAGGATTCGAATTCTCTGCAAAAGGGATCCGAGCTGTCGACAACTTCATCATATCGTTAGGATGCATGCCTACTTTGGCGTGCTGTGCGTGGTGTTGTGCCGTAACCGTCGCCTTGAACATGTTCTGAGAGTGGTGAGCAGCTGGCGGAGGTGCGTGAGTGTAGCCGTGTGGGAATTTGTTGAGTGTTGACTCTTTGCGCATGTTCGACGGTCTCTTAGGAGGAGCTGTCAAGGCGTTGTCTGATGGCCTGTCGACCTCATCGTCGTCACCCTCCAACGTCTTGCGTCGCTTGTCACCTTGCTGCTGGTACGATGTCGGCGCTCTGCCAATAGTAGGACGCTGCGATGACTCTTCGACCTCTTGCTGTAGAGGACGTTTGGCGGGCTTTGCACTATTGGCTTGAGGTGCGGGTCGATCTTGCTTGGAGAGCTGTCTCAGTGTGCCACCAATGTCTCCACGGGGCAGTGTAGACTGTGCTTGCTGCCTGTCCATCTTCTCTTGCTCCATGTTTGCAGCCTATGAACGTTAGCATAAGTAAAAATCCCTTCAAAGCAATCTCGCTTACCAACTCAGCACTCTTCTTCTGCTGCAAAGCCAGCTGTCTCTGTTGTTCGACCTTTCTCTGCTCTGCCTGCTTTTGTGCTGCATTCCTGGCCTNNCTAGAAGTCGTTGCTGCTCGGCCGCCTTACGTTCCTGTTCTGCTTTACGATCTTCTTCGGCCTTGGCAGCTCGTTTGCGCTCAATCTCGCGCTTCTGTTCTGCTTTCTTTTGTGCCACCTTTTCGTCTTGTTCCTTTTTNNTTCTGGCAGCAGCCTCGAGGGCCTTTACGCTGCGCACCGAACCAGCGCCAGCACCGACTGACTTGGACAATGCAGGAGGTTGTGCACTGCCAGAGCGTGTCGCTTGTTGGCGAGTGGACGGGGCAGTGTTCGTATCCTGAGAAGAGCTTCCCGGCTGGGTTGATCCAAGTCTTTGCGAACCCGATGCCACCTTGATGCTGACTGGGGTAGGCTTTGGCTGAATGCTACCCAATCTCGATGGCTTGGCCAGTCTGCCAGGCGCTCTCAATTTGCCAGCTGGAGCTCCAGTCTTGGGAGGTACTGGAGGACCAGCTTCATCGACGTCGCTTGCTTCATCTGCAGTCGATCTCCATGACTGCTGTGATGCAGCACCAGGACGACTAGCTGCTGCATGTCTCTCCTTCTCGCCTCGTGCGGCTTCGGAAGCCTTGTCCTTCTCAGCCTTCTCGTGGGCCTTCTGCCTCTCTTGTTGCCTGACCTTCTCCAAATTATCCATAGCACTCGTTTCGTCCTTGGATTCCTTGTCCTTCTTACGGGCGTGCTCAGTTGAGCTGCGAGTTCGCCTGCTTCCACCGGTTGCGGGAAGAGCGGTGGCCGGCCTGTTCTGGCTAAGATCAGGGTAGAGACCGCCAGGCATCCTGGACATGTCTGGATCGGGACGTTCGAATGTTGCCGCGGAGAGCGGTCGATGGGGAGAGGAAAGTGAGTTCATCTTGGCCTGGGCGCTGGCTGCAGCACTACTACCAAACATACCCTTGGCAGATTTGAAGACGGAATAGAGCTTGGCCTTGGATGCGCTGATGGGTGCTTCGGCGAACTTTTGCTTTGTTGGAGAAGCAATAGAGTTAGCAACAGGGGTCGTGGCACCGCTGCCGGGAGGGAAGTTGGGATTCGACACAGATGTGTTCTTCTGGTGGTGAGCATGGTGAGGAGCGGTTGCAACCTTTGCAGGAGAAGCGAGAGTGGCTGTCGAGTTGGACTTGTGATGTCCCATGAAGTACTTGGAGGGCGATTCTCGCAATGTAGGCTTAGGAATGCCAGTAAAGGCTGGTTGCGCATCTTCAATCGAGACTGGGTCAGATACTTGGTCGTTCAGCTTCTGTGTGTCAACGCCGCTAGCGGCACGAGAGCTGGTGATTATGGGAGCAATCCAATCATCATCGTCGTCGACGAGCGGTTGTGTGTCGCCTTGGAAATTCTCTTGAGACGGTCCAGCAGTAGATCTATGCTCGTGGGCTGGCAGAGAAGGATAATTAGGCATGTGAATGGACTTGGACGTGCGAGGCTCCTTTTGCTGGCCGAGCAAGGTTATGCGCTCGTGCAGCCTTTGGGTCGACGTCTTGTTGTGTTCATCTGTATCTTCTGCCGACTGAGAGTTGGTCTGTTGCGTGATGCCAAAGCTCTTACCCAAGGCACTTGTGCGAGCACCACCAAACGCGTCCATGTGACTACCTCTGGGGCCAATGCTTCGCTTAGCAGTCAAAGGCTCACGGGCAGGCAAGGCGGCGAAGGTCAAACTGCTCTTGCGCGTTAATGGCTTGTCGGGTGTCGAGGTTTCGGATGGCGATTTAGGGTTGTCGTCTTCTTCTTCCTCTTCCTCCTCTTCCTCATCTGCCATTTGGTTCTCGTTCTGGTCCTCTTCAGCCTGCAAATCTTCATCCGCAAAAGGCGCGTTCGAATCTTGTGTAACGGGTCGGCTGCTGGACTCGGGGTCGGGCACAGTGGCCTGGTCATCGTCTTCTGCGAGATGCTCGTCGACGTTCTCGGCATCTTCGTTGGCCGAAACAAAAGATGCCGTGTCGTTAACAACAGGATCGTCTGTGACGTGCTCTTGTAAAGGTTCGAGGTCGGGAGCTTGGGCGTGGCTGTTTTTGAGCATGGATCGTTGCGAGTCAACATCCATCTCGTCCTCGGTCATGCCATGGTATCCAGAATCCGTGTTCTCCTTGCCCACACGCAGAGGGCTTTTCCTGGAAGTTCCCGAGCGAGGGCGCTCCTGTTCGCCATCCTGCGCGATCTGGAACTGGGCAACCTTTGAGTAAAAGTCGTTCTTGGGTGCTGGGCTGAAGGTCGATTGGGGATTGGGCGCAAAAAGATCCGTCAGAGGCTGTGATTCCTGTCAGTTTAATTTTTGTTCAGGTGGTGACCAAGGGAGACATACGGCGCGAGCAGCATTCTTACGCGCTGTACGAGGAGTCTTTCCTCGCAGCTTTCCAGGAGTCTTGAAGATGTCGGCAAAACNTACTGCGCAACAGTCAGCGCGAGAACTTCAGGAGAGGATAGCGAGAGCATACACAGGGTTGCTGCTGAAAATCTCGGCCATATGCTCGTTCAGCCATTCCATCTCATTCTGAGCAGCATAGCCAAACTCCTCGACCTCCATGTCGACAAACTCGGCAGCCTGGTCGCGCTCGGTCTGAATCCATTGCGACGAGCCGACAGGGGCCGTCTTGGAACGAGGCGCCATTGTTGTTTGACGCGTTGTTGTTGTACTTTTCGAGAGCAAGCCAGGAGAGAGTGCACCGAAGATGTCTGAGCTGGACGTGCAAGTGATCAGGCTAGATCATGTCGTTGGGCGTAGTGGGTTGGGGTCGAGTCGAGGGACGTGGTGTTGACGGAGGCGCAAAGACGAGACCTCGAAGCTGCTTTGTTGTGACATGGATGTTTATGCTCGTCAACTTTGGGGTCCATCATTTTGCTTGGCGCCACCCTGGCCAATCATGCTTCGTCGGCCGACTTGCTCCTCCTCGCCGCCCACGATCGCCCAAGATCTCATCATCGACCGAGACCCCTCAATCGGCTTCCTGCTCTTCTAGCCGAGTTCTATATCATTGTAGTTGTAGGTTGCTCGAACAAATTCCAACTGTGTCTTTCTTTCTTTCTGTGAACATGTCAAAACATCTCCTTCCCTCCCTCCGTGCTCTTTCACGACCTTCTTTCCAGAGTATACGCGTATCAATACCACAAGCAAGATGTTTCTCCATGACCAAGCCTACGCGGCTGATGGAGACCTCTGGCTTCTCTGAAGAGCAGATGGAAGTTCGTGATGCCATCTCCAAAATATGTTCCAACTTTAC